ATGTGCGAAAAAATAGACAAGCAAGATCAGCTTTCCACTCCTCTGTCAAGGGCCCGGGAGCTTCTTGTCAGCGAACATTTCAAAGATTACGAGCAAGCGGCAGAATTATTGAAACAAGCGTTACAAGAAACATCGAACAAAGATGTGGAGGCGGAAATTTGCGGCGAACTTGCAGAACTGCTCTTTCTAATGGATAGTTATGACACTTCTCTATGCTATGGGCAGAAGTGTCTTTCCCTTTCTAAAGAGGCTGATCGTAAAGGTCTTGAAGCATTAGCGTATTCCTGTGTTGGAAGTGCCTATTCCAAATTAGGAGACTTGCGAAAGGGCCTCGAATGTCATATGAAGTCCTTAGATGCTAATTCTACGACTGGAGACCTGAGGCAAAAGTGGAAATGTCTGCATAATCTAGGCATCACCTTCACAGACCTTGGTGACAACGCAAATGCCACAAAATACTTTAAAGAAAGTCTTGCAGTTGCTACCGAAATTGGCGATGATAAGGTAGCAATAGCTGAGTCCCATGGTGGTCTGGGTATCGTGTTTTACAAGACGAGGCAATACCCAGAATCCATTTTCCACAACGAGAAGCATCTGGCGCTGGCCAAAGAAGCCCATAAGAAGAGAAGTCAGGCTAAGGCCTGTGGAAATCTTGGCAATGTTTTCTTATCCAAGGGAGATTATATCAGAGCCCGTGCACTATATCAAGAGCAGCTCGAAATTTCCAAAGAAACAGGGGACAGGTCTACCGAGGGAAATGCATTGGGGGCTCTTGGCAATGTCTACCATTGTCGTGGTCTAACAAGAAGAGCGATTGAATCTTATGAAGCCCAACTGTCTATCGCAAATCGCTTGAACGACAAGGCAGCACAGGCAATTGCCATTGGAAGAATTGGAAGAGCGCAACACTCCCTCGGACAAAACAGAAAGGCGCAGAAAAATCTTGAAAAGCTACTGCAGCTGTCGAAAGAAGTTGGGGATAAAACCAATGAGGGCTTTGCGTATGGTTTCCTTGGAAACACTCACAGGTCACTGGGCAATTATGAAGAAGCCATAATCATGCAAAAAAAGTTCTTGGAAATTTCGAAGTCGATCGGTGACAAGGCTGCAGAAGGTCTTGCAAATGCCTACCTGGGAAGCATATACTACTCTCTTGGAGACTTTGAAAAGGCGTTACACCATCACCAAATCAATCTCGCAATAAATAAGGAACTGGCGAATAAAGGCGGAGAAGGAAGGTCGGTTGAGAAGGTAGGCAACATTTATTTCGAGCTTGGAAATTACAACAAGGCAATCGAATGTTACGAGAACAGCCTCAGCATCGCCATAGCTATAAAAGATAAGCCTCTTGAAGGTGCCTCGTACGCCAATCTGGGAAATGCTTTTCAGGCCCTTGGAATGTATTCAGAAGCTGTGGTGATATACGAAAAAGCCGTGCCTTACGCTAAAGAAGTCGGAGACAAGCGTATGGAGGGTCAGATGCTTGGAAATCTAGGAACTGCTTACAATCGAATTGGAGAGCATAAAAAAGAGCTTGAGTGCCATAAGAGACATCTTTCACTCTGTGAAGAGTTGGAGGAAAAGCAAGGAGAAGCAACCGCCCACGGCAACATTGGGATGGTCAATTATCGCATGGAAAATTTCAAGGAAGCCATTTACCATAACGAAAAGCAAATCTCTATTTCGCGCTCACTAGGAGAAATAGATGGTGAAATGGTAGGGTGCCTGAATCTTGGAAAGGTTTACTGGAAATTGGATAAACTGCCAGAGGCAATTGAATATCAGAAAGAGGCTTTGTATTTCGCCGAGAAGATGAAAAGCCTAGACAAGATGGGTTCCTGTCACTATGACCTTGGCGTTTCGTATTCAAAATTGAAGGAGTTCGAAATGGCCTGCAGCCACTTGGAACAATGCACCGAATTGTATGCGGAAGTAAGACAGCTTCTCTTTGGAAAAGATATATACAAAATTTCATTAAGTGACGTGCAGGCCAGTGCTTATCGTCTCTATACCCGGTGTCTTCTCCAGCAAGATAAAGATGAAGAAGCATTACTAGTCACCGAGCGTGCACGTTCCGCAGCTCTTGCTGACATGATGGTGGTATCATATGGTCTACACGACCCAAAAGACGGGAAAAGAGAGGTCCTCAGCGGAGGAAGCATGCGTGAAGTTGTTTCCCTAGTAGGAGGACAGGTATTCTATTATGCTCTGTCTGGTACTGGAAAGGAAAATGTGTTCTTATGGAACCTAAAATCAAATAGCGCTCCAAAGTTCGTGGGCGAGGTTACCGACTGGAAGAGTCTGTTAGACGAAGCACTCGTTGAAATCCACATTAAGGGTAATACAGCAAGATGCGAAGATCGCTCATTACCATCGAGAGAAAACCGACGTATTCGTCAGAATCAAGAGATCGACCAAGAAGTAGAAAAGGTAGATGAAGACCTGTTGAGCTGCCTTCCTACTAAGCGCATCACCCCAACAGATCGATCAAGTGCACTGGGGAAACTCTATGATCTATTGTTTTGTTGCAAGTCACCTGATCAAGAAGCCACAGATCTTATCATTGCTCCCGATGCAGAGCTCCATAGGATTCCCTTCGCAGCCCTCCGAGATGAAAACAACCAAACCCTCGCGGAGAAACATAGAATCAGAGTATTACCATCCTTGACAATCATGAAAGCGATTTTTGATTGTCCAGCCAATTATCATAATCAGAAGGGAGCTGTAATTGTTGGGGATCCAGATGTTGGGTCAGTGTTAATCAAAGCAACAAAGAAACCAAAGCTAATCACACGACTAGAGCATGCCCACAAAGAAGCTGAAGAAATTGCCAGAATGGTTGGAGTTAATCCCCTTCTGGGAGAGAAAGCTACAAAAGCTCGTTTCCTAGAAAAACTAAGGACGGCGGCGTTAGTCCATATCGCAGCGCATGGAAACTCTGGAACAGGCGAGATTGCATTTGCTCCTCCTCCACAAAAGCGCAAGCCAGAACTTGATGAGGAAGATGTATTCCTTACAATGGCCGAAGTGCAAAAAGCCAAAGTGCGAGCCAAACTGGTTGTTCTCAGCTGCTGCCACAGTGCAGAGGGAACCATTCGTGCCGAAGGTGTCATTGGAATGGCTCGAGCGTTTCTTGGTGCGGGAGCGAGGTCAGTTCTAGGTACCCTCTGGGCCATTGATGACAACGCTACCTTAGAATTCATGCGCAACTTTTATCAGCATTTAAAACTCGGGGAGAAGGCAAGTGAAGCTGTTTATCAGGCCACAGCTGCTCTCAGACGCTCAGAAGAATTTCAATCCCCATATTACTGGGCCCCCTTTGTCCTCATTGGAGATGACGTCACCTTTGAGAACTTTGAACAAATGTAGCAAGAACATCTGTAAGGTAAGTTAACTGATTTCCCTTGGTAATCAATTTGATGGCCAGCTTCGTTAATTAATTAATTAATTTTGCTGGTTGTGTTTAGGCCAGAACATTTAACTAGCACTCCCCAGCCGTATACCTGACTGCGAAAGAACCTTTTGAAAACCCTGACAAAAAGCTGGGAGAGACTACGATGGTCGGGTAATCCATCTAGGGGGAATTAGGATGCTATGGTAATTTGTGGATGATGTATAGGCCTGTTCTGGTTTTCGTAGACAAAGAATCTGAGCAGTGAGACGTTATTATAAAATGAGTTTATCCGCGTTCTATAGCCTTTTAGGACTGATTTTACTAGCGGTATTGGATGTTTCCCCGTCCTCTCAAACTATCTTCCTTGCAGGCGATACGATAATGTTTAGTCCATATCTTAGTGGTATTTAAACAGACTTTAACTGAAATAGGAATGAGGGAGAAGATTTTTCATAGGCTGCCGGTGGGAAGTTTGAAATTTTTCTGTTGCTTATTCCAAACTAAATCTTTCTTTTTCCAGGAGAAGGCAAGAAGAAGGCAAGATCAAAACTCTTCTGAAAACATTATGTAAAAAATTTGGAACTATTCTTACTTAGTGCTCCAAGTTAAATACAAACTAGCAACTGGTAAATGACACCACTAGCAAATGACACCAATTTATATCAAAGAACGATTTGTAACATTGTAACAAAGTACAGTACAATGTACTGACGCAATTACTTACACACGCAAACAATAGAGTTTACCTCAGGTTGACAAAATGCGCTCGAAAGATCTAGAATCCAAATTGAACCGAGCCAACAGAAAACAGATTACGCACGATAATCAATAGCACATATACTTTTAGTTTAAACATAACTATAGATCATTTTCACATGAGGTCACGGCGGCCATATTTGCGTACAAAACAATGCCTCGGCGGCCATGTTTGTGTACGAAAAAAATCCTGTGGGAATCGAACTCTTTTCACAGTTTAAAACTTTCTTTTATTCCCTGCAATTTGCAAAGCCGCTGACCACGTGACTGAAAATGATCTATTGTTAAAGCCCACAACCTCCAAGAGACTGCGATAAAACGTCTTTTCACAGCATATAAAAATGGTTGTAACACAAGGGTAATAGCAAAACAACCTTAGGTGAGCGTGTGAAAGGGTTAGGGTTAGGATGTAAATCGCGGACTTGGCACTCATTTAAGGTGTTCAGGACGAAACGCCAATATTTTTAGATATCAAGTTGTTGTTTACTGTTGCACCAGAAAAAGAACGCCGATGTTTTGTTCTGGTGACCGAAGTCGATGAGGTTAAAGTTTATGGTAGCATAAGCTGATGTTAATAAACCCGAAAATTATGCCCTATAAAAGCACATATTGACCTACTAGCTACAATTATATCTCTGTTCTTTTGTCACATAACGTTCGACATTTGAATAAGCTTTTGTACTAAGTAACGGTAGATACTAGTTCAAAGTACAAGAAAGAAAAATGAGCAATGGCAAAGTCCACTGTAACTTAGCACCATATATTCTCTAGAGTCCACAAAGGCTCCATTTATTACATCACATCAGAGGCGGATCCAGGATTTTTTTTAGGAGGGGGTGCACTCGTCTCTTGCTCTACAACACCAATAAACCACATAGTTTTTTTTTTTTTTGCAGAATACCAGTTGTATTAGAAAACCGCAAGTCATCACAGGGAGGGGGGGGGGAAGGGCGCACCCCCTGCACCCTCCCCCTAGATCCGCCCCTGCACATGCTCATCATGCACATGTGCTCCTCTTTTTGTCGTGCATTGTCCTTTCCCAGTCAGTAAGGCTTCGGTTCATTCACAACAGCGTTTTTTCCCTCCCATTCCCCTTTGTTCTGATTGGAACCTTTGTTTAGCTCGTTCTGCTCACTATATATTTAGCTCGACCAGAATGTATATCAGCTAGCCTGTTCCAGGCGTTCCGATAGTAGAGCGGGGCGGTAAGTGGGGAGCGAGTTAAGTTGTACACCGGGAAAACGGGGTGAGGGGGACGCGTGAGATCATTTATGGAAGTCCAGAAAGGCAAAAAAATCTTATTTGAAAGGTTATTTAGCCACAATAAAAAGATTAATGCTTTAACCGAGGTCAAAGAAAATCAGTACTTAACTGCATCTGGAATCAAATTCTTTCAGAAACAAGCCGCAGGAAATAATTGCCGAGTATGCATGACTGACCGCCTAAATGTTAGACTCAGAGCGACAGAAATTAGATTTGCTTAGTTAAAAGAAGGAAACCCTCTGATGTTGTTTATTGAAAGCTAACTGAAAGGTCACGTTTCACACTATCACGAGCTTATGGCTCGCGTCTAGGCTGTCAGAACTTTGTAGTTCATGTCACAGTTACCTGGTCGGCGGTCAATTAAAGGGGGAAAGAGCTCTGTAAGGAAATGTTTACAGGCGTTCTCTCCCCCTTTCCCCCTCTAGTCTCCCCTCGTTTTTTTTTCTTCGTGAATTTTTCCCTCGCGCCCTACTATCCGAACGCCTGGAACAGGCTAGTATATCAACCAGATCATTATTTTACTCCTCTACATCTATATGTACCTTTAAAATTAATCATTTATATTATGTTATTAAACTGGACTGGGTCTCATTCCTCTGTTAGGTTCCTGGGTTGTGGAACTACTGTCTTGCTTCCCTATAAAAGTAGTAACAGGGAAGTGCAACCCCTGGCTGCACTTTATCCCACAGCAAGGCTAAGCCCTTGTGGACAGGTCCGGGAAAATATCCACTCCAGGGTGTAGACCCCCGGACCCACCTGATCTGTACTCCATCCAGGAGGGTCACCCTTCCTCGTTCCCCTTAGTTCCTAGTGACTGGGGGATATGGGCCTAACCCCCGGAGACTGATCAGGACTCCTGTCCGGGCGGGCTACCCCCGGTACCACACGATTTTGTCTCCCTCCGGGAGGGCTTCTCTCCTGGTCCCCTTACCCCTAGACTTGAGCACTTCCCTGCCACAAGAATTTTTCCCATTACTTTCTGTATGTTCTCTGTGTGGTACCTGGCATAGAACCTTTATGCGAAACAACTGCCAATTGGAAGAGTTTATTAAGAAGGAAATTTTTAGTATCCTAACAACTGTTTCCAAAAATCATGATAACCCTTACTTTTCCGCTGTTTTAAAGTGGTATCTATTAAGGGTCAAATAAAGTTCGAGCCATCCAAAATTTCTCTGAAGCATGACAAAATTCAGGTAACGTGTTTCTTTGCTTGACTCAAACGCGTGTAAATTCTCCATTTGGAAAAGACGTAATGACGTAATGCTTTAAAGAGTTAAAACTCTTTGTATGTAACAGATATGGTCCAAACCCTCCCCAATTTGAGATAATATTACGTTTTCCCTCACTTTGACGCCCTAACTCACATGGTGGTTCGTGTGATCTCGTGTGTCCTCGGCGTTAATCTTTCAAACGTTTGCTGAGCGCGCCGGTCCGCATTTCTGTCTTCGTAAAGCGTTAATCTTTCAAAAGTTTGCTGAATCTTCGTAAAGCGTACATATTTCAAGAGTTTGCTAGTTTGCTGAAGGTCTATTATCGATCTGTGTTTGCTGAACTCCAAAGCGTTCATCTTTCAAAAGTTTCAGCGGCCGTTGTGCCACAAAGTAAATCTACTGAGTTGTGTAGCTCGGCGGATGTTGTGTCACAAAGTAAATCTACCGAGATGTGAAGCTCGGCGGCGCCATTTCATCATGACTTGTGATATTTTCGGCACCGGACAAACGAACATTTTAGGTCTATGTTATTTATTCGGAAAAAACAAAAACAGCCCACACTAGCTCCACTCAAGTCACTGAAATTAACACACTCGACCAAATTACTTTAATTGTTGACATGAAATATACGACATCACTAGCCTTCAAGACTTTTTCGTAATGATTTACCACTTACAGTTTAAATAATAATAATAATAATAATAATAATAATTTATATAGCGCAAACCTTTATATGAATATATTCGGTTGCGCCTTACAATGTTGTTATATTAAAATTATGTTTAAGGTGACTAAAGCGTGAGAACTATTAAAAACTACAATAAAAAGTATTAAAAACTATAAAAAAAACCACAATAAAAGCCAACAATTAAATCTATTTAAAAGCTAAATTAAAAAATGAGTTTTAACAGCAGTCTTAAAAGTGTCCAATGTCTTCATGTTGCGAATTGCCGAAGGTAATGCATTCCAGAGATAAGGTGCAGCTGATTGGAATGCACGATCGCCAAGAGTTGGATGGGTGTTAATGCCTGGTAACTCGAGGAATATAGTATCATTTGACCTTAGAGGGTACCTGGATTAGAGAAATAGAGGTTTCGCTGTAAGCAATCACCTTACGTTTGAAATATGCCATGAACAAATTAATCCATCGCAATGACCATCCACCCTTCCCCTCAACTGCTACCCGTGTACGCCCCACCCAATTTTTAAGGGAAAGGCCCTGGGGACGAGGTTGCATTCTCAATTAAATAATATTAGCGTGCAATATAAGTATTCCATAAAAAAAATGCACTTTTTATTTGAGTGTCAATGTATTTAGCACGAAAGTGTTAATTGGGGACACTATTTTTACGTCTCCTAATGGAGACGGGACCGCCATTTTACGTGGTCATCCGAGCCACGCGAAGGTCTCGCCGCTTGCAGTGCAAAGGAAGTACCTTCATTTCTCAGTCATTTTAAGACCATGAGTAATGGTCCGGCCCCGGGATTCGAACCCCGACCTCCCGCTCTGCAGTCAAACGCTCTACCGACTGAGCTAATCCTGCCATGTTATTATCGTGTTATTATCGTGTAATAACACGGTGTACAACGGGACCACTGCACTCAATACCTTATGCTGTCTAACCGTACGATAAATATTTCATCAGCCAGTAAATTACTGAGGTGTCAAGTGTCCCTTCCTCTTTTCGTAGAAAACCAGAGTACAGACTACTGAGCGGCCGATTCGGTCCCAATCTCCTCGCGGTTTCTCTGCCCTCGCCTGCCTTTTGAGTCCAACCAAAACCGCCATGCTACACTAACAGGCTAGCCAGTGTAAATATATTGCAAATCGCTTTACCAACAGACTATAACGTATACGTGGCAGTACGGTTCAATGTCGCTTATCCTGAAAGACAGGAACCCAAACGCTCGACTCAGACAGAAACCTGTTTTTGCTGGAATAGGCTCTCGAAGTTTAATCGAAAAGGTAAACTAAAATGCTTTGCTATCTTTCATTGTCTCGGTTATTTTATAAGTGTCACAGTTAGAAACAGCCTTACTTATTTAAACAACAAAGTATGATCCCTTCATGTGACTAAAACTGGAGTAACCTTTAAAGATTTCAGTGGTATTTGGTTGATATCAGGAGGCCATACTCGTTTCAGTTTCCATCACATATTACCATATGAAGCAGTAGTATGAGTTAAACGATGGAGTAGGAAACCGAAAGAGAACAGAGAGAAAGCCTCCATTCGTTGATCAAACTTCCTTATGGCTCATTTGAGAGCGTGAGAAGTAAATCGTCTTGAGCCTCAGTTTATCGTAATATTCTGATCCGGTGGTCGGCGTAAGTGCGTTTGAGTGCGTGTACAGCACCAAAAGCTCTGAAATGCAAAGCAATTTTTGGAGGCCACCGAAGAGAATCTAGAAAGAAGCAAAGGTGAACAGTTGCTTTCCGGTGAAACAGGTTGGAATATATGCCTACGTAAGTGGTTTGCTTCACTACCGTGGTTGCCATTGCTTTAGTATTAACTAGCATTAACATCATCAAATCTGCCACTTCTTTTTGGGTCTCCATCTGGCTTTAGTGGCAAAAGTCAAACAGTATATAATTATATTGCTTTCCCTAATACACCTTGTCACGGCTTTCGACGCCATCTTGGCGCGTAGGCAAACGCTTGAGAAATTACAGTGTTTGCATGAGAATCTAATTTCGAATAATTTCCGTAGAACGGCTGTTCTGAAAAACATATGATTTGCATACTAAAGCTTCATTCCTAACGATTCTACTAAAAAAATTTGAGGGCGTTAAATTTACTAGAAGACCTAGAACCACTTTTTAAATTTCCTATAGATCTGTCTGTAAGAGAGTCCCGGGAAAAATTACAAACAAGCATGGAGAAATTTAAGCACAGGTACACCACCCAAATTTTTTAGCACAATCCTTTGCTTTGTAGCTTTAATTTACAATTGATATTTTTTTTCAGAACAGCCGTTTTACGGAATTATTCGACATTCGATTCTCATATAAACACTGTAATTTCTCAAGCGTTTCTCAAGCTTCTTCCAAACTAGCCTGCGTAGCAGGCGTCGAAAGGGGTAGGGGGTAGGGGATAGGGAGGAAGGGAAAAAGGGGAGGGGGATTCCCTTCCCTTTCTCCCTCCCCCCTCCCCCTTCCCTTTTTGCGCCTGCCACGCAGGCTACTTCCAAACTAAATTTCAAGATTTGTGTAGCCAGTGATGATGTCAGTGCCTTCTGTATTTTTGTAGCTGAGTAATCAAGCGCTTGAAGCTGCAGGTTTAAAGGTATCTCGTTAAAATTTGTATTTATTTTCTCAGAAGGGAAAGGAGTAGAGAAAAACAGCAAATAAAAATGTCCGGAGGATGAGAGATTTGCCAAATATAATAGCGGAGCTCCCGCGCGCGCTTCGCGCGCGCGCAGCGGAGCACCATGGGTAAGAAAATTTGGTAAACTATCCATCCCAGAAAAATTGGTTATGACGTAGCGTACGTCCGTCCGTACGGACTTTCCGGGTAGTGGAAAGTAGTCCGCATGGACTCTTGGGGTAGGGGAAAGTACAGATTTTTTTGGTGGGAAATCGCATGGCGCAACGTCGCGCAATTATATCGCGCAACTGGTTTTGGAAAAAAGAAAGCAAGTAGAAAGAGTCAGAGCGAGAAGAAGGAGAGAAAATTATAGTGAAAAACGCCGGCAAGTAGAACGAGACAGAGCTAGAATGAACAGACAAAGGCAACGCGAAAGAGAAATACAAAGGCAAAGAGAACGGCAGCAAAATAATGACATGATGACAGAAAGTGTTGTGTTAATGTCACTATGGCCCGGCGCTATTAACATTTTGATTTCAAACTGATCTCGGACTCGAAAATTCAGCCAGTCATTTAAAAATACAAGCAGGGAAGACAGAGGCTTTTCACTTTTCTCACCATAGACACGCGTTGATCACGCTCTACGACCGTCCAATTTTTATGCTCTGATTGGTCAAAATTTGACAGGTGAGTTCATGCAGAGAATTTATACAGCATCTTGAAACTTGTTTACTTTCAGTTTGACAGCTGAAGCTGACAGAGTATTTTGTCAACTTGTGATGTTTTTTACTGTCTTTTTCCACTGGATGCTTAAAATGAAATACAGCTGCTATCAACAGTCTTCTTTGATTCATGGCTAGCCTGACTTTCATCCGATTACTTCGAGTCGTTATTACTCCCTCAGTAACGTCTGAATCGACCGGCCGTTAATGCCGTCCAGTGACGTCACTACTCCTTGACCTTTGCTTTAATTCATGCAAAAAGCAAAACACGATTTTCAAGTGGCAAACCGAGAAATATCGTTTGAAAATGTCTGCATGATACAGAACTGCTTTATTTTTTTCGATTGTAATTCATGTTTAACGTTCAAACTATCAACTGCATGCGGTACAACTCTGAACCGGTTGTACTAAATTCTATAATCAAACTCGGTCGGAATCACGCAATGAAATAAAAACACACACGGAACACTTAGTTCAAAAACACAATGATTTGCTTTAATTGAAAAGAAGCTATTTGGTCCTTAACGAAGAAAAAAGCAAGAAAGAAAAGCTAACAGAATCATCACACTTGACGGTAAAAATAGCGAGAAGATCGAATTATAACATTGATCTCAGAAAACTTTGTGTAAACAAAATCACCGGCCGCTGAAGCCACAATAGCGGCTCTGAATGAAAACTCACCTACCGACTCTCCCCGATGATTCTTCATTCGCAGTTCAATTTAACATTTCAGTTTCGAAGACAAGCGCAATTTTGCTGTTTAAGATAAAGATTAAGCTTATCGAAATGTTTGAACTAACCGAAAGAATGCCAGGGATGCGATCCGCTGAATATCAAATAACAATCCCGCTAAAATTTTTCATAATTATACATAATTATGCGAATGTTTAGACAATCAACCAATCAAAATCACTACCCGGTTTTCGGGTAGTGAGTGACGTCACTGGACGGCATTAACGGCTGGTCCATTCAGACGTTGTTGAGAGGAGAAAACGACTCGAAGCAATCGGATGAATTTCAGGCTAATTCATGGCTGGTTTGTTTATTGAATTTTTGGTCGGGAAATGCGCCGGTTGCCAAAGTTGGAAATCCGATTTCGGATGCATCGCTTTCGTTTTTACCTTGTTGGATGCGGGTTGAAAAGTCCCTCAAGCGATTCTGGCCTTACTTTATAGCTTTCAAGAGCTGCATCTCGAATGGTAAGCCTAAGTAATTATTGTATACAGTGTATGTTTGTTTTTTTATATTTAATTTCATGAAGTCGAGCGCAGTTTATCAGGCTAATTTATGCACGTTTGTGTTAAGATCTGAGACAATGATCAGATCTAGTATAGCTTACAGAACTTTAAAAAGCCTTTAGTCGATATTTTCTCTCCGCATATAGAACGAAAAAACTTTCCGAAGAGTATTTAGTTATAATTTTGGCTGTAGAAAGAAAGCTTTGAGCGGTTTTCTTGCCTCGAGTTCATCTTTGAAAACAGTAAACACCAGGAAGCCGGCTAAAAGCTTTAAGCTTAAGCTTAAAGACTCAGTTTTTAGAGACGCTTTAATACTTGTCTTCGTGAATGAAAATTGTTGTCTCTGTAAATGTTTCACCGAACTACATTTCTTTTATTGATTGTTAGTAGTCTCTTACAATTTTAATCGCTTTGCAGTTTGTTTTCAGTCGTTCATAAACAACGCTTGCAGGAGTACTCAAAATGCTGCTCGTATCAAACGCTTTTTAAGATTGCACATCATTATAAAACCATTTAATAAAAAAAATAAACACAATAAATTCTTTATTATGTTGAAGCGTAACTCGTTTAATGTTCACTGAAAATTTAGCGCTTGTCAAAAGTGAGAACCGGCTGGCTGTATAAATGATTTTGGAAATTTTTTGAACGGTTTTGCTAAAAGCCCACGAGTGCTTCGTACGGTTCTGAATATTGAATGAGTGCAATTTGTCTTGAAAAATTGTGAAATACTGCATTTTGTCTGAGGTCTATATGATAAAAACAACGCCTCATATCACTGTTTCAGATGTGATGTATAAAAAGTATGAAATGTTGGTTTACACCCCGGGGGGGGTACTCCCTAATATGGGCTATATAGGTATGTGCGGCCCCAAAGGGTAGGGTTTTCAGCCGTTTTGGTCATAAATTGGGTATCGATTTTGGCTATTTTGCCGCCATTTTGGTCATAAATAGGGTAACGATTTTTACACTGTAGTCTTGAATGCACTTTTTTAGAAGAAGCTACTTCCTTATCATGTCCCCCTAACCTAATAAAAGCAGATAAACATTGCCTTTAACATTGGTCTGAACTAGGGAAATAATTATAAGGCAGGTCTGAAACAGGGTATTGATTTAAGGGTCAGGTCATAAATAGGGTATCAAATTTTTGGTTTGGTCATAAATAGGGTGGGGAAAATCGCAGATTTTGGTCATAAATAGGGTAAGGGTTTTGGGAAGCGGGCCGCACACCCCTACCCAATTTTTCTGCGAGTACCCCCCCCGGGGTTTACACGCTCCCAGAGTTGTTGGCAAGTTTTTGTTAAGTAAACTTGTCGAAAGCAAAAAATTCGGCCTGATTTGTTTTCCAAAAATTCGTTTTCCAGGCCTAATCTACTGTGATCAAGAGCCATTATGGCTCTAAAATGTGATCGAAGATGATTGCTATTTTTTGGGTGTATATATACGGCTATCAATTCGATGTAAGATTTTTTTTTCACTCTAAAATCACTTAGCCTTAGCTTTCCCTTAAAGTTAACTGATTTGTGGATTACAAGTTTATTGTTTGATTTAAATTATAAATTTATTAATGGGAGCTTCGCTTTTAGCCCTGCCTAAATCTATATATTATACTTATAATGTATGGGGGAGGGAAACAAAGATATGGATATTCGATTACATTTTCAACTTCCTACAACTAAAACTTACGGCGTAAACCTTGTTATCTGGCGAGAAAATAATTATTTCATTATCTTTGTAAACAAAGTGAATACAAATATCTACCCGGGAACTAGCCAGAAAAAAATATTCAAATTATTTGATTTTGTTTATTTGATAGTTTTATCTTTGTAAACATTGAAACCTGAATACAAAACCGGGCCCGTTAATTATCGGGACTTTCGAGAAACGGGCCCCAGATCCCTAGATTTTCCCTTTTGTTTCCTGGCCATGTGTAGCAATTTATTGCCGCTCGATCAGTCTTAACCGTAAATAATCCCCTGCATGCAACATTCGGTGGCCTTTAGTACAGAGTTCTAAACTAAGGCTACTCTCAGCATTCCACTGGAAGTTGTTAGATTAAGCTTCAAGTGAAAAATGACGTTTTTTTAATTATGGATATTCGGAAAAAGGAAATTCCAAGAAATTCCAAGACATTTTTTTGGGCTTTATGGTTTTGCAGTGCCGGATACGTTGTGTTTGGCTATTTCTGGGTTCTAATGTCGTAATCTTATACTTATTTAATGGTGAGGTTTATAAACCAACACCTTTAGTAAAATCATTCTGAAAAATATGCCACACCAAAGCTGAAAATGAAATGAACTGTGACTCTATTTCAAACTGTCCTTATCAACACCACAAGCATTTAGCTCAGTAGGTACATGCAAGATACGAGAAATCCAGGGAGTGAATCCCTTGCTAGCTGAGTAATTATTAGAAAGGACAACAAAAACCTGAGTGTCGAAGCTTACTTCTAATTCTCAGTGGGATGCATTAATTTGATTTTGCAGCTGGGGTCTCTCTATAGGCAAACCGTTAGCAATTAAGAACTCACCTTTAATCCTTGAACCGTAACTTTTTTGCTTTTTGTTAACAAGCTATAAAGCTGCTGAAGTATTTTTTTGCAGTCAGAATTTTACAGTTAGTGGCCTGTGGGATATATTAAGTCTCTCCTTTCTTCCGCAGTATGCTATCTGCCATTTGCAGCTAGTGTAGCCAGGCTTTTCATGCAAAACGCTTGACAACATTCTTCACCCAGTCATAAAATCGTAAATGCACTGGTTGGAATGCCATCCTAAGTATTTTTCCAAGTGTTAGCACTTGGTAGCACAACCGCGACCCCATTCAAGACATATAAATAGAAATTGCTTGTAAATAGCAGATTATTATTGTTAACGTTAGAATAAAATGGGGTCCATTTCAACATTCCAGGTAAAGCCATGGAAGGCAATCAAAGTGAGGAGCACAATTCTCAAAGGCTGGTGTGCGAAAAAATAGACAAGCAAGATCAGCTTTCCACTCTTCTGTCAAAGGCCCGTGAGCTTCTTGTCAGCAAAAAGCATTTCAAAGATTATGAGCAAGCAGCAGAATTACTGAAACAAGCATTACCCATGGTCCAAGAAACATCGAACAAAGGTATAGAGGCGGAAATTTGCGGCGAACTTGCAGAACTGTTCCTTTTAATGAATAGTTATGACACGTCTCTATGCTATGGGCAGAAGTGTCTTTCCCTTTCTAAAGAGGCTGATCGTAAAGATCTTGAAGCATTAGCGTATTCCTGTGTTGGAAGTGCCTATTCCAAATTAGGAGACTTGCGAAGGGGCCTTGAATGTCATATGAAGTCCTTAGATGCTAATTCTACGACTGGAGACCAGAGTCAAAAGTGGAAATGTCTGCATAATCTAGGCACCACCTTTACAGACCTTGGTGACCACGCAAATGCCACAAAATACTTTAAAGAAAGTCTTACAGTTGCTACCGAAATTGGCAATAAGATAGCAACAGCTGAGTCCCATGGTGGTCTGGGTATCGTGTTTTACAAGACGGCGCAATACGCAGAATCCATTTTCCACAACGAGAAGCATCTGGCGCTGGCCAAAGAAGTCCATAAAAAGAGAAGTCAGGCTAGGGCTTGTGGAAATCTTGGCAGCGTTTTCTTATCCAAGGGAGATTATGTCAAAGCCTTTGCACTATATCAAGAGCAGCTCGAAATTTCCAAAGAAACCGGAGACAGGTCTACCGAGGGAAATGCATTAGGGGCTCTTGGCAATGTCTACCATTGTCGTGGTGAAACAAGAAAAGCGATTCGATCTTATGAAGCCCAACTGTCTATCGCAAACAGCCTGAACGACAAGGCAGCACAGGCACAGGCCTTTGGAAGAATCGGAAGAGCGCAACACTCCCTTGGAGAAAACAGAAAGGCGCAGAAAAATCTTGAAAAGCTACTGCAGCTGTCGAAAGAAATTGGTGATAAAACCAATGAGGGCTTTGCGTATGGTTTCCTTGGAAACACTCACAGGTCTTTGGGCAATTATGAAGAAGCCATAATCATGCAAACGAAGTTCTTGGAAATTTCAAGGTCGATAGGTGACAAGGCTGCAGAAGGTCTTGCAAATGCCTACCTGGGAAGCATATACTATTCTCTTGGAGACTTTGAAAAGGCGTTACAACATCGCCAAGTCAATCTCGCAATAAATGAGCAACTGGGGGATAAAGGCGGAGAAGGAAGCTCGGTTGAGAAGTTAGGCCACATTTATTTCGCGCTTGGAAATTACAACAAGGCAATCGAATGTTACAAGAACAGCCTCAGCATCGCCCTAGCTATAAGAGACAAGCATCTTGAAGGTGCCTCGTACGCCAATCTGGGAAATGCTTTTCGGGCCCTTGGAATGTATTCAGAAGCTGTGACGAGATACGAAAAAGCCGTGCCTTATGCTCAAAAAGTCGGAGACAAGCGTATGGAGGGTCAGCTGCTTGGAAATCTAGGAGGTGCTTACAATCGAATTGGAGATCACCAAAGAGCGCTTAAGTACCATTTGAAACATCTTTCACTTTGTGAAGAGTTGGAGGAAAAGCAAGGAGAAGGAACCGCCCACGCCAACATTGGGATGGTCTATTACAGCACGGAAAATTTCAAGGAAGCCATTAAACATAACAAAAAGCAAATTTCTATTTCGCGCTCAATAGGAGAAATAGATGGTGAAATGGCAGGGTACCTAAATCTTGGAAGGATTTACTGGAAATTGGATAAACTGCCAGAGGCCATTGAATGTCAGAAAGAGGCTTTGCGTTTCGCCAAGAAGATGAAAACCCTAGACAAGGTGGGTTCCTGTCACTATGACCTTGGCGTTTCGTATTCAAAACTGAAGAAGTTCGAAATGGCCTGCAGCCACTTGGAACAATGCACTGAATTGTATGCGGAAGTAAGAAAGCTTCTCTTTGAAAAAGATATATACAAAATTTCATTAAGTGACGTGCAGGCCCATGCTTACCGTCTCTATACCCTGTGTCTTCTCCAGCAAGATAAAGATGAAGAAGCATTACTAGTCATCGAGCGTGCACGTTCCGCAGCTCTTGCTGACATGATGGTGGTGTCATATCGTCTACATGGTCCTAAAGACGGGAAAAGAGAGGTCCTCGGTGGAGGAAGCATGCGTGAAGTCGTTTCCCGTGTAGGAGGACAGGTATTCTATTATGCTCTGTCTGGAAAGGGAAAGGAAAATGTGTTCTTATGGAACCTACAATCAAATAGCGCTCCAAATTTCGTGGGCGAGGTTACCGACTGGAAGAGTCTGTTAGACGAAGCACTCGTTGAAATCAGCATTGAGAGTAATCCAGCAAGATGCGAAGATCGCTCATTACCATCGAGACAAAACCGACGTATTATTCAGAATCAAGAGATCGACCAAGAAGTAAAAAAGGTAGATGAAGACCTGTTGTGCTGCCTTCCAACTAAGCGCATCACCTCAACAGATCGATCAAGTGTCTTGGGAAAACTCTATGATGTATTATTTCGTTGGAAGTCACCTGATCAAGAAGCCACAGATCTTATCATTGCTCCCGATGCAGAGCTCCACAGGATTCCCTTCGCAGCCCTCCGAGATGAAAACAACCAAGCCCTCGCGGAGAAACATAGAATCAGAGTATTACCATCGTTAACAATCATGAAAGCGATTTTTGATTGTCCAGCCAATTATCATAATCAGAAGGGAGCTGTAATTGTTGGGGATCCAGATGTTGGGTCAGTGTTAATCAAAGCAACACAGGAAACAGTGCCAATCACACGACTGGAGCATGCCTACAAAGAAGCTGAAGAAATTGCCAGAATGGTTGGAGTTAATCCCCTTCTGGGAGAGGAAGCTACAAAAGCTCGTTTCCTAGAAAAACTAAGGACGGCGGCGTTAGTCCATATCGCAGCGCATGGAGACTCTGAGACAGGCGAGATTGCATTTGCTCCTCCTCCAAAAAAGCGGAAGCTATTACTTGATGAGGAGGATGTATTTCTTACAATGGCCGAAGTGCAGAAAGCCAAAGTGCGAGCCAAACTGGTTGTTCTCAGCTGCTGCCACAGTGCAGAGGGACCCATTCGTGCCGAAGGTGTCATTGGAATGGCTCGAGCGTTTCTTGGTGCGGGAGCGAGGTCAGTTCTAGGTACCCTCTGGGCCATTGATGACAACGCTACCCTAGAATTCATGCGCAACTTTTATAAGCATTTAAAACTCGGCGAAAAGGCAAGTGAAGCTGTTTATCAGGCCACAGCTGCTCTGAGACGCTCGGAAGAATTCCAATCCCCATTTTACTGGGCCCCCTTTGTCCTCATTGGAGATGACGTCACCTTTGAGAACTTTGAACAAATGTAGCAAGAACATCTGTAAGGTACGTTAACTGACTTCCCTTGGTAATCAATTTGATTGCCAGGTTCGTTCATTAATTAATTAATTAACTAATTAACATTGCCGGTTGTGTTCTAGGCAAACATTTAACTAGCACTCTCCAGCCATCACGAACTGGGTGCCAGAGAACCTTTTGAAAACCCTGACAAAAAGCTTGGGGGCCTACGATGGTCATGTAATTCATCTAGGGGGAATTAGAATACTATGGTAATTTTTGGATGATGTATAGGCCTGTCCTGGTCTTCGTAGAAAAAGAATCTTAGCAGTGAGACGCTATTATAAAATGCGTTTATTCGCGTTCTATAGCCTTCTATAACTGATTTTATTGGCGGTATTGGATATTCCCTCCTTCTTGCAAACTCTCCCTGCAGGCGATACCACAATGTTTAGTCCACATCTTAGTGGTATTTAAACTGAAATATAAGAAAGAAGGGGGAAGATTTTTCATGATAGGCTGCACGTGCAATTTATTCTTTTGCTTATTCTAAGCGAAATGTTTCTTTTTCCAGGAGAAGGCAAGAAGACAGCAAGAGTAAAATTCTTCTGAAAACATTGTTTACAAAATTTTGAACTATTCTTAGTGCTCTAAGTTAAATACAAACTAGCAACTGGCAATACGTTAAATGACACCAATTTATATCAAAGAACGATTTGTAACATTGTAACAAAGTACAGTACAATGAACTGACGCAATAACTTACACACCCTAACAATAGAGTTAACCTCAGGTTTATAAAATGCGCTCAAAAGATCTAGAATCCAAAATGAACTGAGCCAAAATTAAGCAGACTCAGGCCACTTAAGGCATGACTATCTAATTAAATATGCATATTTTGATAAAATGCTATTTAGAACGGTTTGCTTCTATCAATGATCTTGAAAACTGAACTACAAATGTAGCTTAATGGCCTTAGCAATATGAGTGCATTTTAGAAGGTCAAATTTTCGTCACGTGACTGATAATTGAGAATTAATGGTCAAATATTTACTCTAAAATGGGGAAAGGATAATGAAAGAGCAACAAGTTCTTTTAGGTACATTTCAGAGGCCATTAAAAAGGTTCTTATAAATTCGCCTTGTATGTGTGTTTACGTTATATAGGAATCGGTAAATAAAGGGGAAAAGGTCACGTGACTTATTAATTAGTTAAATGGCTAATAGGATAAATAACATTTCCAATCATACAAGGCGTATTTACGATTTACCCTGTTTATGTAGCATTTTGGTAGTGAAAATTCCTAAGATTAAGGTTTGCAACCCTTCCCCGTTTAGGAAAACGTGTTTTGTGACGTCATTGACGACGCGATGTCACTTGTTATTTGAAATCACGTTTCACGTGTTTTTTTCGTTGAGCCACATTTGTAATTCACTTTCCAGGAGCACTGATGGAAGCAAACCGTTCTAAATAGCATTTACTAAAATATGCATATTTAATTTGGTAGTCATGCCTTAAGTGGCCTGAGGATTACGCACAATAATCAATAGCATATATACATTCAGTTTAAGGGTAATAGCAAAACAAGCCTATGGACTCCTTAGCTGACCATGTAAAAGGGTTAGGGTTAAGATGTAAATCGCGGACTTGGCTCTCATTTAAGGTGTTCAGGACGAAAAGCCAATATTGTTAGGCATCAAGTTATTGTTTATTAGTGTTGCACGAGAAAAAGAACGCCAATGTTCTGTTTTGGTGGTCGAAGTCGATTAGGAAGGAAATTTTTAGTATCCTAACTACTGTTTTTAAAAATCATGATAACCCTTACTTTTCTGCTGTTTTAAAGTGGTATCTATTATAAGGGTCAAATAAAGTTCGAGCCCGGGGGGGGGGGATTCCTGGGAATTCTTGATGGGAGTGTGACGCCCTGTTCTTCAAATCCTGAACCTATTTCAGACCAAAAAATGTAACTTTCCACATCCGCTTTCAGACTAGATCTCTAAAATCCATACCCATTTTCAGACCTGGCCTTGAGGCAGAAGTTGCTATCAGTACTTAGATTATTGAGCGCAAACAAAACAATTATTCAAATCCACTTCGAATTCGCATATTTCTCTTTCTTTCTCACTCATTTAGAATTGAAACGATAAATACGTTCATACACTCCGAGGTTTTCTCGAAAACCACACCCGATTCCAGACGAAAATGAGCAAAGTGTATACGCGTTTTCAGACCAAAACGGCACAAAAACCCTACCCGATGGCGGGGGGGGCACATACCTCAATATGGCTAATATAAGAGACTGTCTCTCCTCCCCCCCCCCCCGGGGGTTCGAGCCATCCCCAGAATTGTCTCCTTTAGGACATCCATCCAAAATGTCTGAGAAGCATCCTAGGCCATGTCATATGCCTATCGCCCCCGCCCAACCACAGCTCTCATCCGACGAACGCGCCGGGAGCATTGTTGGCGTGAAGCCTGAATAATGAATTCATATAAGGAAAAAATGATCCTGAGCTGAAGAATTAAGTCGGCTTTTATTGATCTTGATGTAATTGATTAACGAGTCCCTTTAAACTATCTAAACAAACTAAAGTATTGAACAGTATTAATACAGTTACGTAGTGGATATTACGTGGCCGCGTGATAGAGAAATTTCGTATCTCCATAAACACCAATGAAATTCCAAACTATTTCACTTAAATATTTTTTTGCTGCGAAAGGCGCGATTTATTATGTAGCCATAGCAACGGTGATCTTTCACATGTAAAAATAACATGTTATTTTTGGGGGTGTAACGATTCATATTCATTGTGATTCGAGTTCGATTATTTCGAATCGATTATGTAAATGTTTCTGATAACGCGTAATGTTAACACCATGCAACCCTAAACCCTCAATTTGAGAATAGCAACAGGGACAAGAAGAATTCACAGTCGCTTGGTTCGTCGCCATGTTTGAGAACCTGACAAAGAGTGTGTCGCACATGGTTTGCCTTATTTGGAAATACAGTCGACTCCCGATAACTCGAACCTCGCGCTAACTCGAACCAAAATCGATTTCCCCCGGATTTCCATCCTACATTCACTGTAATTTTACCCTAGGGAACTCGGAACCCTCGATAACTCGAACTCCCGCTAACTCGAACCAATTTTCGTTTCCCCTCAGGCCATTTTCTATATAATTTTACCCTCGATTACTCGAACCATGTTTTGAGCCCTTAAAAAGTCGGGAAAAAAGCCGTCTACTGGCGTCTGAAACATTGGATTTTGGATTTCCTATTGACGTGTTGTAGGATTATAGTTTACTAGTGGAGGCTAATGTTGATTGTCACAGGCTAACGTGAAGCAGCTTTTCTTCTCAAAAAAGTAAAACGCATGCTCTATTTAGATTATGTTTTGCTACCTTACGTTCTGCTTTATAATCTAAAAGTATCTTTTAATTTTCACTTGACATTAGTACAATTAAATGTGATTAAAATATTCACTGTTCAGTAAAAACTGTTTTTTACCTTACTCTCCGCTATTTTCTCCGAACTCCCGATAACTCGAACCTTTTTTCTATTTCCCCTGAAGGTTCGAGTTATGGGGAGTCGATTGTACTGTGGTTGAACGACAGCATTTTTACGAGTTTGACTAATAGTCGCGGGTCGCGTGTCGCGGGTCCAAAGTCGCGTGTCGCGGGTCCAAAGTCGCGGTCGCGGGTCCAAAGTCGCGGTCGCGGGTCCAATGTCGCGGTCGCGGGTTCAATGTCGCGGTCGCGAGTCCAAAGTCGCGGTCGCGGGTCCAATGTCGCGGCAGGGGAAAATGATTTGGGGTTCAAGGTAACTGACTGAAAATGACTGATATGAAAACAATATAAAGGGAAAAATCTTTTTTATGCACGATACTCTACGGTAGCCAATTTACAGGTTACGGATGTTAGAGTCAACAAACTAATGTTTCAAGAAAAGGCCTAAAAGAAAAAGCTGACCGACTTTTGTGTTCACTGCAAGTTTATTTGTTTTCTTTCTATCGGGCCCAGTTATGTGTAAATTCAGCTTTGAATATACTTATGCATAACAGTATCTGATGAAAAAGTTACCAGAAGTTACCATTGTTTTGTTCTTGTCTATGAATTGCTCACAGATGATTAGGGGCTCATTTACTGAAAAATATGCGATACACTTCATGGACTACAAATTAAAAACGTTACAACAACTTAAAGCCTTTTATTAAAAAAAGCGAACTCGGGCTCAAAAAGCTACGAGTCTGTCGGTAGAAGAAACGAGAAGTCTTATATTTAACAAATGTTTTCGGCAAAACTGAAAGAAAATGTAAATAGGCGCATGAAACTTCATTCAAGCGGTATTCAAGGCATGAATTTAATATGGAAACAAGTAATAATCCACAGAAAGGAGTCTGTTCCTCGAAGCAAGATTCTCGCTTAATGCTTTTATTTTTACAACTGAGACGGCAACCCAGAGTGTTCGATATAACTTCTTGTTCTCTTTACCTAAATGGCAACCAGGACAACCTGACAATAGGAGGCCATTCAATGTGCGTCTCAGTCAAATCTTGAAAACATGCATGGTAACTAAGTGAGTAAGTAGGTAAGGAAATAATAATCATGATATCATGAAGCTGTAAAAGAAAGTAAACCAGACACTGAAAACAGTAAGTTATCAACTCCACCAGAGCTAAAAAAAGACACTAAATTAGGTAAGTAATTCCAGATTCCAGGTACTGGATTCAAGTCTTTATCAGTAGAACCAAGAGACTATGATCTATTCTCTCTTGGTAGAACTTGGATTCCGGATTTCAATCGTTAGTGGGAACAAACTCCTTTCTGTGGACAAGAGAGGATAAAGATCGAGCTTTATCCCGTCTTGCTGTGGATTATTAATTGTTTTTTTTTTAATTCATGCCTTGAATACCCGCTTGAATGTACTTTACTGGCACTTCAAGCCCAACGTCTCTCCTCCTCTTTCCAGTTACTTGTGCAAAGAGTTTATTTTGGGAGTTTGCGACCAGGAAGTTTTTCAACAAGCGTTTTTTTTATTTGTGCCGAAAACGTTTGTTAAAATTGAAAGAGTTCTCGTTTCTTCTACCGACAGACTCGTAGCTTTTCGAGCCCGAGTTAGCCTTTTTTAAAAAAGGTTTTAAATTGTTGTCACGTTTATAATTTGTAGTCCATGAAGTTTATCGCACATTTTTCAGTAAATGAACCCCTAAGCATTTGTGAGCAATTCATATACAAGAAGAAAACAATGGTAACTCATGGTAACATTTTTTATCAGATACTGTTATGCATAAGTATATTCAAAGCTGAATTTATACATAACTGGGCCCGATAGAAAGAAAACAAAAAGAACTTGCGGTGAACACAAAAGTCGGCCAGCTTTTTCTTTTAGGTCTTTTCTTGAGACATTATTTTGTTGACTCTAACATCCGTAACCTGTAAATTGGATCATGCATAAAAACGATTTTTTCCCTTTATATTTTTTTCATATCACTCGTTTTCACTCAGTTACCTCGAACTCCAAATCAGTTTCCCCTGCCGCGACATTGGACCCGCGACCGCGACTTTGGACCCGCGACCGCGACATTGGACCCGCGACCGCGACTTTGGACCCGCGACCCGCGACCCGCGACTATTAGTCAAACTCATTTTTCCAGGCAACACAAAATGACGCAAGAACTGCTATCGTCTCTGCTCGTCAATAAAAAACGCACATTTTAAAGAGTTCTGGATTCTGATTTTACAATATAATAACTCACTGAGGGCACCCTGGAAAAGGTGTGCAAAAATCGACCAAAATCGAAATGCGGAAGCGAACGGAACGGTCATAATCGTGATTAATCGAGAATTCGATTAATCGTTACGCCACTACTGTAGTTATTTTCACGTGTGAAGATATCATGTTCTCGCCCAAAAGCTCACCTGGTATTTCATTGGTGTTCATATAATAAATATTTATACATTACTTACGTAGTACTTACTCTTTATCCCCTGTAGGACATAAGGAAACAACAATCTCTTTCCCTTTAACTTTGTTTTTATGAACATTAATAAGATTTCTTTACAGCTTCCTAGTTTTTGATCTCACTTATTTTACTCTAGAGACAGATTTAGGCAGTTGCCCACTTGTGTGTGGGGTTTAAACGAAATTACGTGGGTAAATTAAAACAGATTTTAAAAAACGCGGTTTTCGATCAAGTGTTGAGAATAATCCAGTTAACAAAACGACCACAATTTTCCATGGTTTACACTCTTATAGACAATAGAAATGACTGTTCCAAACTCAAGTGGAACCACTAGCCGCAGGCATATATTTTTAGTTTCCTGCGAAATTTCTCGGAAAATCACGCGCACGAAGTGACGTTTTTCTTGTTGTTTTTCGTATTTTTGCTCTACCTTTGAAGCTTCAAGCACCATATTACTTTCAGAAATTTCTCCCCATATTTTGAAAGTTGGTTCTTCCTTGTCCATGTTGAGGAGTAAAATTATTTTTACGAAAAACCAAAAACAAAACAACCGGCACTGCGTGACATGTGACGTCATTCGTGTGTGTCTGTTCAGTAATAGATCACAGATGACTTCAAAATGTGATTATGGGCCAAGTCGCACTAAAGGGCAAATTTCAGATTTGTTCGGGACAAATCCGACTTGAAATCGGCCAGTGACAAAAAATTCGTCCAGAAAGCTACAGTCGCACTTAAGAACAAAATCTGTGAACAAAACACAACACCATGCTGGTTAGCGCCTTGTGATTCTCGGGCTTTCTAACTGATCATCCTTTTCATCCCACAGTCTGAACTAAAAGCTTCTCCTCTTCTTTACTCCATCTGTCCTGAGCCTTCTTGTTCTCGGCTGACGAAGAGGCACGGCGCGAAAAAGATGGGGTTAATGCCGGCATTGACCCATCTTCGCTGAACTGGAGGGATTCTGGCAACGAGTCAGTATTCGTGGTCGAAGGAGATGGGCTGGGATTTCCTCGATCATTAAAAAAAAATGTAAGGGCCTGGCAAAGGATAGATCCATCCCGGTGGATATTGTGGATATTCGTACGGAAAAAACTGGTCGCCCGCGCCGGATTCATGTTGTTGCGAATGAGAACGTGATTAACAACGAAGTCTATATAGCATAGAGACTCTGCTACATATCACCTGTCAAATCATTTCCGAATTTTAAAAAACACCCTCACTATTGTTTTCCAGAATTTGTCTCAATTTGGCCTGCTCCAGAGGTAGTCGACGGCATCTTTGAAGTTTGTCCGTCCGCGACCAAATTTTGTCCTTTGGTGAACAAACCGGTCGCACTTGGTTTTTCATTGCGATGACAGATTTTTGACACAAATAATCAACGAGCCGCAGGCGAGTGTCACTGATGTTTTTATCACATTTTGACGTCCTCTGTGATCTTTTGCTGAACAGACCCAGGGCAACATGGAATCTATTTGTTTTATACAATGATCAGAAAAGAAAAAAGACCGATACAGATACCTGCTGCGTACCTCTTGACTGTTTGAAGATTTGAGCTAGTTTAGGCATTTTTTAAGTCCCAAGCGCTACTTTTCGTCTCTGCTTCTTCTTGTTTTCCTTTAACTTGATTGTATACAGGTTCTTCGAATAGTTTTTCAACGTCTTAGTTTTCTTGCTCAAAGCAGAATAATGGCGAAAACATTTTGCACAATGGGAAGTCTCTCATAGCGATAGTCTAGCGATGAAACTCGATCGGCAGCTGTTGTGAAGATTTCTTGTAGTTTATGCATTCTTAAGTAGTCAAGAGCTCTTTTTGTCCCCGCTTCTCCATTTTTGTTTCTTGTATAGCTTCACTTGCTTTAATCCGAAATAATCTCATAAACATTTTCAAAACCGCGCGCCATGTTGAACAAAACAAAGAAAACAAGTTTGCGTGACGTCATCCATGTATCTGTACTCTGATAGATCATGGGCAACAACCAATCACAACGCGCGTAGCATTCACATCATTGTATAAACTCTCATAGACCATAGCTCTCTACCAATCAGCGCGCGAGGATTCGCTCAGTTATTGTAAAAAATGTGATTGCTCTGGTTTTATTTCCCTACGCTCTGCTATTGTTGAAAATGAAACTCGCGCCACCCTCTCAACCAATCAAATGCAAAGCTAAAACCACTCGCGACTTGGTGACAAATGTTTTTCCGCTCTCGGGAATAGTTTTAGTTTGAGATATATCGGCTCCTTCTGATGGTTACCTATGTTATGATTTTCCGTTGGTGTGACATAATTCAGCGTTGCATGTGAAATACCTGAGTCTACAGAAAAAGTTCAATTATATCCAGCCTTTATTGCAAACGCAAATCCATACATTGAAGAGTTTGATTTAGTGACCTTTGTAATAACCAAGTTAAGGAAAGTAAAGTTAAGCAACAGGGGAAAAATCCGACTTTAAAAGCATAAATTGACACAGGATTGCATTACATTGTGTTTCATCAAGACACATGGCTAATCTCAGTTGTTAGATCTCCCTCAGACAGGCACAAACACGAGTGTGATCTACAGATTGTTCATTGTGGTTCCCTTTCCGGCTTTTTTTTTTCTGAAAAAAAGGAAATTTATCTGGTAAATAATATGTGTAACCTAAAAGGTGGTTTCAGTAAGCCGTGGTTTATCGTCATCTAAATTTTCATCAAAGGATCGCTCCTTATCCATAAGCCTTTCGTTCGCATTCTCATCATCCCTTGCTTGCACTGTAACCCTCCCATAAACGTCACACTTTGGAGTGAACCTGGTACCCAGATCAACCAACTGTTCGCTCATTGGGTCACGTGATTCGAACTCCAGCTGAAGAAGGTCGTTACGAGACAGGTGTTCGACAATCGCGGCGCCATAGGAGTCGCCCATGATGTTAACTATGCCACGCAGGCGATCCCTGGAACAGAAATTAGGGAGAGAAGAGACCTGTTCAGTCCATAGCAAGAAGAAGTATCATTTACAGCAAGGCCCCTTCGAGGCCAATGTTTCCTTTTGGCTGTTTTATACATTCCCTAACATGGCTAACAAGAGACCGGTTACTCATTTCCAAACCTCTCGCGATTTATTTATACTCGATACAAACGAAGCTACGGCTTGTTACTATGTAACGTCAATCGGGGAAATTTACAGATCAACTTCTCTCATTCTCAGACCAAAAACCTGGCCCACTGTGCAAACGTTGACAACAACGTTTTGTCCCGATTATATCTGAGCCCTGGAATTAGCTGGTGGGATTTAGCTTGTATATCAGTGGTATTGTAATCCTCTTAGTTAATTTTGGTATTCAGTTACAAAAAGAAACTCGACAAATTCGCTGCCGTGTTTCCTATTCTCTGACTGTTACGTAAGATGCGGTCATTTTATGCGGTTGATTTGTAGCTTTACGCCCGAGAAAGATGTCCAACATACCCGCATAGCCAGCCTGGGGAGGAATAGCCAGATAAGGCGTTGTAGTCTTTGTAATGGTTGTTAACTTAAACGTGAATTAGGAGTAAGTGTTAATTGGCGGCTGGTCTTCACTTTCAAACGCGTTGAGGGATTCAGAATTACAATTGTCCAGTCAAGTAGACAAATATTCTGACAAACATGGTGAATACTCACAGAAGGACATCAACTGAGAATAGCAGGGCGATGTAGTCTGTCGGTAACCCAACGGCTTGTAACACTATTACCATGGTAACTAAGCCTGCCTGCGGAATTCCAGCCGCGCCGATTGAAACGGCTGTTGACGTTAAGCTAGAATGAAATAATACCAAGCATTACTTAGTTAGCAAACAAATATCAAAACCTATAATTTACGGATACCTGCTGTATGTGATAACTTAATTGTTGGCTGAGCGGTTAGCAAACTCATAGTCTGATATCACTTCCTAATTAGTTTTATCCAGGTAAAGGGTAATGCCGCCAACTCTGGAACTTTCGCTGGTAACTCTACATTTTGCTAGTGACCTAGAAATGGACACAACCGGAGTCCCACATCTCTAAAGAAACACAACACAAAGATTCCCGATAGGTCGGTTAAATGGGACCTCGGAAATCGAATCCAAAAGTTAACTCCTTGGAGACTTCTCCGAGAAAATTTTTAATTATACACGTCTAAAGGAGACCAAGGGCGTTAGATGTCAGACAAGCATCTTTTAAGACATCTTTTAAGGAGAATATGACTGTGTTTAATACGTGTATTTAGTACTTTGCGTTAAACGGTATGTGGACGGCTGAAACTAAACATCCCGCTAAGTGAGACCAAAATCCGTCATTTGTACCCCTAAGCGATCGAGAGGACGATCATCCCTTTTTCTTGTCAAATGGTAACCCCTTCCTGTACAGCCTATTACTGACTAGACTTCGACCTCTTCTATCTCCTACAATATCGATATAATTTGTCACTGCCTTTGCTTTGTTCACCTGGTGATAATTATCTCTGGAATAGTTAGCTTGATACCACTGGCTTGGGCGATGAAGAGAGCGGACACAGCCTCATACAGGGCTGTTCCGTCCATGTTTAACACAGCACCCAGGGGGAGGATAAAGCGACTGATTCTCATATCCACCTTATTGTTTTCTTCCAGACACCTCATGGTGGTAGGCAATGTGGCGGCGCTGTAGAAATAAAGTTAAACAAGGAGACTTTCGAGCATCCATGTACGGGGGAAAGTACAAGTGTATGCAAACCTGTTGCAAGCGATGAGACACCGGGCACCAGTTTACTTTGGGTTCTGTGTATATATAGTTAGTTTTATAGTTAATAATATTTATATAGGCTAGATTCTTTCGGATTGTGTATTGTTATTTTAGAATTAGTTTTATTTCAGTGTCCCCAATTAGTATATTTGGAGGGGTTTTTTTTACCCTCGGCTAAATAATATACTGACACTTTAATAAAGTTATGATGATGATGATGATGATGATACGGCATGTAGTGACTGGGTAAAGGCACAGAGACTTTAAAAAAGATACGTTTTCTATTGTTGACGTTCTGTAGCTTCTTGCCTCTTGCCTGAACGCGCATAAATCGTTCCTTTTTGCCAGTAGAATTAAAAAGAAAGCCTTAATTAAACTATGCTCTTGCATTTTACCGTCAGTGACAAAAGACGAAAGCACCCTCTGTCTAACACAAAAATAAAAGAAAAACGCTCGTTCTTCAATTTCGCGCGTTTAAACGCGATACCATTCCTGTGCGTTACGTGATTTGTGTACTAAAGCGAGCGACTTGGAGAAAATGAAAAATATCACTAGCTGCAAAACCGAGGATACATATGGCAATTAAAAAAGAACAATAACTGAGTCACAATTTTAGTTAATTACCTTGAGGCTGTGCCAATCATGGTGATAATAGCTCCACTCATTCTCATCATGAACTTGAAGGGATTTGCATGCATCACAATGAAGTATATAAGAGGAAGAACAATTAAGAGGTGAATGCCTAGCCCGCAGATCACGGTCAGAGTATACATGCCAAGAAGGCGAAATGATTCAAGAATATTGTCCACTGCAGCGATCTTGGCAGCGATAAGACTGCATATTCCGATAGGAGATATCCTGAAATTAAAATGACTCACATTAGATTATCTTGAATTATTAATTAAGAGCAGTTTCATTGCGACACAATGTCATCAAACCAAAACCAGTATTGTTAGCAGTAACATATCTTTATGACCAAGGGAGCGCCAGAGGCAATCGTTAGCCCTGCCACTGATATAGCTATGCAACATGGCCTACGCTCAGGAAGACGCCGTTGACGCAGTTAACGTTCATTTTCTGACAGGGGCACCCAACGTCAATTTTTGGAAAATATCTGTTCGGAAGACGATTTGAGATCTAGAATTTTCGGGAGTTTTTTTTCGGGCTGAAATTTTCGAAAAGGTAAGTTTTGATTCCTATAATTTTCGGATCACTAGGCTTCAGCTAGGAAATCCGAACAGAGGAAAAGTTTTTAGGGGACAAAAATATGCCTATATCTACCGTTTAAATACTAAAATATGATCAACAATGCATGTTTAAGTGATTTTGAACTATGTTCTCGTTGGGTGCCCCTGTTCTGATTAGCCTGACTAGAATGGACATTCCAAGTCAGGTGCTCCAGGGAGGCTGGGGCCTAATTGTGCATACGACATACTTACTAACAAAAAGATCCTAACCACAAGCAAACTGGGTTTGAACGTACGAAAAAACAGCACGTAAACTGGCCAGAATTGATGCAATCCCGAGGGTTGAAAAACAGCACGTAAAATGTGAACCTAGAAGTAATTAAATCCAGATGCTGAAGTAAACCAGGGCGGAACAAACCGCAAGCTAGCCAGAGTTTTAAAACTCTTAAAAGTAAACTTATAAATAACTGCAAGCTGAGCTAGCCTGAGTGGCAGTAACTGCAACCGAACCATAGGATCATTGTTGAACTAATTACAAGTAAACAAGTCAGTAGAGCTAAACACAAGCAAACTGGAACCCGTCAGAAGAAATGGGATGCAGTCTTTCAGTGGATACCTAACTTTTAAGTATCTACTCTTGTCACGTGTCTCGCCCTGACATTAGGTACCAAGCTGACAGTGATCAGTCATTACAGCAGTTGCTCAAATTCAACTTTAGACTTTATTTATTTATTTACAAATTACTGTATTCGGAACTATCAATTCAAAGTAGACAGACTGCAAATTATATTTGTTGCTAAAAAAATATATATCTACACGTCGCAACTGTTCATCAGTAGGATTCCTAAAATCGATTCCTCGTTGGTTTAAAATCCATTAAAAAAAAACAAAACAAAAGAACACTTTGGAAAGCCAAAAACCAATAAGCAGAGCCACGGGCAACACATATAAGTGAAGAAAATATAACGCAAACAAAACAGACGTTCAAACGAACTAAGCAGCACGTCAATTAAATAAATAAACAAATAATGTCCGCGTTCAAAATAAAATTGCACCTGGGACAGATTGTTCTCCAGATTCTGATGAAATACAACATATAAGCAATAAATAAGTAATGTAAGGATACGATGGTGCAATTCAAGCCTGGATTGCTAATCTCATCTCCCGCAATAACTTACCACATTACAAGTTTGATCATCTTCATAACGATTTCATTCAATGCATCGAAGAAAGACTTCATAATTGCTCCCCTCTAGCGAAGATTCCCCAGGAAAATTCCAAACACCATGGAGAACACAACCAGACCCACAACATTCAGTGTACCCTTGGGGTCTACCATCAATCCCGCGGGTACTAAAACTCTCGGGAGATCCCCGGTGGGTGCTTTGTGTACTGTGGTCAAGTTATGGGTGCCATTGTTGAATATTTTCATCGCTGCTAGTTGAGAAGCGTTCAGGCTTTTGACATCCACGGTGACATTGTATGGCTCACCCCCGTGCTGAGTTTTGGAGTTGTCGTAAATAACTTCATCGTATTTCGTTCTTTTCTGGAAGAATAAGTCCACCGCAAAATGTTAAAATCACAAATTATTAAGGCGTTTAATTACAATCAAAGCTCCCTTAACGGACACTTTTGGGTGGTGGGCTTGAAGTACTTATCACCCACATGATCTTTAACTGGACTCGTGTTCCACGGCTGTTATATACAGATAAACAATACTTAGTACAGTTGAAGTGTCACTGGAAAAGAGGGTGTCTTTTTCAAACTTTAAAATGTCCTCTGTTACCCTATCTTTGTATCCCCCCTCCAACTTTTCTTTAGTAAATACATAAACAAAAAAACAAAAATTCTCTGACATATTATTCTAATCACTATAAACTAATTAAGCCATTTTTTTGGATCCAATCACAGCTAAATGAAAAAGAACTGAAAAGCTCCTGAAACGCATATAAACAAACTACACCCCCCCAGCCCCTTAAGCTGTTTACCAACCTGGCTGAATGCTGCCTCCACAATGTTATCCGGGAAACAACTCCTGTTTCAAAAAAAGCAAGCGATAAAATTCAGGTCTTACCTCGTAAGGCCATGTAATTTTCTTTAAAAGCCTTCATTTGAAATAGCTCCTTTGAACTACATGAGGTACTTCTAATTCGAATTCCTTCCCGGATTCGATTTTAGTTTTTACTCATCGTAGGTAGATTGTTTAAGTGCCAAAATTATTAACAACCTGTAGGAAAAAAAACTTACTTTGTGCAAAATGTCAAAATCTGGTATAACGAGAGAGAAAGTGGGAAAGACGTCAACGTTTCCTCTTGCCGGGAGGTGGGGGGAAACTTCCATATGAAAGGGGACAGGATGCTCGTCGTCTCGCTTTGGGGTGTTAATTTCTGATTTTGGTCTCATTAGGGTGTTGTGGGCAAAACGCAATGATATTTAGGGTTGCAAGTGAAGAAAATATCAGTGTATAATTATTTGACTGTGTTTTGAAATGCTCTTTTTCAGGAGTCAAATAAGAAAACTGGAGCCACGCTTAGATTGCTTTCCTTTAGGGGTATAACTCAGAATTTCCGAGGGGCATCCCCACCCCTTTCATATAGGAGTCACTCCCCCTGAGCTTGCTACCTTAACAAATCCAAGAATGCATCTAATGGCCGGTAAGGACTGACTTCGCTATCCTCAGACGGTTTAGCTCGACTACCAGGTTTGATAATGGTTACAACCGCAATGCCAATAATAACAGCCGACACAGTCGGGCACAAATAGTAGATTATCGCGCGTCTACCGATTCTCCCACTGGCCCTGGCATCTATTCCTGCGAGGGCGCAGACAAGGCTGGCCACGATCAACGGAAGAACAAGCATCTTGAGCATATTGATGAAAAGTTCTCCTGGGAAGCCTATTAAGATCAACATCGTCTTCCTTTCTTCTGGATTTTCGACTGCATTCACGTAGCCATTGATGGCCACACCAACGATGAACCCAACCACCACGCCGATCATCATCAAGACAAGAAGGATGTCTTGACGTAATTTGAGTCCAAATGCGACGCAACAACGAGTACAGAAATTCTCCTTAAAACCAGGCATGGTAGACGTTCTGTGAACAAAAAAAAAACGCGCAGAGGCTTTCAACTGAGCTTCTTTTAAAAGTAATTTTGCTGGACGCGTTCGCGGCGCGTACCTTTCCGCGGCGTATACATTAAAGCGGCAGCATGCAGTTATGCGCAGTTCGTGATTTTGCGCAGCGCGTAATTTAGCTCGAACTTAAGTTTGCTCTTGGCGTAATTGATATGGTGACATATGCTGCGCAACATTCCTAACAAAAACAGAGAACGGTAACGGTTCATCCACGTGGAAACGCATGGCCAGCTCACGCAAACGAGATGTTGTTATCATATTGATCAATATCAATAATTGCCTTAATAAGAGCCTTTGGTTAGTCTGATAGTAATAAATATTAAAATATTTATTAATATACACTTCGTTGTTAATTCATTTTCCAAAAGAGTGGATTGTAGGAATCAGAAGTAGCGGGAGTTATTTCTACACATTTCTTTTTTGTTTTTTTGTAGACCGGGGGATTCAGCTCCTGCCCGTAAGGAGGGGGACATTGGGGGACTGTCAACACCGAATCACAATAAACCACAACACCGCAAAGGGTCTGCAAATAATTTTGTTTCACCGAACACTGTAGGATTAAAATCAGGAACACGGCACACCGAACAATTTGAGATCACTGCAACACCGCAACATGTGATTTTATACACCGCAACACCGGGACCAAAAAAACTCAGCGACACTGCAACACCGCAAATCCCAATGTCCCCCTCCGTAAGGTGTCTGAAACAGCGGGGTGTCCGCAAGGAGAGAGTTAGCTGCACCTGACTTTGTTCATTAAATTATTTAATCAGTCTAGACAACAATAACCAACCACTGTGTACACAGTCGGGGTCATAACGACTGGTGACAAGTGGGGGTGATAATGTGGAGGAGATGATTTTCAAAGGACACTAAATTTTAGAGACGGGTTAGGTGGAACGGTACACATTTTTGGCAAGACAAGATTCACATGGGACAAGTTGGAGACTGTTAACTATGAGTTGAGCCTAAAGCAGAAAGAAATTGATGTACTAGGTCAGTCTCTTAATTCATGACTGCCTCGAGCTCCCTTCTCCAAAAGTCATTTGACTAGATCTCGGGTATTTTATAAGTTTTTCTTTCTGCACACCACATACTCTTCGCAATGCTTAGACTATTGATAACCGGCGTTGTTGAATTGTTAGCAACTGCTTAGACAGTGATGTTCACATATCCTCGCATATATTAGGATTACTAAAATATTCTCAAATTAAATATATAAACTTCTTTCGCCTTTTACCTTGTTTAGTATTATTTAGGTTATGCTCCAGAACACTTACCATCTGAAGATCAGAGCTTCAAATCCAGTAGAAGTTCGGTCGAGATACAACTAAAATGGTCTGATTTGCCACCTCCCTCCGTCCTAAACAAAAACAAGCTGTGCAATTTGCATTTACAGTGGGTACACCTTTATATTTTCGCTTTCAAACGAGACGACAAACAAAGCTGAACGATTAAAATATTTGAAAGCGTATTTTGCGATGTATAAAATTACCTCTGAATACAAAAGAGACTTAAAATATTAGTTTCTTAGAATGGACACAGACCAAAGAGATAAGAATATTAAACCAAAAAGTAACAGGGATGGTTAGCGATGAGTAAGATTAACACGAATCTTGCAATTTTGAAGCTTGAAAAATCTAGGCTAAAGTTTTCAAGATTCTCAAACCATGAAGTAGATTCTTTAAGTGCCGTAAACTTTAATTCCACTTAGGCCATTTAGGAATAGAGGTCACACCTACATACTCTCACAGATTACGACCGAAAGTTCTAAACGCTGTTTATTAAAAGATGTCTTTTCAACTATATTTAATTTTTATACATTCTCCAGAAGGCTTTTATCATGTAAATTTGTCTTGTTCAGCTGTTATCCGAAACGTTTCTTTTTGGAATTGAAAATAAATAGCTTTTTATAATTTCAACGAAACTCAACTTTCAACTAGTCATTTCTTGGTACTAACATGGCGTCTGCACACGCCTACAGCTAATACAAGTGGCTATCAAATGATGCACAAAAAGCTAAGTCTTGTCTTAGATAATTGTGTTTCTTTTCGTTAATTATGAGATCGAAGCTGATCTGCCACATAACAAGCAAGAATGTCGATGATTCTCGTGAAACTTAAAAAATGTCTGGCTGAAGTTTTCAAGTGTCCCTGAACAAATATGAAGTATTGTGTTCAGTTATAATAATTATACATACACATTCTCCATTTTGGCAGCCTTTTTATTTCAAATCTTTCAAAATGCTAAAATTTGCCACTGCACGCGGCGAAATAACAAACAAAACGAAGCATCAGTTTATTAGTAAAAACGTTTGTTAATAATATTAATGAGGGTAAGGATACGAGGTAATCCAAGAATTACAAGTAATGTTTACTTAACATTTTGTTCTCAATGCACAGTAATGAAAATGAATTAGTTTAAGTAAAATGGGTGATTTGAATGATCTTAAGCTTATAAGTAAGGCTTAAAAAAAGACAAAGCATCAACAAAGGCTGTTTTTTGTCTGCTCACGCTGTTTGTTTACATTCAGCCTGTCACATGGACACGCTTATCAAGCAATGCACAATTCTAGCCACTTGCATCGAAACTCTACTGGTCTCCTTTATTTGCCCGTTTCGATTCGTCGAAGACAAGTCAGCTTAAAAAAGGCTTTTCTTGCCGAGGAGGGCGAAAGAGTAGCGGCTCGTCTTAACAGCCGACTCTTGCGCCGATACACTTTTGCGCTAGGTCCAAAAAATGAACACCTGATCGCAGGTTCCTAAAAAAAGATGATAAACTCATTTTTTTCTCTTTTCTGACCTTCTGCAATCTCGGATTTGTAGATGATGCACTTCTGTCAAGTGCATCACTGATCTACAAACTATAAAGTCCAGAATGCTAAACTAAGAAAGACTGAAATCAAACTGCAACATCTCTTTAATCAGTACTGACGTTACCTTTATGCATCTGTCAATTCCACCTGCGCCCAGTCCCCCCGCCCCGGGCATTAGCACTTTTTTTGCCTTGAATGGCAAATTCCCGGGGGTGGGGACTCTTGAGCTGTCCAATCCCCGGGGTGGGACGAAAAGAAAGAGGGCAAATGCCCCGTCCTCCGTCAAAACTGCAACATTTTTCATTGATCGCACAGTCAAATAGTGCCATTTTAAGCATTTTAATGTGCGATTTTTTGTTTCAATTAACGTCTTCCTTTGTGATAATTAACACTTCACGCCGCGACAACATGCACCAGTTTACGCTTTTAGTATTGATATAAAATTATTGACATTAAAATTAATAGAGTGCTGTAAAGTTATATGTTATGAATAGTTTTATACAATGAAAGGATGTTCTGCAAATAATATCAACAGAAATTTGATTCAATAACCAACAAACGGTGATTCACATCGATAGCTCCAATTTCGCTACGTAATTCTGGCTTGATAAGCAATAAAGAAATGCATACATACATGTAAAATACAGAACATGCCTTTACAACCCTCTACAATTTATTCCTGTCCTTTTCCAGGAAACCGCGTGCGTGTCAAAAGCTCGGGAAGTCCCGGGGGTTGCCAAATGCCCGGCCCAGGTTTTATTCGTTTATATGATACAGATGTTCTCATTCCATTTTGTCAAGGGAACTCAATTTATAGTAGCCTGAGTATCAGGCCTTCCTACGGGGCTAGGGGAGAAGAGATTTTAGATGGGGGAGGGGGGAGGCGTGCTTTTTGGCAAGTGAAGCTGACAACCCAATGACCGGAAGTGATTTTGATTGGATGGTATCGAATCATGCTGTGTGGGGGTGGAAGGCTCCGGTAAAAGCATCTGTGTCAGGCGTTTCTCTCCTTCACCTCTCTCCCTTTTTCGCTTCCATTTTTCCCCTTTTCCCCAGACACGCCCGATACTCAGGCTAAATTTATAGCTGCTATTTTACACCACCTGATCAAGACTGGATAGTTAGCCACATTTGGCATCTTAATACGGAGGGAGGCACAATATTTTACAATAAAGAAAAAAAATGAAACATCAAATAAATAACATTTTATAACATTTCCTTTCCCCGCTCTTTAATTCATTTAGTTGTCGGTAGAAGTGCGGAAAAAAACATTTACCTTATGATTTGATTAGAACTTCCCCCTGAAACACAAACCTTGGCTTTCGAATGAATGACACTGTAAAGGGGTTTTCGTTATGTTTGCTATTTTCATTAACAGTTTGCTTGGATAAGAATTATAACAATGAGCATCGATTTCGTTCAACGAAATCTTAAAAGAAATAATATGTCAGCGCGTTTTTGAAGATTAATTTCTAAATAAAAAAAGTATTTTAAATCTGTCTTTTCATGAGATGTGTTTAATTTTTTACGCTCCTAAACGCAGTTCAGAAGGAGCAATGTTCATTCGTATCAGAGCACGTTACTACACATTGTATATGAGAGATCGAAACATCCGTTGTCAACATGGATTACTTTTTTAATATGTGGCCTTCATGACCAACGCTAACATTTCAGCATTGAATTGGGTTAAATTCCTAAAATGATAAAGGAACCTCAAAGCCAATGCATTAGGCCATTTGCAATACGACATTATTTTTATGAAAATGAACGTTATATGATTTTGCCTTCGAAAAATGATTAGTGGGTGACTTTTTAAAAGTCCCTGTTTTTTGGGGTTCATATCTTAAAACCAAATAGTAGTGATTTGGTTTCTCAAACCCGCAGCATTTTCTTAAAATAAGTAAATTCGTAGCTGGTAACGTGACCAAAATGTGGTTTTCAAAATTATGAATTACCTCTTTCTGACTACAGATTTTGCACTTAAACTTCAAGGAAAATGTTGAAAAGATGGAGGGCAAGATTATACCCTCCAACATGGCGGCCAATACAAATAATAAGTTACTTCTTGGTTGAAAAATCAAAGTGCCATAAAATATCTCCCTTAAATGCGTTTCCTCTCAAATTTCGGGTATAAGATAGTTTTTATACGCTCTGTCAATTTTTGTCTTCAACAGGATTCCAAGTCATTGTTTAAAGGAAGCATTGGTTACGTGACCTCTTAGTGCAAGTGGTCTATCCGTTCCCTGTTGTTTATGTGACCCGTAGGGGAATTCTCGAGGGTGGCTCACTGCACGCCACTTGTTCTTGACTTTTTTGGCGTAATCGTCGTTATGGTCTGGCTTTTTAATCTGTAACTTTCTATATATGAAACACAGGATATAGTTTTAACATTCGTTTTTAATGTTTCCATTGTAACGATCTTTAAAGCTGCAAATTACAGTAGACCATACAGTTGTACATCTATAAGCGATAACTTTACATTGACCATTTGAAGCATATTTTCAACCAAAATTGTGCACGCGATGATGTAACTTACTAATGAAACTATTATTGAAACTAAATTTTAGAATATTTTGTACAAGCGGTTTTCGAAGTGTCTATTTAACTGGCCAAAAAAGTCATGTTCAGTACCAAGCATGGGAAACTGATTCCAAAAAGAAAAAACAACTGCCAATGTAAAAGTTTATCCGTTCTTCCACAGCAAAGTAATGGCTTTTTAATTAAATCTCGAAACTCGTTCTGGCACTCTTCATTTCCCTTTCTCCAACTTTCCCCAGCCTTTCCCGAATTGTTCGATTTAGTGAAATAAAAGATACTAATCGACTATGGAACAAATTGGTCTAAATTTCCGGTTGAATTAAGACAAATAGTTTGTCGCGACCATTTAGACTGCAATACGCGTCTAACAGTTTAAATAAAATCTTTTTCGAAAAGCGCTACTTAACAAATGAATAAAAGCCTACTTATTTGCTATCTACAATCTGTGCTTTTATCGTCTTCCGTTTCCACAGCAATGCCCTCACGTCACAGACCACTTGACTACGTCTTCATGTTTTATCGGTTTCAAATGCGAGGTTATTTTTTCCACTTGAATGGACGGTGACTTGACCCAAGGGCTGTTGTCTAGAAAGGCATAAGAAAGACATGAAGTAACTATTATAGGAATTTCAGTATGACGAGTATGTCTCCCTCCCTCCCCTTTCGCTGTTAGATGCAACAAGCAGCCTAAATCACCTGTTTGTGACGCCCTCGACTTGCCTAGTCCCTAGGCGTCCACATTCCGCGCGGCCTTTGTGTTTCGGGTCAGGCACGAGGTCCGAGAGAGTTTGTAAGTCTCCCCGCTGTTTATGTCGGATACGTCACCGAAATGCATTCACCGAGAAGGCCTGGGAATACGCTGCACAGGGGGTAGGCAGGCTCACAGCTAATAGGTACTTCAAACAGTTCCAACGTTGGACATGCAGACCCAAAGAACACTTACATCTCATTTTCAGGCCTAATTTCCAATGCAAAAGCCTCATTTGTGCAGCCCTCATTGGTCACGTGACCTTGAGTATTCTTCCTCTCCGCAGGGTTCGAGGTGACGTCCCCAACTATCTCAGGCTGACACCTGAAAAGTTAAAAAATATGTTAGCTTTTGTACAAGGGAGTATATGATATGAAAATAATGTTTCTTCAGTCAGAGACATCAACAGCTTATAACCTAATGGGTAATAGCTAGTCCAAACACGCTACCACTGAGCTAAGGGAGACTCTGAGGCGATAGAAAGGCCATTAACTAGGTTATGTGTACCGTATATCCTGGGTCTAGGTTGATCCTTCAAAGAACATGACTCATATCTTTTCCTCAGCTTGTACTTCTAAAAACATCTTATAACAACGTTGTATGTTTTACGTCAGTCGTTCAAGGACTTGGCTTCGGCATATCTCAAAAGACACCTATAAGGCCCGAATATACCCAAATACTCTGCCACGCCCTTAATTTTCCATCTAGAAGCCCTCAAAACGCACAGTGGCATCAACCTTTCATCATAATACCCTTGAGGTCAGTTAAGAAGCCATAGACGGACATGGAGACCTAACATATCTTCTGGTACACCGAAACAACCTTTGTCACAGGCCTTGCTCTTCCAGTAGGTAGTTCCCACACTTAATTTTTATTATAATAATTATAAGAAACAAAAATATCTTTAGGACTCCTGTTAAACTACAGTTACGAGGAGGAATACTACCACAAGGGTCAGTCCTTTTGCTAGAAGCGTATTACCCTCGAGATAGCCGAAGGAAATCAACTGGATATTCCCTCAGATCCAGCAAAAAAGTTATGCTTGAGGTTCCAATTCAAGCGGCAAGATACCCCCAACACTTCGTGGTAGAGCATTCTGTTCTGCGGCCACATAGCTCTGGAACAACCTACCTAGTAAAATATCCAGCCTTGACTCTCTATCAAATTTTAAATGCCATGTGAAAACATATCTTTTTAAACAAGCTTTTAATTTGTAGTAGAGTATTTGTTTCGTTTATTTTATTATTTATCACTTTTTGTTATTTTATTTCATTTTTAATTCTTTCTACTTGCTTGTAAATTTTATTCATTTTTAGTCTTTCTTTTTAACTCATTGTAAAGCGCATTTGATCATGTGCCATGGAAAATTTGCGCTATATAAGTTTTAATTATTATTATTATTATTATTACTTATTATTACTACTTCCCAATGGAATGAGCGTTTATTTGTGGAACAGCCTCTAGGATGACCTTGCCCTGAGAGACGAGTGTCTCCTATCTGTAATATAAGACAACTTTGCTTACAGAGATTCGTCGTAAGCAAACCCTAACTGCTCAATGGCTTCCTGGTCCATTTCCTCCAGCAGGGACAAGTCTGTCTGTACCTCCTGTTCACGCATTTCAACATTCACCTGCTCTCTAGCTTCATTCATGTTCGCTCTAGCTCCGTGAACTTCCACATCGACATCGTGCACTTCAACTTTGGTCACTGCTGCTTTGCCGCTTTCTACTTGTGCTCCGACAGATGAACCACCAATTCCGAGATCGACGTCGTTGTATCTCTGCCTTTTCACTGACCTGCCCAGAGGAGCCTTGGTAGTTGGGATGCCTGTTTCGTCAATTTCACTGTCTTCAACAATAACTTCCAAGCCTTCATTGTTCATCCCTCTCTGGGTTGGAGTCATCTCTAGCCTTCCGTCTTCCATTTCAAGCTGGCTTTTGAGGTCATCATCTTTACCAATAATCCCGCCGCTGTCTTCCTCCGTATCGTTTACAGGAAGCAGAAGGTTTTGACAACAGGTAATTGAAAAATATGGATGTCTGATCCACTGCTTCAGGAAGCGGAAAACGGTTGAGAAGTATTCGACTGAAAGTAAGAGATTATTGATTGAGTTAGGAATGTCACAAGGAAAAAAAAAAATTAAAGAAGAGTTATCCGTCCACTCCCTCCCCCAAAGCCCGAAAACCCCATTTTCCCTGGAAAATTTTCAAGAACAAGTGGTATCATGCGAAGAATATACTTGAAATGTGAGACCTAAGGATTTTGTCTACAGACTAGCTTTAAAGTTAATTATTATATAGACACGAGTGTTAAATATGGCACTCGTAAAATTCATAAAAACTACATCCGGGACCCGAGTGGTTTATTTTCCATAATCTCGCCCGTGAGTTTATCGATAACGTAATTTCGGTAATTTCTCTCTATTATTTTATCAATGTCTTTTTGTCTATATAATAAAAAGAACATTACGCGGCGGCTTGAAGATATGAATTTTATGTTCTCGTGGCAAAAACAATATTTTACTCACTCGCTGCGCTCGTTCGTAAAATATTGTTTTTCCACTCGAAAATAAAATTCGTATCTTCGCGCCACCGTGTAATAAATCTTGATATCTCTAGCTCTATAATTGACTTGACTCTGGCTGACTGGTAATATGATTCCAGGAGACACGGTATATCAAGAGCCACCTCAGTGTTTGTAGTGGAGCTTTAACAAACAAACAACTAAGAAGATAATACAACAAAATTAAAGCTGGATAAATTACTATGACACCAGTCAGTGAGTATCGTAATCAAAAGGTGTTTTAAGCAACATCACCACTGACGAGTGGTAGTTGTAATCTTACTAATTAGTTGTCCAATCACCAATGTGTTCGCCCCAATCACAGTAATCTTGAACATAAGGGTGTCAAGAAGAGGATCCTCGGCGGGTGGGCGGTTCTCTGCAGGTATCCTGCTCACAGCTCCAATACCCAGATTAACAAATGTAACGGAGAGTGCAGAAACCATCAAGTTATTCTCGAAATAGTCTTGAATAGGAGCGTAGTAAGCAAAGGCCATCCCATAAAGCGCAGCAAGGACGCAAGTCACGCCAACGAAGACTCTGGTTTCACCACCCACCAGAATTAAGCCAGACGTCAGGGCTATCTGAAACCGTTAACGAAGTGCAAACGATTGAAGAAAGAGAGAAACCTTTTAAAAGGTAAAAGGTCTTTCTTTTGTTACAAAATGAAGAAGTGATAGAAAATTAGTAGGAGAATGACATGGTAGTTGTATTATTATAGAGGAAGTTTCGTAAGTTGTTTTAAAAGCCGTACACAGTAATATTTAAGACAAAATAAGCTACTGTTTGTCAAGGCTAATGAGGCATGGTACGAGACAGTCATCGTTTTGTTTTGTCACAGTATGGTAATATAAGTCGAGACCAAACTGCAACCGTTTGTATCAGGGAAGCGGGGAGTGGAGTGAGGAGAAATTTAAGTGTTAGAGGGAGGGGAGGGGGGAGTGAAAATAAATGTTACCTTTCGCGCCATCTCAATCACTTCCCAATACCAGGTCTTTGTTTTGTAGTTTTCATAAAGAAAACGCAATCCTGTCACTATTTCCTTATTCTCTTGAGGAGCCAAGTACCTTTCATTTCCCTCTGAACCCAGGAACACCCTCTTTTGTCTCCAAAGAACAATGATACAAAAAGCTGGAAGTGCGAAGATGTAGGCAAGATTCACATATGCCGCTATGAGTCGCACATGGTACTGTGAGCCATGACACTTGATGCCATAGTCAGCCTTCAAGTAATCGTCACAAAGCGTCTGTTCTCGATTAATGCAGAGCCGGCGACAGGCAGGAGGCAGGACATTAGCTGTCTTTGAACACGTGCTCAAGTACGTCACGAACAGGAAGAAGAACAGGTTTCGGTAAACAAGTTCTTTAGTGTGGGAGATCTTCTTTGTTTTTTCGGCATCGGACAAAGTTTTGTCTAAACGGATCATCAACTTTCGCAACCAGAAAATCGAAGCGAACAGCAACGAAACAGCAGCGTTCAATGCCATGGCTGCATACAAGCTACCAAAGGCGTCCACCTTTTGGGAGATAACAAAGATACCGTATAGTAAGTTATTTCTGATTATCTTACCTTTATCGTTTATTGCAATCAAGATATTGCAATAGCGCAATAATCTTACTGTAGAGTTTTAAATGTACTGAAATAAAAGCGCCAATGAATTTTGTTGCGCTTTCGAGTTCTGGCCTATCATCATTATCCGCTATTTTATAGGACGTCAACTAGGTCCTCATACTAATAACTGTCACATGTATAATTTCTCATGCGAATATAGTTATCTTCCGTTCAACCTCTGGCATGGAGGAAAATAAATCATTTTGGGACTACTCCGCAGTAGTGACCCTGGGAGAAGTTCAGAACTTCTCCATCTTTTTTTCAGGGGCAAGCAGAGGCCTAGAAACCTGGGCTACCCCGCCCATCGTTTTGTGATGATCCCTTACCTTTATCCCTCTAATCAGACAGTGCAATGGTGCCATCTGAAGAAAATTCAACTGCAGTACTTCTGAATACTTGGCAATATCTTCCAAGGCGTCTGGCCATCTGACGAACGAAAAAGCTTCTAAAAGACCATAGGTTACCTGAAGAAAATAAAAAGCATAAATCATCATAAAAACAACGGTATAAAGCTAAAGAGGATATTAACAATTTATGGATTTGGCATGCGCATCATCAGGAAAATCTCTTTTTCCTATAAGTTCGTTATTTGGCTTCTCGAAGATTTCCCCGTCACAGGCAAAAATAATAATATAAAATAAATAAAAATCTTGTTGAATGAATCTTCACTTTTCTACACTGATATCGAATGGCGATTCAATTTTTAATTAGAAGCCATCAGTGCAGTCAATACGACACTCGCTCATTGACAAGTTCTTCAAGTAAACAGCTGCCAGGGCTTCTCTTAGATGTCAGAGAGATGCTACAATGGGAATAAATAGGCGAATGGAAGTAATAATGGAAGGAGTGCAACTGCATGGAATTATTACATACACTGAATGTTTAAAGGTAGCCATTACGACACCTGAAGGAGGATCACGTGGTTATCCCCACATCAGAAGATCTCTCCTCACAGATAACCCACTCGGACTAGTAAAAGTTGGCCACACCATCGGGGTCTACGTCCCCCACTCTTTTTGAACATTGGTGGGGGTTCTTTTACGTCCAGCAAGAACCAGATGAGTAAAAGCGCTGTGAGAGAGGACCTGCGGTTTTTCGTCCTTATCCGAGAGAAGATTTGGGAGTCTAACCGTTTGAAGATGTCATTACAAAGGCACCACGTACTTTCTTCTGAGTTGTTTAAAGAACTGGGAAAATCAGCCACAAATGCTCTGTGTCTTCTCAAGAGGGACGATCGATTCCTTAGCGCTAGCATGTCTCACATGCTATCCTATCTTTGAGAAAAATGAAAGAATACTTTTCGGGAAACCAGTCTTATGGTCTGCATCATACCTGATAAAATCCAATGATAATTTTCAGTCGGGCGAACACGATGTCAATCAAGGCACGTCTTTGTGTCTTCTTCACATTTTTTCTGCTGTACCAGATTATAATTGCAACGACCAGGAGCACGGCAGCTGCAATCAACGCCAACTGTATTGCGACGGCTGTCTTGGTGGGGCATTTTCTGCAAGCTTGTATCTGTTTGTAGTATCCGTCACTGCAAATCCCACAGACAGGGCCTTCGTAGCCTGGTTCACAAGGATTGTCTAAGGACGCGACACCTCCAGGGCAAGATCTACAAATGCAAAAGAGGATATAAACATCTTTTTTAAAGCACAGTGTTGTACCATGTTTGATTAGTCGTATTTCAAGACCTAATTTCGCCAACATTTGACAAATTAAAAGAAATTAAATAAGATCGATAAAGTTTGAAACAGTGCGAATCCACTTTTTAAAATAAGTGGCTTTTTGGTTTTGTTGTCATCCAGAAATTTTGCTTCCATTGCAACGTAACGTAAGGACTTCTCCTCTCCTATTCGGCTTTCACGATTAGAACATATTTTTAAAAAATGACCTGGAAACAAACAAACAAAACAAAATTTTAACTCACTAGTCACTAGTCACAAAACTCATGAACTGTAGTTGACCGACTGACCTTTCTCGAGGACACTTGGTAGGTTTCGGCATAGGGTAAGTATAATCAATGAAGTCCTGACCTTGTCCTGGATCATATGCGGGAGCAGGGTTCTTAATATTTGAGGTGAAGTTCCTGTAGCGTTCTTTGTGCGTGTAATTCTGCCACGCCCACCAGTAGCCTGGCTTCAAATCCAGGTAGTCTCCAGAGCAATCCAAACCTTCGAATTCGCTTCCTTCACATTCAAAACATTTTCCAAAGATATTTGTTCGATAAAATCCATCCAAACAGTTGCAAGCAAAGAGCCCAGCCATGCGTTCAGTGTTTGTACCTAATGAGTGACAAAAACTTACCATAAACAGATATCAGTCGATAAAAGCTATACTGCTACTGTACTATACCTGTCTAGGTAAGAGTGATGGATCATAATACGTTTCTGGGAAACTGCCCACCTACCCCTCCCCTAAGCCAACATTTTGCCCTAAGTGAGAATTAAGTGTTAATGTTGGCTTAATTAGGGGAGGGGTAGCCACACTTCTGCGTACATTTGCATGGTAATAACATGGAATTTGAATGAACAGTTCTCTCAGTGTGAGTTATAACACGACCTACACTGGGACAACATAACATACAAGCTAAAGAAGTTTGTTTCACGAAATTTCTAAGGAATGGGAAAGGATTCGTATTGATTTCTGAGAATGATTGTGCAATCTTTCCTGATCATGAATAATGTAGTGTTTTGACATGACGTCACAGCGACCGGGCTTATGTAAACGCTATTCTTTCAGGGTGCTTTCATACTTATTTGCATATTTTGTAAAAGCGTTCACGTGCATCGCGTTCAAGTGAAAGTACACACGGAGTACACACGGAAGTTAGTTTGGTGATGCCATGTTTTCTGTTTTTCACACTGCTCCTACCATGAATACTGCTAATGGCTGGCCGAGTTACACCCTTAACAATTGGTGGAGTTATTTGACAACGACATATCTAGGCAATGGCGGCAATCCTCAGTTTGCTAATTTTACTTTCGTGCCAAGTCACAATCCACACAATTTGCCTGCTGTTTTCGTGCCGAGTAGCAATCCTTACACTATGACGAGATGTTCTTCTTGGCCTGTACCGATTTCTGTTGTTGGCAATAGCCCTTATATTCCGTTTGCTTTACCTCCTTTTGTCAATAATGGGCCTCTATCGACATCCACGGCCTGGAGGCAACCCTGTGTCAGCGAAGACGAACAATGCTCTTGGAAAACCTTTCTTGATTCGCTTCCCGAGACGGCAAACAGTACAGTGAACAGTGTGATCAAGAAAAAGCTGTGCCCCGTGAATACTGAAGGATCGCTTCTTGGAAAGGTCATTGAGAAGCTCGAAAAACACTCGATCGAGACAGAAGAAGAAAAAACGGAAGCGGTGCAAAGGGCAAGGGAACAACTTGAGGATGTATTTAAATTCTGCTCGGTCGATTTCGATCAACTTACAAAACTGTGGAAAGAATACGAGAAGGCCAAAAATATCAAGTCTGATCGTGATCACTCAGGATCAACTTGGACTGTTGATATGTTAGCCCGCTACGTGAAATGGGAAGACGTTGAGTTTAGACCGCGGGGTCCGAATATCGACGCCCTTTTCAACAACGAATTATTTCAGAAGATCTCTGAGAGTATTATTATGGCAAAGGCAGGTCGGGGTGATCAGTTCACAACGGAAATAGATATAAGAATGGTTATCGACGCCATATTACAAACGCTTTGTACTTATAAATACCGGAATTTGAAATTCAAAACTGAACGAACCCTGAAATGCGATTCACTTCCTACTAGTAAGCCAGATTACATATTGTATTATGATAATGTTCCGGTTGGAGTCATCGAAGCCAAACGACCAGGGAGTTTAATCCAGAAATCCGTAGCCCAGTTAATTCTCCAGCTACTGTCTATCTCTGCCGAGGACCCAAACTGGACTTATTTTGGCCTTTTACATGACAGTTGGTCTTCTGTTTTTATTGCAGTGTCCAAAAAAAAAGTTTTGTTCTTCCAAGAACAGTCTCAGCGGTTAGAGTTGATCCAAGATTCAAACGATTTCGTCTTGGCACTTTTATGGCATATCAAAGACTCAATTGAAAATAGATTTGGTGAAGAGGTCTGAAGACGAAGTTGCCGACTTGTGGGCAGCTGTTTTAGTCAATTAACTGTCAATGAAGAATTAATTGTTATCAATGACCTCCCTATTATACTACTCGTAGCTGGTAACATCGGTAACTGAACCAGATGGAAATATTATAAGGATAACACAGTAAAAACCCGCGACTAAGAACCTGGATTTTAAGAACCTCAGGTGAGTGTTAGGCTTAAATTTGCCAGTTAGGCCCTCTCTAAACAAGAACCGGTTTAGCCTAAAGTTTGAAACAAGTTCTTATTTTCTAAAATCTATAAAAAATTCTACAAACTTAGTCAAAAAAGACAACTCAACATTCAGGATCCCTCTTTGGAGAAACATGTGTGCCTTATCACTCCTGCAATAGTAATTATTGTAGTGCAGGTTTTAACTAAGGAAAGAGCTGAACTGACCACTACATACTTTTAGCTACAATGCATTTTTTTCTTCAGAAAATAAGAACCTATTTACATTTGTGCTGATTACCATTTAAGTAAAAACCTGTTTAGCCTAACTTGGGAATGCACTCCCTATCCGGCAATAAGAGACATTTTTAGAGGCAAGAACGTATGCAACAGATCTATGAATTCAAGTGACCAGCACTTTTCTTCTTAAACATAACTATAAGAAAGTTCTTAAACTAGCGTTGTGAAGTATTTTCTAGGTTGTTATGAGGATATTTGTCATGTGGTATTTTTATTTAGTTCATTTTATGTTTGCACTTAAAGTTTTACTCGTGCTTAGAGTCTCATTATGATTAGGTTTGTAGATCAAGGTTACTCTGCATTTGTGTCAACAAGTTTTGCGTGTTATTATATTTCTTAGGGTTTATCAACATATAGTCTAATAAGTGTCATTTATCTGAAAGTTTAATTAAATGTGTGTGTCAGACCTCGAAGTGCACGTTTGGGATTATAGCTTACCTTGCATGATTGTTAATTGGCGGGTGTTACTTACATCAGAGTTCCTCTGTTTTGGTTTAAAGTAGAGCCTCGTGGATTTAGTTGTCAAGTTATCATTGGCTTTTTACCCCTTAATATAGGTTTGTTTATTCTACTTTGGTTATCAACAAGGAATTCGTTAAAGTCCGTAGCAAATGCGTTTCCTTCAATAGAAGACAAAAAAAATACACTTTGGCGGTTCTTTGTCAGCTGCAAAATGTTACCTGTATAAAGCTCGGCCCGGGAACTATCAGATATTTCTCCTACCAGGAATGTGGCTTGCATTTACGCACATACGTCTATGCATACAGCCGAAATCTGGAAAAATATATAGGTTTTTTTTTTAATTTCCGGAAAGCATTTTTATCATTAAATCGGGATAAATATTTCACATTATATTGGTGTTTTGTGTTAGGATTTCCTTTATCACAGACCTTGGTTGAGACTTTTGATCAAGCCAACTCCAATTCCATCCCGGCATATATATGTCACGGGCTCTGATAACTTTGTTCTCTTATCCTGGGTCAACATACACAGCTGAGCTTAGCTTCAGCGGTATGAAAAGACTTCAAACTCCTTTACGAAGAATCATGACAGGTGAGAGATTGAGCTCTTTTGCAATTCTCTGCATATGAGCACAGGGACGTTTTGATATTGATGGCATTACAACAGAGTTTGCCTGTCATAAGGGTACACATCTCGCCCTTTGCTTGAACCTCCTTTATGGAATCACTGTTTTACTGTAGCTTATCGAGAACACTAGAGATGGGTAAAATAAACAACTAATCACTGCATTTTCCTTCGACTTTATTTACTGAGAATGTCCTTCAGAAGGTGCCGGAGATGGCATTTCCGATACCCTAAATTTAAAAATTTTCTGGGGTAGCATGCCTTGAGACTTCCCAAGGTTTGAGGCGCCTTGGGCGGGCTAACTTTTCTTGTCCTGAGTGCATCTTCCAAATCTCACGCTACGCTGCTGACTGCTGACTACCGCCATCTAATAGCCTATGACATCAATGCCCAAGGATGAAAGAAGAGACTTGGTCTAGAAGGGGTTGGAGGGTGGGAGGGGGTGCATTTTAAAAACTGTTATTGCCAAGGAAGGGGGGCTACAATTTTCATATGTAATTATTTTGTGGGGGGTAAAGTTTTGATACACCACACTTTTCTGAAAACCCCCGCCTCCCTCTGGGATGTAATAAACGATCCGTCCCTTACGCTCAAAATCACATTGCACCAATTTTCTGCGCCGAATGTTTTAACTTCGCCATTTTAGTTTTCAAATCTTAAAAGTCCTCAGAAATTAGAGAGCCCCCCACTACACCCTTCTGCTCTTCCTGTCTATGCTCCATTTGTAGAAAATAATGCTCTTTGGTATTAAGTGCATATCGCAAACTTTGATCAAAAAAGATACTCTGTTTATGTCCCCAGTTAGCTTATATACCTAAAGTATCTGACACAGACAATAAAGTTTATTGTTATTATTGGTCAACGTTCTTAGTAAGATCAGGTTGTGTTTTGTTAACAACCATAAATAAAACTTGTTTGATACTCCATTAATTTTGAAATGCAACAGTACAACAGTGATGTAATTTTCGCGGGAAGAAAATAAGGTTAAAATAAACCCAAACGAAACTTTCCCAGTGTTTATTGATTTGTTTACCTTCTTAAGCTCGATTCCCGATGCCAGAGAAGGCTGGAAAATCAAGTTAACGCGAACGTAGGTGAATTTTGTTCTGTTTTTTTTTTTTTTTTTAATGACTTTTTTTTTATGGCGCCTTAAATTAATTGGATATATTTTGAATTCACGCATAGGCTATTAAGAGGGTTAAGAAAGCTAATTTTTGTTGTTAATATACATTCGACTCGTTATCTCTCTTCTGATTGGCCGAAAGCGTACAATGAATTTTCGAAATAAGAGCCCGGGACATCATCTAGCTGAGGATTATACAATAACCACGTCAAGGACACTCAAGGTCAGGGGTAATCATGTCATGTCAATTTTGGCTATTTTACGGCTATCGGTTAATTTTTTTTAGTTACGGTTAACAAAAAAGTTAAAAATTAATTTCTTTTGTTTCAAAGAGTTAAATATTAATAAACCTGTATTTTTGTATCTTCAAAGCAAAATAAAGGTCTTAGGATCATCTCGCGATAAAATGAAGCTATTCTTTTGGAAAATTTTAACATTTGATAGACCATACTTGTCATAAAGTATTCCATTTCTAATATTATTCTACGCATAGAAATTTCAATAGTCAATTTAAAAATAAGAAAAAGCAAAAGCAGAAATGGGAAAGCCCAATTCAAGGCAGAGGGGACATTCATTTATAACTGAAATGGCCGTTTTCACACTACAGACGGATTATTCGTGTGAGATGTCAGATAGGTAATACGTCTTAATTTGAAAATGGAATGGTTTTAATTTTGAAAATCCGCCTGACTTTATTCGTCAATTTTGGCGGATAGTTTGGAGATGGATTATCCGTTTCAGATAGCCTGTGTACAGACGCCCCCTCCCATCAGAAAAAATTGGAAAAGGGGTGTCTGTGGGGAAGGGGTTGACTGTACACAGGCCAGTCTCAGACGGATAATCCATTTCCAGCTCTACCTTGAAAACGGCCAATAACAAAATTCCCTCCTGCAGTGTTTTTAATGATAGCGAAGGACTGAACAGAAAGACTGTGTGCCGTTGCCTTGTCCATAGGCCTCATTATTCTGCCCGGCTAATGAGGTTCGGGTCACATGGTCCGGGCGAGTTTTTTTCTCAGATACACCACCGAAATGAGTTGACCGAGATTGTGTGGGAAGACGCCGAACAGGGACTAGGCATGGCAGTGTCAACCGTAGCGTAAGAGAAAAACGGCGAATTGTTACGGGGAATTATTGTTTATCGGCAACGTGTTTTACAAACAGTGGCATCTCTGGGTGTTGATTCACTAGTATTTCGAGGGCACGACCTCCTGAAAATCGCAAATTTAATTCCCGCAAGAAGCCATATTTTCGCTGTGGAAAAATTTAGTTCCCCGAGAGAGCGGCGGAAATGTAGTCTACATGTAGGTCTAGGTCACAACTAAAACGCGATTGCCCTAACGTACGTACGGAGTCAAAGTAGCCGGGAAATAAATAACACAACCATAAGTGAGTTTAGCACCTTCCTTAATTTTAACAAATCTAAGGAACAATTTCTTTTACGGTTAACTCTATTTTACGGCTAACGGTTAAAATTTTTTAATTTTTACGGCTTTCGACTAAATTTTTGGCCGTTTTATGCCTATCGGTTAACCCCATTGAGACCCTCATGTATGACCGCGGTGCATGATTACCAAGGGTATAATCATGTAAAGTTCGCGCGCTTTGTGTTGCTTGTCGTCCGTGATGAACCGACATCAGGGTCTATTTTCATTTCGCTTTCGGGGGAGGGGCTGGAAAAATAAATAAAATTAAGTACAGTGCAACCTCGATATAACGAGGGGCCAAGGGAGTAGCAAACTATCTTTGTTATAACGAGGTTCGTTAACTTATATCGAGGTTTTTTTTTCATATTGCTTCAGTATATTTTACTATTACTGGAGTTATAAAAAAATAGATTGTTAGACCGAAGACTTTGTTATATAGTATTTCCACTCTAATATAAAGAGGATAACGTTCATATAAATAGTATCTTTGTTGGAATAAGAATCTTCCAGCATCTAAATTTATCATTGGTCCGTTTCGATCCTAGGTCTGATGCGTAGTAAGCTTCAAAACGCCTGTTTTTACAAAACTGCACTTGGTCCTAGACTTCTGCGTTTAAACCAGCAAGGCAGTAGCATATCCGAGGTTCTCGATTAAATCTGAAGACTACTCCACGGAACTATACGGTTTCTTAAAACGAATTATGTCGGCTGATGACGTTGTCTCTGACGCATTTCGATGACATACTAGACAAAATGAAGGGGTTACAGGAACCTACAGTGTAATATCATGATCTGCAAACTTGTACTGTGGATCCTACATGTGCAATTAGGCTCAGTAGGAGAAAGGTACTTTTCAGCGGCTTGAAATTTATAAACATGACTCCGCTCAACAATGACCCAAGAAAGGTTCAGTAATCTGACAGTTCTAAACAGCCAAAAAGAGAGAACAGCCAAATTTGCCCCTCGCCCTCTCCCCCTCCCTTCCCACCCTACTTCAAAAGAGGTAGGCACCGTCCCCGCACTTTAAAAAATGCTCCGCGGTCCTTGGCTTTGTAAATAACATTCCGGTAGGCAAGGCGAAACGAAAAGAGAGCCTGATACAAACCCTCTACAAAACGTCTGCCGCCCACTTTTTTGATTGATTGACATTTGTCGAATCAGCCAACCAAAATTACTTCCGTTGCATTCTTCTTTTAGTATGCCATTTATTTTAATCTTTTATTAACTAAAACTAAAACAGTCAGCACAGCCACATTTAACTTCTTGCGAGATTAAAGGAGATCTTAAAGGTTTTTTTTCTGTTGGGAGTCTGTAAAACGAGGAAGCGGACGGTGGATGCGGACGGCGGACGACGGACGACGGATGGCGGGAAATTATAAATCAATAAATTCATAAGAATAAGATAGATAAATAAATAAGACAAATAAAAAAAATTATTTATATAAATATCACTTGTGACATCTCTGGATTGTTGGAGAGAAGATAGCCAAACGTATTATGACAGGAGCCCCCTTCGCTTCGCTAATGCTTGGTTTATTTTTACTCGGTGACATTTATTAAACGATTATTAATTAACACACGATAAAATGTTCTTAAAAAACCTTGGTCTCCGAAAAAGAATTAAAGGAAGAACGACAAAAGAAAGGGAGGATATATATCATGTGATGGAAAAAAACCTCAGCTGGGTCAAAATAGATTGATTATATGATTTACTTTTGCGCCATAAAAGTAACTTTTGAACTTAAAAGTCCATTGTCAGCTTTCATGACTAGCAGGGGTTGGTTGTATAAGGTGCAAGGGTTATAGCTTAAGCAACCAAGAGAAGGCGATCCAGATCATTTCGACTCTCAATCTGTTATGAATGTAGGCGAATTTTCCAGAAAACGAATTCTGAGAGACCGCATCTTAGTTTAGAAAAAAAATACATCATAGTGTGTTTACGTCCTCAATAAAACTTCCTACCACGAAATTTCTTGTGGTATGTCTGCTCCAACAGAAAAGAGTTATACCAAAGAAATGTGATTCATGTGCAGAGTTGTTGCTTTGTGTATTCTTAACCATTAATTTTTTTGACGATCTCTTTGCAAAATGCCCTCGCCATCGTGGTGGCTTAATCTCCCTATTCTCATTAAACTGTTACTGTTTATATGATGATCTACTTACCTCGCGGACATGCTCTGCAATGCTTGTATCTTGTACCTGGTTGTTTTTCTAATGAAACAAACGCTCCTATTGGACATCTTTCGCACTGTTGCGCTACATAGCTGACACTGTCAGACAAAAAGCCCCCTACAAGAAAAACATTACTGATCACTGCCGATTACAGTATTTTACAAACGCTTTTAATTTTAAATCAAATAGAGAGTCCCAAATTTACGCGTTAATTTTAATTTGTACTTTTAGCTGACTAGAGATATTTCAAAACACTCTTCCGGAAGTAGACATAACTTACTGTGGGAAATTTTCTTTAGCTCGGTTGTCGACATAGTCAATAATGGAATAGCCTTGTACGTGATCAACTTGTCCACCCATGTGCCCCTTTCTGGGGGAAGAAGGGGAGGGGTGACTTCTGAGTAGTATAGGAGGGACCGGTTAGGCCTCTTTTTGGGGGAGGATTCTCATTAGCGTGGGGAGGAATACATTAACGCCGATGACGTCATAGGCTATTGTCCTCATCTCATGAATAAAATGTGGTGGATTTAATTAAGTATACTGGTGACTTAAAATCACTGAGACGTAACGTAATTATGCCCTTCCTATTTCCTGCTGCTGTGATTGTCCTTGTTCCGGTTCACTGATTTTTGGCGGGCAAATCGTGTATATTAAAGAGGGTAAAGGCAAACTAGCTCTTTTTTACACTGCAAGCAATGTTTTACTTACCCCTCTCCTTTTCATTTTTTATTTTCCTCCTCCTCCAAAATTTTATTATTTTCCTTCCTCAAATTTTTTATTCCCTCCTCTTCCTCCTCTTCCTCATTTTTATTGTTTTCCCTCCTCCTCCTCCTCCTCCACCTCCTCCTCCTCCTCATTTTTATTGTTTTCCCTCCTCCTCCTCCTCATTTTTTATTGTTTTCCCTCCTCCTCCTCATTTTTATGGTTTTCTCTCCTCCTCCTCCTCCTCCGCCTCCTCATTTTGATTATTTCCCCCCTCCTCCACCACCTCCTCCTCATTTCTATTGTTTTACCTCCACCACCATCACCACCATCGCCAACATATTTTTATTGTTTTCCCTCCTCCTCCTCCTCCTCATTCAAAAGGCCAAACTCAAGGAGGGAAACAATAAAAATGTGGTGGCGGTGGTGGTGGTGGTGGTGGAGGGAAAACAATAGAAATGTGGTAGTGGTGGTGGTGGTGGTGGTGGAGGGAAAACAATAGAAATATGTTGGCGATGGTGGTGATGGTGGTGGAGGTAAAACAATAGAAATGAGGAGGAGGAGGTGGAGAAGGGGGGAAACAATCAAAATGAGGAGGCGGAGGAGGAGGAGGAGGAGAGAAAACCATAAAAATGAGGAGGAGGAGGTGGAGGAGGAGGAGGAGGGAAAACAATAAAAAATGAGGAGGAGGAGGAGGGAAAACAATAAAAATGAGGAGGAGGAGGAAAAATAGAAATGAGGAGGAGGAGGTGGAGGAGGAGGAGGAGGAGGGAAAACAATAAAAATGAGGAAGAGGAGGAGGAGGAGGAGGAGGAGGGAATAAAAAATTTGAGGAAGGAAAATAATAAAATTTTGGAGGAGGAGGAAAATAAAAAATGAAAAGGAGAGGGGTAAGTAAAACATTGCTTGCAGTGTAAAAAAAGAGCTAGTTTGTCTTTACCCTCTTTAATATACACGATTTGCCCGCCAAAAATCAGTGAACCGGAACAAGGACAATCACAGCAGCAGGAAATAGGACGGGCATAATTACGTTACGTCTCAGTGATTTTAAGTCACCAGTATACTTAATTAAATCCACCACATTTTATTCATGAGATGAGGACAATAGCCTATGACGTCATCGGCGTTAATGTATTCCTCCCCACGCTAATGAGAATCCTCCCCAAAAAAGAGGTCTAACCGGTCCCTCCTATACTACTCTTCTGCAACCTAAGATATGACTTATCATCCCCTCAATTAGGGGGCACGATAACATTAACACTCTTACCCGGGGGGCATTCCACGCATCCTAGAGTTCCCATAGAATAGGTTCCCTCGGGACATGGTAGCATCGTAAAATGTTGCGTCAAGTCGGTTTTATTTTGAGCGGTGAATGTGAATCCCAGCTCCAGGAATGTGGAAACAAAGGATAAATCTGCTCTTTCGTAATTCTTTGCAGTGATTTCAATCGCCTTGGTCTCATTGTAGGTAGGATTTCTGAAGAAGGAAAGAAAACACTTTTCATGTCGTACGCTATCACGCCGGAGCGTACGTAACTCTTGTAAATGTAAAATGTACCACGGAAAACCGGGATACCCAAAAGTGCGTACAAGTAGAATCAGAGTTGAAGGCTCCTCGTAGCATTAATAAAACACACAGAAACATCATTCTCGAAAGACCCCCTACCAGAATTTTAAAACGCCTTCTACCGAAGTGCCAAGAATTTTCGGGAATAAAGTAACAATCAGTTCTTTGCTTTGATGCCGAAAAGATAATTCTCGAGAATTCTGTTAAACTCCATGTAAACACGCTAAATAGCAGAACGTTCTTACTTTTAATTTTTTACCAACACTTTCAGAAAAATTCAACTCTAACAGCTGGTAAACCCAATATGTGCATGACTTCTTTTCTTTATATTTTAGAAAGGAAATCGCTTCTTTGTACGTTGTAAGTTAATTAAAGTTCTTTTTAGCTAGAGTTTTAATTTACTATTTTAGCTTGAGCTTTTGATAATTTATATATTAGTTTATAGATATTTTAGAGTGTACTTTTTCAAGCGCTTAGCACGCGATGTATAAGCACTACAAGACTATAAAAGTAATAAATTATTGTTGTTGTTATTATTATTATGAAGTATGTATACTGACAGGTATATGGTGATGCGATCCTTGTTGGTGTCCTTCGTAAAGTATCTCAGTGTACCCACTAACTCGTCATTCAGCGTCCTAAAAGGAACACAGATCATAAAGTGAATCGGACTTTTCTCTAGAGGCCCCTCCGGATTCAAAATGACGACAAGAGAAAAGAATTATCCCATGATGTAAAGCAATCCAAGACAGTCTGGTATTCTGGATTCCACACCGTGGATTTCAGGATTCCAGGTCCTGGATTTCAGTCTCTGTTCTCGTTGAACTTGGATTCTGGATTCCATTCGTTTGCGGGATTCCGGATTCCTTGAGCTGTGTTCCTGATTCCAAAGCCTAGGATTCCGGATTCTACTGAGCAAAGTTTTTCTCGGATTCTCTTACATGTAGCCTACGTGTAACCGCACCCTTTCCCCAAAGGAAAAACGAGGGTGCGGCTACACGTAGGCTACCCTACATGGGGCGGAAAGTACCTAAAATTCATTGCGCATGACTCATGACGTCAAGTCATCTTGGCGGGTTGTTCCAGAAGCCGGCTTCTTTTCTGCTTCCTTGCTGATTGTTACGACCGTGCGCTCAGATTATTTTATTGACAATAAATTCGCGGAGTTTGAAGCATGGACGTCTTACTCTTAAATGCCTTTAAGAGTGAAGTATTTAATGGTCTTGAAATTTATGCAATAAAACCTTATTAGACTATTAGAGCAGCCTGGATGAAATATGGCTTCCTGGGTTCCACAAAGCTGAAACCAGAGAGTTCGAGAGAAAGGACATTGAAGCCTAAAATTACATTCTACACTTTTGAATAAAGTTTAAGAAAAGACAGGCTTACTGCTGAGCCCTATACCCTTAAGGTGGCTGAACACAGTTTTGGCAGTTTGTGAGTATAATCATTTGCCAAATCATGGCAAGAGAAAGGTTGCACCTCACAAGCTGAAACTTGGCAAGTGAAAAATAAAAGATTTTGATTGACAGGTAAAACTTGGCGTGTTCGTAGTTTCCATGGCAACATGAACGATTGAATACAACCTTAATATTTCATTTTTGCTCAGTTTAAATAAAATTCGTTCATTAGATTTCCCTATAAACTTGCACACAACTTACTATAATTAATCATTACCATTGAAACTTATTTGACCAAATTTTAACAGACGGGTTTTTGGATAATAAATGACATAATTGTTGTACTGTAATTATTAAATGTGTCACAAAATTCGTCTGTTTAACTTCCATTTTAAAGTTCTCATTATTTAGAATACGATAAAAGTAAAAATTCTGCCAAATGCGACAAAATTTTGATGAATTTTGATTTATTAAAATTTTAATCAGCCACCTTAAAACGATAGGAGAGATTTTACATGGTGTATAACACAAGAAAAAAAAAAGATACGTTACAGTTCAGAATTATGATCACGAAGATCATGGAAAGAGTAAAGATTCAGCTCTGGAACCCAGGTCCTTATCATGTATCTGCCAAAAAAGGAATTAGAAATAAATTGTTGTTATTTGTTGTTGTTGTCGTAGAATAAGTCATCATTCAGCGAATCGAACGCTAGTGGTGTTACAAAAACTGTAGACTTAACATTATATAAGAGAAATCCTGCCGATCTAAGCGCAAGGCCCTATCGACGAGATTGAAGTTGCATTTCAGAAACCGACGCATTGACAGAGCCCAATCATTTGAAGTTCTTTTTTGTCTAGGTGAAACTTGCAAATTATCGAAAAAGGAGCCAAGGATTTTTTTGAGGTTTTAGCCTTTCGTGCAACCTTATAGTGAGTTTATAGGGGCAGCCATAGACCTTCCATTGAACTGACGACATGCTTTTGTGCCATACTGTTCGCAAAAAATGACGGGAAATCTCGACCTCTTTTCCAGGGTAATATCTTTAACTACTATGGCAGCGGCATATTGGAAAACGAGAAAACCCTGGGGACGAGGATAGGGAAATCTAACTTACACTTTCATGCCACCCTCAGGGCTTTCATTAACGTTGCCAAATCCAAAGGCTTTCTCCTCAACTCTTTCAATTATATTGTCCGTGAACATTCTTAGAAGAAAAAGGCAAGGCAATATCTTTAGCAAATCGGTGATAATCAAATAACTATTACATTTGTGCCAAGACTCTTGCCTAGTCACTGTACGGCGTTTTCCCTGGCCTACTCGGTCAATTCACTTCGGTGACGTATCCGCGGTGAACGGGCGAGAAACACGCGCTTCTTTGCTCGGACCACGTAACCCGAAACGAATTGGCCGCGCGAAATAATGAGGCCTAGGGACTAAGTAACTAAGACTCAACTTCTATGGGTACCCATGCAAATCGCAGTTAATTTTGACAGTTTGAAACAAAGAAAGTCAGGCATTCAGAGGGGCGAAGGATAAGGAACGAGTCACCCATATGCAGACTTAAGTCCATGGAAAATCTCACTCAAGTTATTTTTTAATAGCAAAGTGATCGGGATTTTACATTTCAAAGTTGATATAAGGTATTTGCTCACCCACTCAGACAGTAAATTTTGACGTGAAGAATTGAGTAAAACTTTCCGATTTATGAAAAAAAAAACGCAACACAACTACCCCCTAAGCCTTCTTCTTGCTCTCGATCATTGGTTGTCCAAGGAAAACAGTCGTGATATAAGATCATGGATTTTTGTTTTGCTAGTGACTGCTTTTTATCAGTTGTTAAAAATGATGTCTTCCATTTTAATTGTACACTTTCGTATGTTGTGAAATAAAAACTTCCATAATGGAAACAGTTTCGTAATAATCACAAATATACTACCATGATTAGGATATCTCCAAGTACATATCGGGTATAACCAAACGAAAATTGAAAACACACCGTATATACGTTGTTACTTACAGTATCTCGATTTTCCTGTGATAGAAGAAAGCTTGCTCAGGAATGAAATTTATACTGTTGTTATTCAGTAACCTGAGCGTAAAGATCGATAGACAAATAAATTTTAGCACTTTAGTCAGTCAGTGCAAGACATAATACATAACACTGCGTGAAATTATATCACTCTTGTGATAGTTAATCCTTTTTGTATTTCAATGTTGCAGAAAAAAAAAACACCGTTTTAAGATCATCAGACCTGAACTAAAGAATCAATAAAATATTTGGGCCTTTCTCTGAGATGAAATTAATAATACTTACAGGTATTTTAAGTTGAGCGCGTGACCAAATGTTTCGTTGTTGAAGGCAGGTATCTGATTGTTCTGCAAAAACCTGACGAGTAGAAGTCGTGTTTTTAAGATTTCATCTTTTTAATAACAGCAAAGATGTCACGATTTAATAAGCTTCCCGTTTATTTTAATTAAAATACAGAAACTGTAAATCGCGTTTTGTCTTCACGACATCCTTCAAAGAATATCTACCATTTAAAGAAAAAATAAGTGCAGCCATTTAGAATTAAAGGATTAACACTTCGCTGTATCGCTGTTTATCAAGCTGACAACATGATGATTCTAACTTTTGAGTCTGCGATGAATTCGTCCGATCAGTACTAACAAGCATTTCTCTTGTGCTTTTCGTATATGATCAGTAGCTCATCCTCTCTTGTCAGTAGTTTTTGTCTACTCCCCTAATAGTGATCGAAACGAGTTTCATTACCAGGATCATCGAATGCACACGTTCTACACACCAGGCATACTTTGTAAAGTTGTATGAACTATTTCTAACTTCAAAATATCAATGCAAAGTTAATTAACTAAAATAAAATAAGGGAGCTCTGCCCACGAAAAGCTTTCTTGATAACATGAAAACTGGTTTGGAACACTTGTATTTTTTCAATCCTCTGATCAGTTAAAAATCTTTTATTGGATCAAGGGAACAAATTTTATTTTTGATTTTGATTTCAATGGTTAAAAAATAAAATAGACAAATTTTTGTATACACCTAAAAGCTTTTTATTAAACACGGCCACAAGATAGGAATTTAATTGTCGTAACACTTATTAGACTTTTGACAGTACTTACAAATACTGCAACTTTTTTACGCAGCAAAATAATCCATTGGTCAAGTTTCGGATTCTGTTGCTGGACAAATCCCTGTAAATATGCAGCAAGTATGATGTGAAGTTTATCCGAACTGTGTGAACACGAACATTATTTCTGCTTCCAAACGCATCGGAATTAATTTCTGTGCCAGTTATTCACGGTGGATTAATTGGTCCAAGAATTTATACATATAAATCCATAGTATATGTTTTTTTCTCTTTTCTTGTCAAACAATACGTTTTTACTAACCGTTTCATCATTTACTCATGGAAAAAGAACCACTTACGACTATATAACCACCACAGCCATTCTCTAAGATGATATTCTCCAACATCCCAGTAGTAGGTTTGGGAGGTGGGGGTTTGAAGACCAGAAACTAGCTCCCCGAAGCCGACGTGCCGAGAAACCTATTGGAGAGCGTCTCTCCCCTTCCCCCTCCCCTTTACGAGAGTGTGCCCCTTCAGTTCAAGGTCCACCACTTGCATTATTGGCTCACCCTACCCTGAAAACATACACCAGAGAACCTTAGAAACAAACGCCTTATATTCAATCCCTTGGGATAATTCATACTTTCCTCCTCGTCTCTCACTCATGATCACTTTTTGGCATTGCCTTATTAATGTATGTCCTCGGAAAAAATCCTGTTTAAGGTAAATCCGTAGCATGAGACATTTGGACCCTGTTCAGTAGCATGAATTCGGGTTTCTTACTGCATTTCATATGGAGAAAATATACAGAGAGAACGAGTTGTGTTGTCTCTTGTATTAAATTCAGTGTTGACTCAACTTACAGATATTGCAGCTCTGTAAGGTTCGTGAATATGGTGTCGGGAAGAAGTTCAAGCTTGTTGAAAGACAGTGACCTGGAAATAAGTAATAGCTCACGTTAATTGTTGTAAAGCCACACAGTGACCTTAAAATGCCAAAAAAAAAAAAAAAAAAAAATGTAGGAAGAGATGGCGAGGAGGCCTAAAAGAAACTATAGAGCTTATGTTAATTAGGCCTCCTCAATTACAATTTTTCGAAGATGGCATAAAAATGACGGCGACGGGTACAATATAATATCAGGTGAAAAATTAAACTAATCAAACTAATTGTTCCCCAAAAGCCGTTAATTAATGAAACGCGAAGGCAGATTCTGATATATCAATCATCAAGGACTCATGTCCCTGTAAATGGAATACTCTCTGAATAGAATCCCATAGATCTGTTGTCTTCAAATCAAACAATATCCAGGAAGATGGTGAATTCAGTGGTCTTTCTATTTCAAGGCAGGTAGAGGAACTCTTTGACAATTTGCTAACCAGCTAACTTTAAACAGATTACCTCCTAAAATATTCGGCGTATTATACATTGGTTATTATTATATTCTTTTTCCAGGAATACTCCGATTTGAGTTGTAAACTAACTGTCTAAAGATTCATTTCCACCACCTTGACCGGCATTCTCAAACTCGTTCGGTACCCCATCGTTGTAATGCTTGTCATGAAGAGAAGACCATCCGCTCTTTTTGTCATGCCTTCCTTACAAAAATCTCTTTGAATCTTTTTTCTATTCAAACTTACAGGTAGTCTAAATGCCCAAGACTGGAAAAGATTTCGGCATCAAGAGTCGCAATGTTATTTGAACTCAAATTTCTGCAGAAGAAAAACACCACAGTATTAGTTTTCCTATCCTAACTTTTATCAAATAAAGTCTGAAAAAAATAAGAGGGGAACAATAGAAATATCGACCCCGTAATGACGGTGATCTCAACAAGGACACGCCTACAAAGTAGAAACCTTCAGTTTAGTGCATGTAACCAGTTTTCTCTGATATGAGGAAGGAAGCCACCTCCTTTGACGAGTTCGTGAATAGAGGAATGACGTAGATTACGAGACTGATAGAAAATCGACCCTGGAAGTAAACGACTTCTTGATTTTTGAAAGACATACTGGCGTCCCATTTTACACCTTAAGTGCAGAGAGTTCCTGAACTCAGAGCAAAAATTAAGAAAATGAAATGAACATTTCCTCCGAATCACTCACACTTCATCAGCGTTGTGTAAGAGAAACGTTACGAATCCCTAAGACAGGAATGTAAATTGCTGGTAGCTCCAGTCCGGCCCTCATCCCTATTCAGGGAGGGTTTCCCTTGTTAATAGCAATGGCCTCCTTGACGACTCTGGGCTTGATGGTGTTGTTTTCGTCAGATAGTACTTTTACATTGTGTGGCTTGATGGTGTGACCCGTTGCTTGGCAATATATATGCTCGAAAACGGCAGAGGTATCACGGGACTTGTTTTCTTTGATCCAGGTGCTAATGGACCAGGAGGTCTCGCCATTGTAATTTTCCTCATTATACACTATACTGAGAAATACTCACCAAAAAGCTATGTCGAAAATTTTCGTACTAAATGTCTCCGCGAGAGCAGGTGAAAAACTTTTTTGTAACGTTTTTACACCTTTCTTCTGTTTACTTATTCATTTGTTGAACTTACAGGCTAGACAATTGTGTCAAGTTCGAAAATAGCCCTGGCGGTAAAACTGAGATGGCGTTTGAGGATAAATCTCTGCGTGGACAAAAAAAAAGAGGCATATTCAGTCAAATGCAGGACGTATCAAATGAAAGCATTTTTAGAAACTATATGTCACTGCACGTCGAGTGTAAACGTTTCGGTTAGAGTAAATTCTTTAGAAATAAACAAGCCTGAGAAAACGAAGACATTTCGTGACGCCACTTTCGGTCTCCCCGCGAAACCAGTGACGTTTGAGGAACGACTGCAGAAATTCCAAACTGATGACGCGTACTTCTGATTGGTCGTGCCGCGAGGGAAATAGGCCATTTGCACTAAGAGGTCATGTGACATCATTTTTGTGAAAATGTAAGTTGTATGATTTTGCCTTCAAAAAACGATTAGTGGGTCATATCGTAAACAAAATAATGGTGATTTAGTTTTTCAAACCCGCACCATTTTCTTAAAATGAGTACGTTCGTAGCTGGTCAAGTGACCAAAATGTGATTTATAAAACTATGAATTACCTCTTTCTGAGCAGAAATTTTGCACTTAAACTTCAAGGAAATTGTTGAAAAGATGATGTGGTCACGTTTACAGCACCCTCTGAGCGTAACTATCAAACGTTTTACAAGATGCAAGAAAAAGTAGTTTTGGCCGCCATATTGGAGGGCAAGAGTATGCCCTCCAAAATAGACTACGAGCAGTCTCTCTTTTTTCTTGGTCCGTCGAGCAAATCGCCCGAGACACCCCTCTCACCTCCAACATGGCGGCCAATACAAATCATTCTAGTTTGGAAAAATCAACGTGCCATAAAATATCTCTCCTAAATATGCTTCCTCTCAAATTTCCGTTGTAAGATAATTTTTTATGCGCTCTGTCAATTTTTGTCATCAACAGGATTCCAAGTCATTTTTTAAAGGAAGCATTGGTCACGTGACCTCTTAGCGCAAGTGGCCTTTTTGCTTCAACAACCAGCGATCAGACAAACTACCCAGATCTGGATAGTGACCTGTCATCATTATGGAATTACTACAATCGTTTCTCAGACGTCTGTCAAGGACAAACCAGTTGGGACGTCACTGTTTCTCCCTAGTTTTGTAAAGAGCTAACTAAAAGCATAGTTTAACTTACAGTTGTACTAAATCTTTCAAGCTGGAGAATAATTGGGCAGATAGCGTTTGGATGTTGTTTGATGCCAAAAAACTGCGGAAAAATGACATGGCAACTTTCAACTGGAGACAGAGTTGATTAAATAAGCTGGAGGGTTGTTTCAAGTATTAGAAATTTACTGAGCCTGAAGACTTTTCCAGAATTAAGTTATTGATATTAGCTATAAAACAAATAAAATTAATATAAACAAATCCATTTTGCTTGTAAATTATAAGTCCTAAATTCAACATGCCCCATACACAACCAGAGAAAAATAAGTGGACTAAGCACAAGAAAATTAATTTCATTTTCATGAGAATAATACTCGTTTTCATATCAATGGCTTCGCATTTAGCCTCGCTTTGAAACAGAGGCTTGGGGCAACAAAATACAGGCAATTCAATAGAAGTCTAATAGACCTTATTCACGATACCCGCCATATTTGCAAGCGCTTAAGGACTGATGGGATAAAAGCGATGTCACGTGCTTTCTCAGGGGGCAAACAGCTGATAAAGTTTGCCAATGCAAGAAATCGCCGTCGAGTTTTTTTATTCTAAACAACAGAAAATGAAGAACATTTTATCTTAAAGACAATAATGGCAAATTATGGGTGAAAGTGATCATTGTTACTTTTCTAGATGCGGTAGTGACCGTAGATGTCCTGACAGCAAGTTATAATGACGTAAACTTGTCGAAACTGAGCATGACTAAATCCTCCTGTAGTTTTTAAAGAATAAACAAACTCGACCGTGATTAGTCGTATTGGAAAATGCTATCACTTGTTTGCCCCCCAAAATACCACGTGACATTGTTTTTATCCCATCAATCCTAAATCACTTGCAAAGATTTAGGTATCGGAAATAAGGTCTTAACTATTAGTTCGTCAAAGTCAGTTAGACCATCATCTAGAGAGAGTAGTCAGCGGATCCTCTTAGAAAAAAGATGACCAGTCATGCAGTCAGAAAAGAGATTCTCAACTCAACTTTATTCAAGTGGTATTCCCATTTCTATATATAATGGCATTCCAATCGTGGAGGAGACAATACGGTTAGGGACGGCGCCGACCACAACAACAACGTTAAAAAACAATTGGTTTTATAAGCAAAACTACAGCCCTGCACGTATATCACACTTAAATTACATTTATTTCACGTCCACCGCACGACTTCGATTTGAAACCTCCTAATGTGACCAGGCCATGAACAACGTCCACGAATTTTCCTTTCTCTTTTTGAAGCTGGATAAAGTCCTTAAAAATTCAACTCCACGAGAAAGCGCCTACATTTAGCCTGTTCCAGGCGTTCAGATAGTAGAGCGCAGGCGAAAAATTGACGCGGAAAAAACCGAGCGGAGACTAGAGAGGGAAAAATAATATTTGGACAAATTAAATTGAGTGGGTCCACCTAAGACGCGATAAAGTTTGAAAGGCGCAAATTCATTTTTAACGACTTTTTCACTGTCGTCGTCGTCGTCGTTGCTAAAGCTAGCTTATAACAGGACCACGAGGACCGTGCCAGTGCATATAAACGCAGGGTGAATATAATACTCACATGTAACGCACGTTGGAAAGACTAGCAAACATGTCAGCTGGCAGATTTTTCAAGTAGCTTGCATACACGTACCTGAAATAGAACGGGTATGGTTGAAATTAAAACACACTATAAAAAATATCTTGGCATAAAGCACTGGCCAGATGTCGTGAAACTTTGCAGGAGGTTGAATAGTTTTCAGAAATTAAAATGTCCTGACCTTATCTATCCTGTTATAGCTGGTTACCATGACAACCGTTGTAATCACCCCTTGTTAACATGTTTTTAAGTGATGAGCAAACAGCCACCAAAGATTGAGATAAGGTGTGGGAAATTTTAGGATCCCCTAAGGAGAAATTAACACTTACTTCTCACTTGAGGTAAAATGTTGGCTATGGGGAGGGGTAGGTCACCAAATTTGTTTGTTGTGCGGTATCCCCATATTCTCCCTCCCCAATGTTGTTCAAATTTGTAGACTCACAGAACTTCCGCAAGGGTAGAAGCGCAGTTGATGTCTGCTGGTGAGCGAACATTTGAGCAGGAAAGAGTGTTTCCCCAATGAGAATACCACTGCCCTTCTGCCTGAGAGCAATAGGGGCAAGCTGGAATAAAAATACAACCAGTCATTGGCCTTAGTTCAAATCTAGATTGCCTGAAATGGAACCCACATAAACCCAACGCTAGTCTACTGGCTCTGTGTTGGCCTAACGTTTGCCCCACATTGACTATTAATAAACAGAATCATGGAAGGGGGAAAACAAAAGAACTGCAATGGCAATAGTATTCAGTAAACAAAGTCATAGGATTTAGAGTAGTTACGAGGGGCCTTCCAGGCTCTCTTAAACTTATGGTTCGCAAAGAAATTTTAGAATCAAGTTCCCCTTTAACAATTGGCCAGTTCAATAAATTATGCCCTATACTACCTCACTGTGTTCATCATATTATACTCAATCCAATACTTACTCGTAAAACTCACTCGTACATCTTTGCTGTCGGTTCCTGCCTGGCTTGTAGCTTTACAAGTGTATTTCCCCTCCATATTCAGCGCAGCACGAGGGACACCAGTTGAATTATCCAGCACCTGGCTACCCCACATTAGGGAGGTGTGTATGGGAGGGGTCCCTGTTGCTTTACACCACAATCTGTAGCCGGGTAATGCTACCACCTCAGAAGCTGGTAACTCTACTCTTGGTGAAGCTGTTGAAATAACACATTAGGGCCGTTTATACGAGAGAAAATAAGCTGCGGCTTACATAAGACGCGAAAGGAACCATTTATACAAGTACGGCTTATATTAGACGAAAACTGTCCGTATAAATGGTTCACGGCTTAGTTCGCGGCCAGATCGGTCCAATGGTGACGTAGTTTGTTTTGGTGCCTCGTTTTGGAGTAATTGCGTTTGCATCTCGCAACAATGGCTCGGGCGAGCAAAAAAGCTAAACGACTGGCTTTGGCCCGTAAAAAACGCTGTTTTTTTTTTCACTGTCCTTAATTTTTCATTTTAAACTGTCTCTTCAGTCAAAGTAAAGGGGTGGCGAATAGTAAAAACGAGACTCTTGGTGTTGGGTTTCCCAGGTAATTAATTGGTCAAAAAAATTGGGAAACCATGCAAAAACGAAACTTCGAGACTTATCAAAAACGTTTCCGAGAAAGCCAAAATTCGACAGCGATCCGTTGAGTGGTTTCATCGAGATGTCCCCGCAATCTCAAGCTCGCTGCATATGAGCAGGACTTTTTTCTTCTGGGGCACTCCACACATTTCTTTTTTTACATGAATCTCTATCCGCCATTTTCCACTTTGTAAATACAAACAAAACTCATTTTCCCGCCACTGCAACTGCAACGCTCGTCTTTCGGCCGTGAAGGTCTGGAATATAATTGAAAACAGAGCATGCGCAGCAGTCGTTCAAGGCTTCAGCAAGCCGTGGACAACGTTTGAGTGCAATTATACGAACACCTTCACGTCCAAGGTAAGCCGCGGCTTGGATAAGCCCATCCCAAAACCCCTCGGCCAGGATAAGCCGCGGCTTGAGCTGGCCTTGGGTTAAATAAGCCGTGAACACAGATTTTGTACCATTTATACGGCTATAGTAAGCCTCGGCTTATTTTCTCTCGTATAAACGGCCCTATTATAATTATACCTTTCATATTCAGGCATCTGTAGTGAGATACTGTGAGCGATGAAAAGCGTTATGCTACCGAAAACACCGCCTTGGGGGCGAACTCGCTTGCTGAAGTAATCAAAGACTGACTAGTAATTGACGGGAGTAAATTTTGCCTAAAGGTGACGAATTTTATTCTCAAGATCTTCGAGAATACCGCAAACAAATTGGTATGCCATGTTCAGCAAAAAAGTCGGGGTAGAAGTGCCACCTAATAGAACGATATAGGTCCACAAATTATAGAGACTAATTCACAGGCTGGCGGCATGCAGGGGAGGTGGTAGGAACAGTTGCGAAAATACAGTGAGAGATATTGGCATTGTGCAAAATAAAAAGTGGCGAACAGTAAGGAGGAACGATATCAACCTGAAAGCCCTAGATTCTGATTGGTTAGAAACCAGATACGCTTATTATCTGTTGACCACCTTTCCCCCTTTTGATAATCACCAAAACGTTCACTTTTTATCTCACCGCTTGAAGATAATCCTTCATTTAAGATGGCAGTGACGAGAAATAAAAATATCTTGACAGCGTTTAAGTGTATTTTCTTCATGGTGTCGTCAGACTAAAATGAATAATCTTTTCTGTGGAAAGAAAAAATGCAATGATAATTATTTTTATTTTGCATTTAAACAGAAAATACCCAACTGAACATTTGACAATTTTGCTTCAACTACACTAACAGAATTTTGTGCTTAATAACGACGAAACGCTGGTTTTATCGCTATTGGTCCGCGATGTTTACAAAGTGATGAGAAAATGGCTAAACGCGAGTACTTTCTAAAGCCTCCAGTTTTATTACAATGTTCATCCTAAAACAGAAGAGCGACTATACTGAAAACAAATAGCGAAATGCTAAAAACTGCTGAAATGGTTTCGTATGAATGACATCATAGCATTCATTTTCACCTAGACACTTTCAAGTTATCTAGAGCTCAGGGGCACCCAACGAGAATATAGTTCAAAACCACTTAAACATAGCATTGTTAAACGTATTTTAGTATTAAAACGGTAGATATATGCATATTTTTATCCCCTAAAAATTTTTCATCTGTTCGGATTTCCGAGCTGAAAGTCTAGTGATTCGAAAATTATAGGGATCAAAACTTACTTTTTCGAAAAATTCAGCCAGAAAAAAGGCTCCGGAAAATTCTAGGTGAACTTTTTAGGGCAAACATCCGTTAAAAATGAACAATTATACCATTTTTTAGATGTTCGAAAATCCTAGGAGAGGCTGCAGACAAGCAAGAAATTTTGGAAAAAATTTTCCGAAAATTCTAGATCTCAAATCGTCTTCCGAACAGATATTTTCCGAAAATTGACGTTGGGTGCCCCTGAGAGCTCTTCACAACTGACTCTACGAGCGCAGGTGATTCGCCTTATGCTAATTATGTGGCCAGTGATCGAAGTGGTATTAAGCCATTCCCCAGCTTTTCCATCCATATATCTCCCCTTTGGTGCTTATGAATTAAAACGCTGTTATCTTACAGCGGGTTGGACATATACATGGCAGGACGATTACCGATAATTTTGAATCGAAATCCACCGGACTCTTTGTAATTTCAAAATTGTCATTCTAGCTCTATACAGAGCAGGTGCACGAATGTTGTCAAAACGATGCAATGCTTTATCATTAACATTTTACCGACGTAGGAGTCGTAGAGTAATGATGGTATTAGTTGAGGCCCCATTAATTAAATTTCTTCATCAACATCCCACCCCAACATCGATCAGCACTGGCCACTCCCCTTAGCGATACCTGACGCAAGGTGAGTATTTAAAAGTCCAGTTGAGATTTGAATGCAATTTAAATATCATCAACGACAGATACTTCTTTTAAAATGCTTGTTTACAAAAAAAAGAACTGACAGAAACAGTTTTTCTCAGTTAAATTAAATAAAAAATGATAAGAATAAATTTTTTTCCAAAGAGGAATAACGTTTTTTTTGTCCAGAAAGAAAAACAATAACTTGTTTAGTTCACAGTTGAAACAAAATTCCCGAGTGAACTTTGTTCTCTTAAGTTGCCCTACTGAGAGGATAAAAATTTTCTGTTCAGTCTTAAATCAAACTTTATCATTTCAGAAAAATAATTAAGAGGAGTAATTTATACATTTTGACTTTATATGACTTTTGAAATCCATTCTTGTTAAGTTTATCAGTCTTTTAAATTTGTTCCAATGGGTTCAAAGAAGATTAAGACAAAAACAAAATCACAAAACCTCAATCAGTTATGAAAAAAGTTAATTTGCTTCTTCGGTGGTCCACCTCAATTTTACCTTCGTTTAAAATTACCTATCTCCTTTTTCTAATTATCTTCCTTTTGTATGGGACATTTGGCAAAATATCTTACAAAGGCAAGGAAAAGTTCGAGGATATGAAAGCACGCAAAAACTGATGTTAGAATTGTTGGCTACATCGCCTGTAGGTTATTTTAGATGTGTGTGTGTGGATTTTATCGTCTTCTGTAAAGTGATTAAAGAACTTTAAAGAAATAAAGCGGAACCCGACTCAGTCTAAGCCATGCAGATGATCATTTCTCTTTAAATTTGAAAACTGTCTTCAGTGCCCTCTCGAACAGGTTAATCTTTTATAACGACCATCACTCGACAAAAAATATTTTAGTTATCTCACTATCTCATCAATATAACCTTTTCAAATCTGTGAGCTGGTTTTCTGAAGCTTAAGACCTTTGCATGACACAGGTGTAGACATTATTGATGGCAGATTTTGCTCTTAAGACTAGTTTGCTTTGAGATATATTGTTACGCAATTTTGCACTGTTAGATGTGATTTTATCAAGTAAAAAAAAGGGAGCGAAAATTTAGACACTGCTACAAACCTTCTTGGCTGACTTTCCCTTACGCAGCTCCGGCAGCAGAACTTCACCTACTTAAACTGGAGGATGCAAGAGGTTTTTCGCCCTGTGATGGCTTATCCAATAGAATTTTAGTATTTCATTTTAGCAATGAAAACTTCTTTCTCCAGGGGGTGATCCTCCTTTTTTAAATTTGATGAACCAGATGGCCACTAAAGTTAACTATACAATGAATAGCGGTCGGCGGTCTTTAATTCTGTCCTCCTGTCAAAATGTTCTCTGATTGTTTTCGCTCAGTCTTCAGTCGTTCCCTTCATCTCGATGGTTTCCATCGGATCCGATAATTGGACGTATAGTTTTAAAAAGTGCCAGAGACTTGACGTTGGAAGGGTCCAGATATCCTCATCACGGTTTAAAGACTAAGTGGCAGATCACGAGTCGGATCGAATAAAAAAGGAGGGCTCAAAATCATTGCCTTAACTTATAGCCCTCGCAGAAAATGTGGATAACTCATCTCAAATCAAAAGATATTTATTAGTTAATCTTTCCGAAAATACACCTTTGTTCCAAGCGGGTCATGGCCATTTGGCAACTTTTCTAAGAATTGAAATCCCGCGTATCATAAAGCCACCGAATCCCGTGTTCCGTTGAGAGCTCTGCCCCCTTTTCTCTCCGCAAATTCCAAATCCCAGACATGAAATAACCTGAATTCCGAATCTCCCCCCAAAACCTATCTGGAACTTCGTTATTATCAGGTTAAATTAAAAAATGGCCGTGGAAGGGATGAACACAGAGTATTGGCTTAGTGAAGCTCGGCTACTTGAACCTTATGATCTGGTGGATTTTGCTTCATCAGTCCTGCAGATTCTTTTCTCTACACCGAGGGAGGAAAACTGGGGGTTTACTCTTCCATTTTATTCGGTCCAAGATTGTAGCCTTTGGAACAGGCTCTTCTTTTTCGTGTTTTTCAGGCGAGCCGAGGAAAGCGCGAAGCGGGGGTGGAGGGCGAGTTGCGCGCGTCTCGCGCTCCACCCCTGACCCGCGCTTGCCTTCGCTCACCTGAAAAAACAAAAAAAAAAACAACAACAATAACAACAACAACAACAACAAAGCCTGTTCTGCAAAATAAGGAGATAGGGAGAAAACGACAAAATCTGAAGCCAGGCGATGGGTGGTATAAATTATGTTTATTTACATGACGTACTAGCCCCAAGGTCGTACCCAATCTTCACTCTAGAATCAAAATATGGCGGACGGTCAAGGCGACGGAGTGACAACGAAAAGACAGTCTTCTAGCGAGGAAGAACCACATAGAAACTCGCCTGAAACAGGCTCACACGGAAATTCATCTACCGGTCCCTCTTTAAATCAGCAAAGTACATCGTATAGTCGTTCACAAGAGCCATGGAATGTTCTTTGGTACTGGATGTCCGTTCATTATTACCAACAATATTATTATCAGCTTTGTTCGTACATGTATTACTGGCAAACTGTTGCCTCGCAATCAATGTATCAAGGAACTTTTCAAAGCCAAAGCAGTTATTCTCAGTCGACTTTGCAAAATCAGGGATCTCAGCCCGGTTTATACGCTGGACAAGCCCGGCAAAACACAGCAAACGTTGAAAATAGACATGTACCAAGACCTCCGATGAACGGTGGCGTTTTCTTGCCAGGTACTGCAGTACCTTGGACATATCCAGGACAACAAGCTGTTACAACAGGTAATTTTCGTGTAAGCCTAATTTAATTTTTGTGGACTTGAGCATACTAGAAGAATTAAGTGTAAAAAGTTACTATATATTGAAATTATAATTTGAACAGTGATCCATCTGGAACACATCAGCTACAGTGAGTCCTGGCACTTACACGGCTTTCAGACACTGAGTCCTTGACCCAAGCCTATTATGAGTCCCAGAAAAATTTATAAGAGTCTTGTAAACTTGTGCATAATATTAAAATAACATGGAGACAATTTGGAGATTTTTTTTTTTCGGAGCAAAGCTACTTAGGAATACATGAAATTCTATCTTTCTGATCTCATACAGCAGTCACGAGTACTTTTTCATTCAGAGCTCGTATAATTTTCGTTCTTTTATTCCTGTGCAATAATGTTTGTGCATATTCAGCCTCACTGCGTGACGGCTCTTCTGTGTGTTCCATTGCAGATTTCACTAAAAATGTACAACTCTGGTTGCAACTGATTCATAGGAGACAAGAAATTCTGCGTTAACTTGAGAATGATTTCACCTTCAACATAACCACTAGCAGGTTCAAGTTGTAGTTAATTGCTAAACTTTGTTTATGAATTTCTTATCTGTCCTTATTTTTTTTATCCTCTATACCTGTAGTTTCTGAGGTACAGATTGCACCTGTCTCAAGAAGGATATATGCTGAAATACTTGATTTTATCTTCCTGTACCTTACAAAGATTCTTGTGTTTTCAATTTAGTAAGTGGTTGCTTCTGTTTTCTTTTGTGTTAGTAGTGTAATGTTGGCCTTTTTGTAGCCGCGCTTTCTGTGATGTCACGGGGTGATTTGTGTGACATTCTCTTTTACGTGTACATTTTCACTGACTTACAGTCCTGTCAGAGAAAATGTCCATTAAATGCAAAGCAGTGCACATATCTCTTTTAAAAAGTTCTTTAAGTTTAGACAAGACAGTATACCATAACTTGACAATTGATGAAAACTGTTATTTTAATGATATTACTAATGACACTGTCTTAGTACAGTTTCAAAGAATTATGTTTACTTTGGTCAACTGTGCTCCCTTTATACTCCACTCCATGAGCTGAAGTGATTATTGTATTAATTATACATGGTAGTCCCACACTGATGGCCATGTTCAACAGGATGATTATCACATATTATCATACCTGTATGGTCCCCCGTGCAATTTCGTTGAAAAGCTATATGAAACAAAGTCCCTTATAAAATTATGGCCATACAGGCCAATTGATAGGGCTGGAAAAACCTGTAGGGCCCTACTAGAAAAGGGCAGTGATCAATACGGCTACGCTCAGTCAGAAAATTCAAATACACAGCGGTCATTGATAAAATGCTTATTGACTGAGTTGGGTCAGGTCATTATTTGGTTCTCCGTCAGGATGGTCAAGTAAAAAATTTTCCCTTCCATTCCCCCCACTCAATCAACAAGTATATCGTCTTTTACATCTCATTCACTTACTGAAGTTACATTTGCTATAATCAATTATATTTTTAACAGTATACAGTACAGCCTCAGGATTGATGATCCCCTGCAGGATAAAATTATGTCTCTTTGAAGAATTGAATATTCTAGCTCCCTATGAGTCTCAGTAGCTCAATCAGTAGATAGAGCACCATTGTTTGGGAGGCCAAAGGTTTAAATTTTGCTGGGTACTCAAGGTTACCTTTTTTCCTTATTTTTACTTTTTGTACTTCTTGAAAATTTTCTTCATATTCAGGCATTCTTTTTTGATTAAAATACATTTCTACTTTCAATTCAGGCTTTTCTTGAATGGTTGACAAAAATACATTTTACTTTTTCAATCTCTGACCTTTTTCATTGTGAATGGTTGATGAAATCTGAACTTAACATTCAAGATATTACTTTTTGCAGCTTTGGACAGACCTGGTGTTTGCATAAATATAATTCAGTAGAATTTTTTACAGTAAAGAAATTAATACAAGAAAAAGATTGTTAAAAATGAAATGAAGATTTTTTGAATGTTAACAGAAAATAATTAAAAGATATCCAGGTAAGAATCTTATCAGGTCCACACTTTAAGTTTTGAAGGCCATTTGTTTTCAAAATTTTCAGCATTAAAATCTGACAGCAGCTCTCCTTATAGTCAAACCCCTCCTTAGAGACACCTCTGTAATACCAGCATCTCTCTTTTATCGACTGTTCTCTTGATCTCAAAGCTCCATACATTTTCTAACTCTATTAAACAGGCAGACAATTGGCTCTGTATCTTTGATGTCCATTATTATCAAGATTTCAGTTATAGTACCTCTATTGTCATTTTATGGGGGTAAGAAAAGAATAGTTACATCCAGTGGAGGCGTAGGGGTTCTTAAATAAGATGAGGTTTGGATGAGGTGAAAATTTTTCCAAGACTCGTGACTATTCTGACTAGGAATGTTCCAGTCCTTGGCACTTAGTGACTGTGCAATTTGAAATATTTTTCTCATGATCCTTTGCAGGTGTTTTTCCTAATGGGTGGACTACATGGGAGTGTGGGAGGAGCCACACCTGGGAAATATCTCATGGGATTGTCAGTCATTGCAACTGATAGCATTTCTACAGTGGCAACCAACCCAGCAGGTGACCGAGTGAGAATCATCCCTGGAGGAAACCTTGGATTCTGGAGGTAGGCTAGCTATAAAATGCAATTGCATAACGTATACCTCTAGTCGCAAAAGTGCTTTTGTTTCATGTCCATTACACCCAAAAAAATAGAAGTCAACCTTTCTTACTAACAGATTAGTCTGGTCATGATGTGAACTTGATTAGGGGAAGTGTGATTGTGATAATTATTGTTAAATGGAAGTGAACTCAATTACCGGAAGTGTGGTTGTGTCACCACCATAACAGATCGTGATGATCCATCACCATCTGGTGACCCCCCTCACACAACATACATACAGTGATAATTTGATCTCTCTCATGACCCAACTACCAAAGAGTTGGGTCGTCAACCTACAGCCGCCACTGTCCTGTGATACCCAGATAACAGGCACACATAGGAAGTATTAATCGTGATTTCTGGTAACCGAGTTCACATCTGTTTAACATATCATGACCTGACTTCTGGTAGACGGACTTCAATATTAGACGATCAGACGTAGTCTCTGTGTGTTGGACAAGTTACGTGTACCTTCACTTAGGGATTATTCGTAACATTTTTTGTGTTTGCTTGCGGTTGGTAAATTGAAAAACCTCACTCAGAAAAAGCAGTTTGTAAACAGTGATATAATGTTATTATTTTTTTGAATACGAAAGTGGATGGTGAGAATGGCTGGGAAATGTACCCAGTATAGAGTATTGAAGGTTGTGTTCTCTCTGTAAAAAGAGTGTTTTTTTTTTCTGACTTTATCAACAGATCATTTTTGAGGGCCCTGCTTAAAAACTTCTCCATGACGTTCCTGTTTCCTGTGTTTTTAACGGTCCTGTTTTTTGAGCATAGTCGTACAGCCTATGATGTCATTGCAAACTCAACAGTGGTAGTTACTAGTGCTGCTCCGCCGAGACAACAGGGCGACCAATTGAATCAGAGACAGTAGGGTAGTAATTTGGTTGCTTATTTTAGGGTGTACTGTACGTTTAAATTAGCATTTTCCAAAAAGTTTGTATCCTTGAATGCCTAGATTGTGAATGCAAGCAGGGAAAATTTTGATCTCAAATCCTTGAAAGCGTTTGTGATGAGTCAAGTGGTTACAGCTGTATGCTTTTGTGACTAGAGTCAACTCCCTTACATGTAATAGCGGACACCATAGGGACCTCGAGTTAGTGTCCTCATGCATTAGCAAGAGTCTGTAATAGGGGGAGTTTATTTCAGTCAAACTTCTTTAATTTATTTTTGCCTGGGATTTAGCTGCTGCCCGTAGAGTTAAAAGTGGGGTACTTATAAATGGCATTTTACAGTGTACTTTTATTTTAACCCAATGGCTACCTTAGGGCACTTTCCATTTGTCAGAACTGGCTGGCCGGACCATTGCCGGATCAGTCAGTTAGCAAATGAAATTGGCTTTTTCCAAAGGGTTTTTGCTGAAAAATCATCTCCTTTGTGCATACTATTAAGGATTTGACTGATCTGGCTGGATAGTTTTGATAAAAAGTGAAATTTTCAGTATGATGAGAATGGTCTGGCCAGGCGAAGTTCTGACAAATAGAAAGTGCCCTTAGTTTTTTTTTTTTGTCTTTCCCTGTAGTCAACTGCTCTATTCACTTTTAAATAGAAACTTTCTCAGTGCACATTTAGAGGTTGTAAACTGTTTTTAATAAGCACCTTTACTTGTGTAAAAGTAACAGGAAGCATTTAGTAATAAATTTACAAATAAACGTTTAGTTACCTCCCTTTAGTTACTTTCTTTGCTTCTTTGTTGCAAATTGCATTTTTTCGAAAGGTAGCCCAAGCTTGGAATACCAGGGTTGTCATTAAGAGCCGGGGGCCGGGGATTTTCCCCGGCTACTAAGAGAGTGGCCCCCGGCTACTTTTATTGGAAAATAGAAGAAAAATAGAACCAAAAGAAATCTCTAGCCGTTTGATTCCCCCCCTACTTGTTGTATTTACCCGGCAACTTGAAATCTTAGTGACAACCCTGGAATACACTCTTGAAATAGATTCTATACATTAATCTCATGTTTACATTGCACAAAACTCTTTTATGTTGCTTAAATTACAAATATGTACAACATCAGTGCTGTAAAATTTTATACACTCTCTCTGAACTTGGGGTACCTGTACTGACTATTTCTTAGTTTTTGAAAACTGATCACTGGCATACTGGAATAAAAAATGGAAATAGTTTAATTTGCTGATGTGTGCAAATTTGCCCATGAACAACTAAAACAAGAATAATTTATTTATTTATCTTAACATCTGAACCAACAGTTTACAGTTCTTTTTGTTTTCCCTTTTAATTGCGTCCCCTTGAACTTCTCATTTAATTGTACACATAGCAACAAGCACGAATTAAAAGTAATTTTCAGATTAAAAATTATATTAAAAAAAGAAAAAGGGAAAATGACACTTGTAAAGCCTTAATTGATGAGAAGTACATAAAAAGTTTTTTTCAACTCTAATTATTATATTCAAATGTATATTAAGTAACAATAATGATAATTTGAACAACTAAGAGAAAAAAGTTAAATTGGCCATGCTATTAATTTTAATACAAGCATAACAACTAACATGACCATAAAGAGTACTTAATAAAATATTATTATTGCTGTTAAACGATTTTTTGTCAATTGTCACATATATACACTCTCTTAATCTTATTTGTATTCAGTAACGACATTTATTGATAAAGTAAGCTAGAAATCTACTTATTTCTTGTTTGATATGCTTGTTTGCTCCTAGCTTTCTGTCTCTTTATTAAAACATAGGATCCATAAAATGGAGCTGCAACAACACCTGCTCCCACTATGACACACCCAGCGCTGAACACCAAACCAGCTACAACAGGGACAAGCATTACCTGTCCACTAAAAAGGGCACCACGCACTGCAATCCGTTGAACTGGTTTGTCAGGTTTAAAGTTGTATTTGCAGCCCAAAATGCTGAAGCGATCATAGTGGTTTCCCAGGAATTTGACATGATGATACTTGCTGCCACATCTATAGCAGAATTCTGTGTGACACCTGTAAAAACAGCAATTCATTGAACATGGCTTTTCACATTCATTATAATTCAAACAAAGAGAAAAAACTGAGACTTTATGGGCTTTTCTGACAAAGTCACGAAAATTGCTATTGATGAAAATGGATCTTAAAAATAAAAGTGACAATCACATTCCCATTCCAATCAAGTTGGACAACGTTAGTCATGCGATAACAACAAAGAAGTCTGTCAAAAAGTCTGCTGCACATTCAGAGTTTTTGTTTTGCCTTCTAATAAAATCTGTTGCTTAGTTTTTATTTTCTTGTTTCTGTCATCAGCCAGTCAGTCACAAAAAATACAAAAAACCATTTCCAGTGCCTTGTTTTCCAACCCATTTTCTTACACTATTGGACAAAATTCACTTTTTGTGTTGCTGAAATTTTTTCAAAAAGTGCTATGGTGCCAAAACATATGGTATTGATATGTCATTATGATGTTATAAGGAATAGCAGAGGCTGATTATTCTAGGCTATAAAATATTTATCAAATAATTAATGATATTTCTAACTTCTACTCTCTAACTTAATTTCCAAGATTGACAAATACTTATCTAGGTTTTAAAATATTTATCAATAAATGATATTTAAATTTTAATTAAAGTCAAATCCTGCTTTATGGACACCCACTTAATACAAAAAGGAAAATAAAGTTCACTTTACTTGCGACTAAGAAAAAAATCCTTCTCATGATAAATTTAAAAAAAAGAAACAACAAACATTTTTAGGTATAGGGAGACTGCGACTTCAACCTGCCTAAAACTGACACCCCATTAGTATGGACACTTTCTATGCCCCCCGACCCCCAGTGTCCATATTTAATGGGGTTTGATTGTAATTTTTTCAATTTTTTGATAGGGAAGAAATATAAAATTAGTAGCAAGTGTCTGATCCTTTCTGTTATTTTAATACATTCTTTTAATTTATTAATGACATTATTTTTTTAGAAAAGTTATATTGGACACCAGACAGCTGCCGCGGTTTATCCAAATGTATCTAGACACCTCTACCAAGCAGTCAGTCAATCAGTCAATCCAAAAAAAGAAAAGAAGAAGAAAAGAAAGAAAAACGAAAACACACTTGTTTAGCTGTCCCTCATTATTCCAACCTATTTGTCCACGTTCTTGGCCAAAATTCACTGTTTTATGTTGCTGAGAAGTTTTCAAAGTGTTCTATGGTAACTAAATACCTGGCATTGATATGTCATAGATATTATCATGATAGGAGATACCACAGGTTGATTATTCTTAGCTATAAAATATTAATCAAATTACCAATATATATATTTTACTTTTACTTTATACTGCAGGGGACTTATTGCAAGCGAGACACATTACTCAATGCGACTTAATCCAAAATTTAACCAATATTTGTCTACGTTTTAATATTATAATTTTTTGAGAGAAAGAAAGTTTACTTGTAATCCGATCCTTTCTTCCCGGTTTCCGCAAATATTAATGGTGTTGTCGATCGCGTGTGCGAAAGACTTTCAAGGAAAACGCGCGCCAAGAAATAGTGACAGAAGCGAGAAATGATCTACATTGCTTCTTATGGAAAGATACAGTATACGTCTTCGTAATGCATAAACAAAGAATTTTAAAAATCGCACCTGGTGCAAGACATGTGGTCACATCCGCTGGATTTTTGAATAAAAACACCACACTTAGGACAGCGACAGGCATTGCGAGCGGGTTGCCCGCGGTTTTTGGCCCAAATCTTCAATGATTTATCTCCTTTACAGAAGTCTTTGCAGGTTAAGCCGTAATGCCACGGTGCTTGACAGGCGAAACACCAAACCAACTGGCATTTCACGCAAGTAACCTTCAAATTATCCGGCCTAGAACCATCTTTTTCCTTGTCCGCCGTAGTTGAATTTGATTGCTCCGGGTGATGATGAATTCGCGAACACCCTGGGCAAGTTTTGATCAAAGGATTCTGTTCGATTTCCACCTTAAATTGCTGGTATCTCTCGAACAGTCGGTCGGACACAAGTTGTTGTACCTCTTCGTCACTCATAACAGTGTCACAGTTTCCAAGCGGACACAAGATCTTTACGATAGCATCTTCAATTTTCGATTGAACGTGTGCTTCCAAACACGCGGTACATATCACTCCAGCACAACACCAAGTACGAACACTGTTTTCGCTAGTTTCTAAAAAGCACACATTACAAGGAATCGACATCTTACTTTACCGTTCCAAGCACCTTTTACACTCTATCGCTATAATCAACAACAATTGTCAAGTCGGCGATAATTTAATATAGCAGTTCCTTTTTGTATACACACGTGACCACGTCTATTTTCGGTTCATACGTCAAAGTGGGACAATAAAATGTTATCGAATAAAGCCTGTATTTAAGACTGAAGGATTTCAAATGTCCCGAACTATATTTCTATAATAAGAAATTATTAGAGAATGACCCCTACGGTGAAAATCCATAGTATTTTAAGAGTGTTCATATTTCAGGTTCCCCGTTTTTATCCGCTGACAAAACCACGGGCTCACAAGGCGATGGGGTAAACCCATCCGTTACGTTCCAGATCATCTGGAACGCAACTTCCTGTTTTCTGCTGAATGAATCACACACACGGGCAAAAATACTCCTATTCAATTTATTAGTCACCATCATAATTTTTATTTTCAACTCTCTTATTTATTTAAAAACATGAGGGGATAAATTTCCATAAACAGTAACAAATTTTTCTCATAACAATTCCACTCTACTGTACTTTTTTAATTAACGCATTTCCAGTAACCTTTTTATAGGAGACTGTTCGTTTTTTACCTGTGAGGGGGGAGGGGGTGGCCATTTTGCTGGAGGGTCATTTTCAAAATCTTGATTCGTTTTGGGGGGGTCATTTGCAGATAAAGAAACATTGCCTGTGGATCATTTTAATACATTTCATGCAAGTGGTACAAAGCAGTAACAAGCATAAATTGTAAATTGAATGTAACAGCTGTAAATAGTCTACACCAATCTTACAAACATGACTGACTGTCAATAGAGTATGTGGCGACCTTCGTCATGATTTGTAGCTAGAATATTCATATTTTGCACGGCAATCAGGTGGGGGCCATGTTCATGCAGGGGTAATGTGTAAAATCCAGTGAGAGGCTATTTCACAAAAAAAATGAAAAAAAAAAAAAAAAACTAGCAGAGAATGAAATTATTGAGGGGTCGGTTTGAAAATAGCCTGCTCCAGCTGTTCAGATGGTGAGGATGGGGCCAAGAGATGTGCACAGAAAACTTTGTGCCGCACACTCCATTATCTGAATGACTGATACAGCCTAGTTTTAAAATCTTCTAAGCTTTCTCAAAATGGCCAGCCCCTCTCACAGTTAACAAACAACCAGCCCGTAGTGGCCCTTTCTCTCTACATAAAAGCAGGATACTTCTGTGTCACATCTTCAAGTCAGTTCATGCTACTACTTTGAAAAGGTCTATAATCAAACCACCATCTTGCTTACACCAGACCTTTCTTGGCAAAATTCTCTGTACCACTAAAATAAGTGGCTAGGAAATGTTGGTTCACATTACAGCTGTTATGGAGGTAATTCCATGGATCCAACCATCAATTTTTTAAGGAAAATCCATTTCCCTGCAGGTCAAGAACAGTTTTAGGAAAAAAGGGTTACTGTGTGGCACAAACCTTTCGTGAGAGTTTACATGTATTTTCACGTATTGGCTTTTTTGTCTGTTTTGCTGGAATTAATTTTTTCAATTACAAGGGATTGGTTTTCCTTGCTGGAAATTAATAAATTTTTGCAATTTACAGAATATCTCGGATAAATCATTGATAAGAATTTTGTTTTTATTGAGTACCTGCAATGGAAACACATTATTTATTCAAACAATACTACAATATGCTTACCCTATAAAGCTAGTAAAACAGATTTTTAATACTTTTCTTTGCGATTCGATTACAATAACACCTGCAGACTGTGAATGATTGTTCTGGTGATCAACTGGCAGTGAGTGTGTAGAACATTTAAGTAAGAGAAAATTATTTTAATCTTGAGCAAATTTTTGCGGGAGCTTATTATTTCCGATCGCTGGAAAAACCGCAAAAATAATTAGAACCCTCAAAAATTTGTGCCACACGGTAGGTTACCTGCTGCAAACTAGCTCTGAAAACTTTATTGGCTATTCTTTGAGCCATAATTCACACACTGCCCAAAAGACAGCTGTCAAGAGGAGTTGCCTCCTGACCTCTAGTCACCAAAGCTTTGTTATCAGGCACACTGGTGATGAGCCTCACACCCGGGCATTTTTAGGGGAGTCTAATACAGAGAGGAAATAATAACTCCACTAAAAACACGTAAATAAACTGCTTTGCAAATGTCATGCAAAATTGCGATTTTTGTCTTTTTCATTTATTCAAAAAACCACCACCAAAGTGATTGATTTTTCATGACAAACTTAGTAAAACTGCAAAATACATTTGTATCATAAGGATTTGTCGCAAACTAATGGAAAATGGCTCCTTAACAGGCTAATTTTTACAATAAAATGTATGGTGTCACACCATAGATTTCCTTGTAAAAATCCACTAAGGTGCAGGCTTCTTATCTGTTAGCTTACTAAAAATCCTCATCAAAGTTTGCAGTTTTACTAAATTTGACATGATAAATTCAGGGCTTGAAAAAAGTCCCATCCGGTCGTCCGGGACAAGAAGATTTTCTTACGCAGCAAGTACATGTAAATTGATCTAAAGCTGACAGTGTTTTTGGGTGTATATGAAAAATATGAATAATTATTCATAATATTATTGCAAACATTGCATAACATCTGCAAAATGGGTTATGTGAGACTTATTAGTGACAAACTGTTTGCAATTTCAAACCCACGGACACCACTTAGAAAAACCTAACCTAGACAACTGTAACAAATCCCTCTTCTAAGCCAATGGAAAGAATAGTGTTTGAGCAAACATCTGCTGGTGAGCGCCTTGAATACATAGAAGGGAATGATCCCTAAACAGGCTGTGTGCAGAACAACTTTCATTTTCTTCTATTCTTTCGTTTGATAGAATGTTCTAGTACTGTATTATGTTCAAGATCCCCTTTTGAGATGGGCTGTCCACAGACAGGACATTTAGCTCTACCTCGCCCTCTGTTAATGTGCTGAACGATAGCATCGTGATCGTAATTATGACCACAAACTTTACTCTTCATGGGTTTCACCATCTCCTTCATGGTAAGAGGGCATTTGGTCTTTTCTGCTGGTGCCTAAAGAGATAGAAAATAGAATGCTGTGACAATGTTTCATGAGGAGAGCTCAAGGATGCTTACACTTATAAAACTATCTGAGAGAAAAATCCATTGGGGTAACCACTCATCACCACAGATTTAAGATACAATCATGTACAATAATAACAGCTGCAGCAGCAAAAACATTCCTTTGAAAAGTGAATTCATGTTCCTTCAATATTTTTTATCATGATTACTCTGACCCGCTTACTTTGACTCAAAACCAAGTCCAGAGGGAGAGAGAAAAAGCTTGTTTACATCTCCCAAAAACAGTGTATTGGAAGTTGAGTGAAATACATGCACCCTATGTGTAGCATGGGACTGAAACCATTAATACTAACTTGAATGAAAGGACTACAATGTACTTCAAAACATAACCCCTAAGTACAAAACAAAAAGGAGTGCTTTGTTAGCCTCTAACAGCACTTTCATTCTTTAGATTTTGATTTGAATATTTGCTTTCAGGCCCGAAAAGTTACTGGGACTTTCAAGAGAAGGGCCCTAGGACCCAGAAATCCAATCAACTAACTACAACATGACTATGCCCACTATTTGTTTTTCTCTTCCTCACCTGTGACATCACAATGTCTTCATCTCCAATTGGCTGTGTGTTGGCATTCGGCATAGGTTGTCCTTGATGGTGAATACTCCAGACTTTCTCTCTGAATTCTTTAACCTTCTGGTGGCAATCCAAGTCTGAATCTTTATTTTTTGATTTCAAAGAGTCTAGCTTCTCTTGGAAGATTTCCTCAATGTTTGGAATGTCATCACTTGAAAACAATAACAATAACAATATTTAAACAGGTAAAATTTTGAGGGAACTATTTGCAGTTCTGTTAAAAGGCTCTTTGTTTTTTTGTGCTTCTGAAGCTCTGTGGTTGCAGAAATTTCTGATAGTTATTTGTCGCATTTTGGATTTTGGGATCCTTTTTCTCAGTAAATTTTGGAAGGATGGAGTTCCACTTCTGCAAAGCATGAAGACATACATGCCATTGTTTTTAGGTGAGGTATTCAAAGAATTAGGGACATTATGGGCTTTTCCTGGAGAGCCCTGAAATCTACATTCCACATTCTCATTCTTCACTCTCCAGCCGGTCGTCAGGTAATTACAGTTGTATATTGGAAAATAACACCTTCTGAAGCTCAGGTTGGTGAAAAAACATGGTACATATATGACACATTAAACATTTCTTTTGAACTTAAGCAAACTGTGGCACTTGAAATCACAGTTTTATCATGGTTCAATCAGGATTTTAATAGCAATAATATGATATTGTGGTTCAATTTTATGCACATGTCATTGGCTTGCCCTAGGGGTAGACCACTGGGCCGACCAGGGGTATATGTCGGGGAATACAAGGGGATAGATTGGATTCTCTGCCTCTGGGGAGGGGAAAATTCACGACATTGTTTTAAGTTCGAAGGGAAGAGGGTGGGGGAATTGCAAATTTTGTAAAATAGTGGGCAGTAACAGGGATTTATCGCTTTCCTCAAACCATTATCATGGGTAACATCAAGCTGCGAAAGGAGGAATACGAGGTTTTACCTGTCTCTGCACATGTACATGACTACAGAGAGAGGCCTGGAGAGGAATGTCTCTCTTGAGGACTGGGAATTTGATTGAAGATCATTCAACACAAGACGTCCCAAAGAAAAATTACTGAGAAAATGTGCCCAGCATAGTAAATTTGGCAATGCACGCATTACTTGGTTATACTCTAGATATCACATGTAAAAGTACTGCTCCTGTTCCTGTTCTCAAAAAAGAATAATGATATCGCTGGTATTTAAAATTAATATATAAATGAAATACAATGAATAACTGTAATTTTTGAGCATCATGAGGTAGATTAGTTCAGGTCATCTTAACTAGTCTGTGGAGAAACTATCAGTCTCTGCTAACCTCGGTGAATCTGTCTTCAGGTGTACTTTCATTGTAGTGATTTTTGTTCAATAAAGATATTATACTACTTCTCCAAGGCCTAACATGAATGAGTAAAATTTCATCATAAATATCATAAAAATGCCGCTTTTGCAAGTGAATCCCAGTTAAATGAGGTGGATATCAGGGGCGTTTTCGTTGAGAATCACTTGACCCATGGGACTTTGTCACATTAAATTCCCCCACCCCTGGGGGAAATCCTCAACTTTGCTCCACCAAGTTTACAATCCCCCCGGTTGGCGCGGGTGTCTACCCCTGGGGCAAGCTGATGACATGTGCATTATCCTTGGTCTATTTTTTTAATTTGCTACTGTTTTTGGATATGGGTATGTGTGATAATGAGTTGGAAATAAAAGAAAATCAAAATTAAATCAAAAATAAAATTAAACTACTAAAAACACAGGAACACAGCCATGCAGCTATGTAGTTTTGGGACCGAAATGTCACCACAAACTACTTTCAAATTTGAATCTAAACTAACTCACCTGGACACATCATACTGGCGATTAAACGCTGCTTTTGCGAGTTCCACAGCTTTCGCCCATTGATCCACTTCCCGTTCCATGTCGACGTATTGAAGCATGGTGTCTTCAAGCTCTTTCACTTGTTCGCTGTCCTGGGAAACCTCTTCCAAATCCAAAGCTACGTCTAAAGTAACACCTAAACCATTGTCTATGTACTGCTTAACTTTTTTGACACTTTCCACGGCATTCTCAACGGCCCTAAAGTGAGCAGGCATTTCGCATGGAAGGTGATGTGTTTGCAAACTTCAATATGGCGCCGCAAAGCGAATATGGCGCGATCTCTGGCGCGATTTGGCGCATTCTCGACCCCAGTGCTTACGGGTTTGGGAATGCGCGCGTAAGCTTATGCAGAGGTGGCCCATACGCACGTTACGAGGGAAGGGTGTAATGAATATCATGCTACTTTTACGAGCAGAACCTATACATAAGATTGGGAACAAGCCATATCAGATTCCATGATAGTCATGATAGCTTAGTAGAACCGTGTGAGTCCGTGTTAATCCATTATTATGGGCTACTAGCATGCTCTTTACGTCACTATGCGATATATCCTCGATTCCAGACTTTTTGTCGCGGAACACTTCTATCAACACTGTCGACCATCTACGGCTTTCCAAGTTCCCCTAGATGCAATTTGTTTTCCCCACAAAATTTGCGTAAATTTTGTTTTAATTTCTCAAGGGTCGAATGTTGGTTGCAAGAGAAATTGAAAACAAAGCTTTTGCAAAAGTTTGTTGGAAAAAAAAACTGTATTATGGGGAAATTGAAAGTCGAACTGACAGATTTACAGCTTGAGCTTGGTCTTCCTGGGGTGAGTGGAGGTCAAGTTGGATAACAGTTAAACTTAATGCATGGGTCGGTTATGAAACATTTTTAGGACTAGCCAATCACAATTCATTTCGCGTTTTTTCATGACACATTTCTAGTCAATTTGCCCTCGTCCTTGCATATTATTTTACTACACTTACAATTATAAATTGAATTTGTGTCGATCTTATAAAACTACAAACTGAATGCGTGCCAACTGTCGTCATAATAATTGTTTTCATTTTGCAAGAAAATGGAAGTGAATGACATTTTGAAAGCCTCTTGGCTGAATAGGAAGAATTTCTCCAAGGAATATAATCAAAGTGAAAAGTGCGATTTGAACATTAAAAAAAGAAAAAAAAAATACTAAAAAAAAAGAGTTCATTAATTTGGCTTTGCGTCATTCAGTCAAAAATTTGCCTAAAAACAAACAAAGCTTGTAAATACGTCATTTGCAGATTTCTTTTAAACGGGAAGAAAGTGTCTTACGATTGACGTAAATGATAAGGTCATGTTTGAACAGTCCTATGTCTTTGTAAAAATTTCCAACGATACATACATTATATTCTTTTTCACTATAACTTAGTGTTAAATAGTACACCTACAAACTCATGAAACTCAAATGTATTTTCTCGGCAATGCTTCAAGTGTTGTAAGTTATAGCGTTGTGCTCGACCAACGTGCGTTAGGCTGCGTTTTAAAATAGAGTCTGTAAAACTAAAAGTGGTAATAATTTTTGTAGAGTGACTGAACATGAACCTTTCGTTAAACGATTCTGGACTGAAATACTGGAGCAACAGCCACGAAGGTTTATGGAATCGCTTTCTAGTGTTGTGCTTCTTGTCTGCTGTTTATCTCTCAGTCTTGGCGGTTTTAACAACTCTCGCAAACGGAGTTCTACTCATAGCTCTCTACCAAGATCCTTTTAAAGTCTTCCGTCAACCGCCTACCATCTTCATCACTGGCTTAGCAGTAGCTGATTTTTTAACCGGCCTTGCTGTGGATCCACTTTTCGCCTACTTCTACTTCGAAGTCTATAGGGACACAATGAGCGCGGAACGTTACAATAGCATTTTAAAAGCGGCTGGGGTTTTATCCAGCGTTACAATGAACGTGTCGATTCTGACGATTCTGTTTCTCTCCTGGACTCAATTCATTGCAATTTCGTTTCCTCATCGCCACAAACAGCTGGTTACAGGGAAAAGAGTCTTGGTTTGCGTTTGCGGAATATGGGCTTATTCTCTGCTGTTTTCGAGCTCACTTCTCATGGGCGTCCCTGAAAAGGCGTTTCAAAAAATCGACGTCTTTCTGAACCTGACACTCATTCATCTACTGGTCCTTTTCTCTTACATTGCGCTGCAGGTTTCGTACAGGCGTCAGTTAGGGCAGTTGAATCCTTTGCAGGCAAACGCCATTACCTCCATTCAACTCACAGATGCCTGGGAGCACCGCCGCAGAAAAGACCAAAGGCACTTTTTTGTAATAAGCTTGTTACTCGCGACCTGTTTGCTTTTATTTGTGGCTCCAGTGACTGTAATGTGGTATGTTACCCTTTACTATACACCACAAACTTACGAGGGGGTGGTAAAAGCCACAATGGCTAATGTTATAACAGATGCGAATTTATTTCTTAAGTTCTTGATCGACCCATTCATCTACGCGTGGAGGCTTCCCAAGTTTAGACAAGCAGTGAAGGCGATTTTCTCAAAAAGAAGATCCTCGAATATGGATTCTATAACCATGGTTAGTTTTAACTTGCGGTTGTCAAGAAATCAAATACATTGAAACAGTTTAATTTTAAGACACACCGACAGAGAGACCTACAGAACTAAACACACTTGCTTTATACTTAGTGGAACGATCTACTAGAGTAGCTAGTTACCAGGTTAACATGCAAAACTTGAACAGCATGCGGCCACCAGACACACTGAAAATAAAAGTTGACTTTGGTCAGTTTTCTGAACAGCTTTCCCGCAGTTCCACTAGACAGGAGTTTTTTTTTTCTTTAAACCATTATCAGAGGATATCGCCCAAAAAACGTCAAACATTGTTATATTGTTTTTTTCTTTTAACTTTCTTAATTATAAGTTCCCCGGAAAAGTTGCTACTAAATTAAGAAGACTGCTTCTACCTCTCTTAACCATTAAAAGTCGGTGGGGGAGGTTGACTTTGTGAATTAAAGTTAAAGACGAAGGCTTATTTACTGAGGGCAAATACGTCAATTATTGCTCAACTTGAGATTTTTCAATAATTTTGAATTCTATGAACTTGAGAAATTGGGAATATTTATTATATTGTGCTATTTACATCGTTCTTATACTATTGCTTAGAGTCTAATGACATCGCATGAAAAATATAAGAGAAAGAGGAAAAAAGGACACGCATGATGGCAAAGCAAAATGTGCACCGAGTTTAATGTAAATCAAAAAGCAACTGGCGTACGTAACTCTACTTAGTTTACGTATATTAAACGATTGCCAGGCACCGCTTTGCTAATTCAGCTTATAGGCTGCCCGCTGAAGTTGATTATTTGTCATAATGAAAGCGAATTTTATCGTCTTTTTTTCACATTTGCTTTTAGAAAGAAATTACAACTGAAAGGTGTTTTACTTGACAATAGTGTCTCTGAGTAAGCCCTGCTGTCACTCATCCTCGGCTGTGTATGATTTCACCTGCTCATCCCGGTGCCTTTTTTATTTATTTCAGACAACCAAAATGAAAAAAAAAAAACTTTGTCAATAAGAGACCTAAACTAATGGTTTCGTTTTGCTTCCAGTTTTTTCCTAACATTTGCACTAGAACTATTATTAATTCATGATTTTGTCAGCGAATTCCAGGCGGGCAGAACGACAATGAAAGTATTAATAAATCCTTTTCCCATGTTTGGTTGAAAAGCCGATAAAACAAATGCTTTATTTGGCTTGTTAGGCCATCAGTTTCCAAATATATAGTGTTTCGCTTTGCATCACTCGCTTTCTTTAGTTAGAGCGAGGTGGTCGGTTAGGCACTGTCAGCAGGCATAGACTTAAATAACTGTATTCGCGCGATCACCCTATCGACTCCAAATACGATTCCTGTGAATGTTTATTTAAACACGACTGAAAAATCTTACGTGAAACCTTTCTTAAACAAATAAAAAGAATGGAAGCGTTTTCTAAATGATAATAACAAAAGGTGATGTAAATCGCTTCATTTATTAAAAAAGAGTAACACGACCTGAACTACGTTCCGGTTGACCGAGGCCCCGTTGAGAAAAGTAGTCCTGGGAAAGAGGATCACCCTCCCAGCGAAGGACTCGGCCAACAGACAGCAGCCAAGCTGCCGCGTGTTCTAATTGTCTCGCCCTGAGCGAGTTGACCCGGCTGGGCGAGCCCAAACTCTCATATGGAGAAAGGTTGGCCCGGCTTAGAGGGTGACCGTACTGTCACAAAAGGGTGACCCGACAAGGCAGACCACCCGTTAGACTGTTCACAGTCCTCTATTTTTCCGTAAGATCATCGAGATAGAGCGCTTTGTGTTACGGGCTGCCATCTTGCATGAGTGTCAAAACTACTTATAGGGGCGGGGGCGGTTTGGGAGGAGGCGCCCTCCCCCCCCTCCCCTTCTTCCCAGAGTTATAATTCCCGACGCCCGCCCCTCGGTACATTTGAAAATCAAGATACCCGTGACGGTAAGACGCGGCATATCTAAACGATCTCACGAAAAAATAGGGGACTGTGAACAGTCTAGCCACCCTTCCACCCTAGGTAACTTTTTGTTTCTCATGTCAACGACTCGGCAATTTTTGTAAGAACATTTAATAGCAAAGTGTGCCTTGCCCAGGGTGGCTCGGGTAGGCGAGTGACCCTTCAAACGAAGACTGGAATCGCCGGAGAGCGGAGGAAATTCAGCCTAGAGGATGTTGTGATCAGGCTAAAAGCAATTAAAGGAAATTATTTTCTTTAGACCCAAAAGGGACTCGCCAGTCCGTCTAAGCTAGATGTCCGTCTTTTCCGGCTGCCTGTCCGCGGCATAGAGCAGTATTATACTGCGTAAAGTGGGTCTTGTGTTCCTGATCGCCTCCTCTGGAAATTAATTGTCAATGAATAATTTGAAATTAAAGTTTTACAGAGAAAACTGTCTAAACGTTATCGAAATATTGAACCTGTGCCAAAATATATTATTGAAATTTGAATTATGAGCACAAAATATAAAAGGGAAATACATCAAGCAATAAATTTCGCCATAGCATGGAGCAGTTTATTATTTGAACAACTTTAATTGACAGGTGAAGGCTCAAGGAATTGACCAAGCCTACGCCACAGACGCAACTAAATTTCTGGTTAAGTCTGTTTGCAAAACAGCGCCGAAATCCTTGTTAGATTACTCTGCGACACAAACAAGTTGGCCAATCACAAGGCTGAACTGACAAGACTTCATGACGTCACGGCGGCCATATTGGTGTTCCAAAACAATAAAACGGCGGCCATGTTGGTGTACCAAGACAACCCTATGGGAATTGAACTCTTGTCTTTTGTAAAAATTTTCTTTTGTTGGTATAAATTAGCATAGATGCTGGCTACGTGAGTGAATACGCCCTATATAAGTTTTTGAAGTCAACAGGTTAATACCCAGAACAACCTTTGGATAATTAGCCCGTCAGTCTGTTGTTGTGATGGTATTTAAACGTAAAAGGCTCATAACAGTTTAAATACTAGTTTGAAGATAGAATGAAACCATTAAAGAATCTGAGTGTTGATTACCCACAAGCACTGCATTTACAGGTGCTATGATCATGCCACCCTGAATATCAGTGAATAGTTGGAGCAGGTCCTCTTTTATAAACAAACGGATAAGAATTAAACTTGGTATTTGAAGCCGCTTGATGAATTCAACTTCACAAGACATCAAGGTATTGTAGACACTGCTTGATTTAAAAAAAAATGGTTTTAGGTTTGTAAACGAAACGCACCCGTTAATTAAGCGTGAGGACAATTGCCGATGAGTCTTTATATAGACTTTTTAGTGGAGTCTAAAAATCTTGTTGAAATTACAATTAGCGATTCATCTGACTGATAGAATCACAGAGCTGAGCAAACTACTCTCTCCCGAGTCCCTCGGCCAAAGACGGGCTCGTTTTAACAGTAATAGGGAAATTTAGAGTGGGCATATGACATTAGTGAACAAGTCAAAAGAAAATAACAGGTTGAATATTTGAATATAAATTTTTTGTTCTGGAGAAAAATATTGCTTGGAAAACGGGAATCCTGGTCTTTGAAATCAGGAATACAGTTCAAGGAATCTGGAATTGGATCTGGTATCCAAATTCCACTGAGAAAAAATGGAATCCAGTACATGGAATCCAGAGTCCAAGACTGTCTTGGATCCCTCATTAATTTGCATGGAGCGAGAATATGCTTCATTCAGATAATATAAAATTCCAACATTTAAACTGCGCATCTAAGTAAACGAGAGCGCTAAGAAATTGAAGGTCAAATTAAGCAACATTCGGTCGACGATTTTTAAAACATCTTCGTTCACCGGCACCATGCATGTCTTTGACACTAGTGTACATGAGAACAGCTGTGGGGATTGTTTAAACACACTTTTCCAACCCTTCTTTCACCCATTACTTTGGTGTCCTCATTTATAGCACACCGTAAAATTCCGAAAATAAGCCCCGGGGATTGTATTTTTCAAAGGCCCTTTTTTGAAGGGCTTATTTTTGGAGGGGCTTATATTCGGAGAGGCTTATCTACGGAGGGAAATTTGCGTTTCAAAATCGATTGGGCTAGCCTTATATAGTTGGAAGTAAATTTACCGTTTTAGCTTTGTTTTAGTTTGTATTTTAGGGCAATTTTCCAAGTACAAGCCCCCCGGGGGGCTTATATTTGGAGAGGCGATTTAACGGAGGGTTTTTTGTGTTACTGGTTTGGGGGGCTTATATTTGGAGGGGCTTATTTTCGGAATTTTACGATACTATGTTGTGATCATGAAGTATTTTGAATTCAAAACTTATTATATTTTTAAGATCTATCTCATCTTTTAAGTTTCGGAGTGTTTCATTGATCTTGGGTAGGTCATGGTTAGTAAGGATTTTGCCACATGAGTATTTTCCTGTTTTGATCTTTTAATTCTTTTGTGTCTTAAGCCGAGTGTGTTTAATTTTGCGGTTCTGTAATTTAACCCGAGTCTCCGAACCAGCTGGTGTGGGAGGTGCCCGAATGGTCGAACATCCTGCAACGCGCCGCGCTAGACAAGCCGGTGCATAACAACATGCAAATAGGGCAGCAATTACCTTATATTACTTTTTAACAAACGTTTTTAAAAATGAAGAATGAAATTTTAGCGTTCAATATATTTTGTTGCCTACAGATTGTCCCTGTTCGCTGGACTGTTAGTAAAGAATGCTGCATGTTTTTACAAGGTCTGTTGTCAAAGCAACATTGGATCTGCCTCGCTTGTTCTTTTGGTATTGTGATCTTGACTATTTACTCAGGTAAGCATAGAAGAGAGTTAGTTGCCCTCTTAGGCCACCGTTTACAAGGAAAAAGAAAAAAAAGAAAACAGAAAAAGGGTCACCTGCGCGGGTACTCCTTATGATGTCCTATACAGGGAGGCTCCGCCCTTTTTAGGCTTCAGGTCCTTGAGGCCCCAGTTGCTCAAAAGTTGGATAGCACTATCCACCTGATAAATCACTATCTCAAGGATAAGTGTCAGGGAAACCACTGCGCTCTCCAGTGGATAGTGATTTATCCGGTACATAGCGTTATCCACCTTTTGAACAGCTGGGGTCAGGAAGGCCGGTACGGATTTTTTGAAGTATATTAAGGGGTAAGTCTGTAAAAAGACCACAAGAGCGACAGAAGGAATTTATGGCTGTGAAAGAGTCGCGAAAATTTTCTGGTTTTGTGATTTATTCATATTTAAACTAAAAGACAGTGCATTTCAAGCAAATAAAAGGAATGCTAAGTTGTAAACTAGATATGTGAAAGGGGTACCATTTGACATTGAAAGGTGTACGAAAGCAGTACCTTTTCTTCCAAAAACGGTGTTGGATCTCGGGGTGGAGCCTCCCCACATAAAACTTTGCTGAGTAACTCCTGGGGGGTCACCCTCCCAGCCAAATCGACTTTAGCGAGCGTTTCAGTGTGGGGAAAAAGTAGACACCTTTGATCGAGCAAAGAGCTGTCAACAGAACTAGAGCATACTTAGTCGGAGTTTTACCCGGCTTGGCGTGCCAAAGTGTTTATATGGAGAAAGGTGGACCCGGCTAAGTGGGTCGCCCTCCTAGCCGAGCTAACTTCTTGGTTTCTCATGTAAAGGGTGCGCCAAGTTTCGTAAGGAAATATAGGAAAAGCTGGTTCGCACAGGGTAGCTCGGTCAGGCGGGTGGCCCTACCTTCCACCCGGAAAAAGTTTTGTTTATATAAACGGGTTCTTAAGCAACTCTGTGCACCAAGCTTTGGATTAAATGTCTGCCAGGCCTCCCATGATAGTCCCTATCGGGCGACCAAGTTTTATCGCTTTTGAACCACTCTTCCAAGTTCGAAGAAAAGTGAGTTGGACGGCTATAAGTTGAAAGTTTTACTTATCAAAGTTCGGTAAAAATTATTCCTATCATCTACTCCACATTCGTAGGACCAGTCCTGTTCCAGTCAAAAAAGTATTTACAGCTAATCCCTTTTTTTTCACATTCTAAAAGTTAAATTATGTCTTTCCTTTATTTGAAGGCTACAATTGTGCAAACAATGCTCGCTTGGACACACCCAAAGATCAACGCACTTTTAACATCGTACCTGCAAACAGCAACTATCAGCTAGGAAAAGAAGGCGTTGGCCCTTGCCTTAAGGATGCTTTTAAAGACATTTTGCTTGTTGTTGTGTACAACTACCCGTTTTACGACACTATACCTCACCTTAGCGCGCTTTACAGACCAGCCTTTCCTCATCTTTTATTCTGCGGACCTCCTCATAACACAACTCGCTCTGGAATCCTCACTGTTAATATCTACAGAGGTATTCTGGGATATGAGTGCCTTGGAAGAGCGATACGTGAGCATCCGGGATACAGGGGCTATTTTTACATCAGTGATGACGTAATTCTTAATTATTGGAATTTCCCGGATTTTGACCGGGAAAAGATATGGGAGTCGTCGTTTTCCTTTGGATCGACTCCGGTTTACGAGCCTGCACGCACTGATTGGTACTGGTGGATTTCCCCGTACGGTTTAAATAACTGCCGAAGAGCTTGCGAAGATGTGGCGAATATGAATTTCGGTGAGAAGAAACTCAACGTTAAGTATCACCTAAGTACTCTCTCCAAGAACAGCAATGGAAGCCTGCGCTGCTTTAGCGGTCGCTCGGACATTTTGTACATCCCAAGAAAACACGCAAAAGCGTTTTCAATTCTGGCGGAAACGTTTTATGAACAGAAGGTTTTCTTGGAAATTGCTATACCCACAATAATTCGGTTCTTGGAACGAAGCGAGAACATAGGTCGACTTCCAGGCTATTATATACCGGGAGATGTCAGAAAGAATGATTTTCGAGTGACTGATAGCAGGTATTTCTGGTTTGTATATTTTCCAAAGAACAAGATATGGTTCATTCATCCTTTTAAACTTCATGGACAAGAAATGGACAAGAAATTTAACTTAGTTATGTTAAAATTCATTCTCATAGAAAAAGTGAGATCGCAAACAAGCTGCGCACACAGTGTGAGGTAGACAAAAAACGTAATCTGAGGGGCGGGGTAGGGGGACGCAGTATAGCAGCAGAAGTGTCCTCTCTTTTTCTGTGTAAACCATAGTGAAGCTTGAATTAAATTATTGTCCCCGAGAAGGCTGGTACGAGTTGAACTTAGTGAAAAGGAGTTTTTACATTTACCAAAAACCTTACGCGGTTTGACAGGGTACACAAATCAATTGAAAAATAATATTAATAATAATAATAATAATAATATAGCAGAAAAAATTTCATTGACAACAATGCTAACTATTAAAATCCTATTTACAATTAATTCGCTTGAAAAAAAGAACAAAAACTATTCATTCAAAACACTGTATACAATTCCTGTCGATATAAAAAGCACTTAATTTAACTTAGATTAGCTTAATAATAATAAAGATACTGTTATTGTTATTAATTGTGGAGTGTTACTCTTGCGCTGTGCTTGCTCTAGAGACTAAGATGACTTTTGCAGCATATTTGCTACGCATACAAAAATAATCCAGTGTTACAAGTTCATAGGCGAATTCGCAAACTAAAATCTGAACTAGTAGAACCTGTGTCGAGAAGTCTAAGAGCGCTTTCCAAACGTCAAAACTGGCCAGCCGCGCGAACCATGGCCAGATGTCCTTTTGACAATGACATCAGCTTTTTTAAAACGGATTTTTGCTGAAAAACTTTCGCCTTCGTACAAATTATTTAGGATTTCACTGCTGTGGTTGGATACTCTTGATTAAAAGTGAAATTCCCAATGCGACGGGAATGGTCTGACAAATGGAAAGCGCCCTAAGAAAAAGAAGTATCACCCCTCGCACTTTTCCTCTACCTTTCAGTTTATAAAAAGCGCATGCGCACGCAAAGGGTAATTGCAAAGAAAGGAAAACCAACTGACTAGTCACCAGTCTTCTCGTTTGGAGATTTTCCTCGTACCAGAGACCAGCTCGAAGATGCTCTCTCGAAGAGCTTTTCAAATGTCTCCTCTCTTGTCTTTCATTTCCACTACTACCTCTACAGCTTTCAGAGGCCTCTTCATTAATACCGGCTCCAATGCGCCCTCCATGGTTTGGGTTTTAAAGTTCTTCTTCTTGATCATCATTTCCTGAAGCACTTTCACTCGAGCGCCCGCATCTGCTTACCGGTCCTTTGTTCCACTCACGAACCGGATCTTCATTGAAATCATAAGTAGCAAGTCCATAGTAGCCTCCACAGGAAGCGCAGGAATCTTTACCGAGTACGCGGTTCATGTACACATTAGTGGGCACAATACGACAATAGAAACCAGCAGCGAGTAACATGGATGATATGATCGGATCCCTTACGGATACCTGGTCATCGTGACTTGATTCCATCCCTTCTTGAGGCACGTAAGGCATACAGAGCAGATGAAGAACAGCTATTGCCAGTGAAAGAGCCAGAACCTCCGGAATGGCTTGAGCGTGTGGAGAAATGTACACTTTGCTGTTCGTCATGTTCAGTCTCATCACTGTGTTGGAGTCCACTTTAATCACAAAGATTCCGCCCGATTTTCTCACAAGGCACCACCCTTGTTCACGAAACAGTTTAAAAAACCTGATGCTAACGAACCTATTTACTACGTATTTTTTCGCATCCTTTGGTGTAATTTCCTCCTGCCATTTTCCGATACACACGCCCCAGTCTTTATTCTCTCCTCGAATAAGCATGGCTCTCTCGCCTTCTGTTTGATTCAGGACTATGCACTTGTTTGCGTCTTGAACGGCTTCTGCCTGAGGCAATACGCTTTGGTTGATGGTATGAGCTGAAGCAACGACTTGCTGTTCCCGATTTAGGACCTCAACAGCAGATATCAGTCCATAACTGGAATGGACTATTCGATAGTTGAACGCGTCTTTTTCTCTCCAGTCAATTATTTTTTCTGAAGATGAACTGCACACCAAGATCGGGTTTGCCAGATCTTTAGGAGGTAGCACAAGTTGGGAATTATTAAGAACCTCCGAGGGATGCTTATGAGCATAGAAAGTGCCAGTTTTAAATTCAAAGTTGTATTCTTGGACAGCTGCAGGACTGATTATCATCGTTATCTGCGCCATATACTGACCATCGTCATCTTTGAAGGAAACTGTAACAGATGCAGTTAACGCCCCGCTGACTGGAGCAGCATCGAGGAATGTTAGCACACTCACGGAGGATTGAGCAATAAACTCACTTTGCAAAAGTAACTTTTTGCGGTATATCTTAGCTGTGAGTGTGTGGTTTTCGCCATTATCTACACTGAAGCGCGTTGTGTTTAGATTCTTTACCGCACGGTTACCTTCAAAGGAAAATAATAATAAAAACTTTTAGAGTTATTACAGCGGACAAAACACCGAGGGTGGTGATAACTAACCAATAACGGATCCAGACCTTCAGGGGAGTGGGGAGGGTGGGGGGAGGAGGAGGCGGTCACCCATACCCTGAGATAAGGGGGGGCGGGCCCCCTGGGCCCCTCCCCTGGATCTGTCACTGCTAACAAACGAAATGGACAGAATTGTTCGTCATCTCAAGCGCTCATGGGAGCAGAGTCTTCTTTTGCCTCCCTGAGAGAGGAGAAGAAAAGGACGCTCTGCACATCCCTAAATCCGGTCAAGCCTTTGAAGTCCCCGATGCCCAAAATTCTGGACTAGTCAATCTTGTTCTCTATTTAACACAAAGAAATGAGGTCCAGGCTTGGGTAAATAGTTTCATACAAATCACTGTGCAGTCAAACCTGTAGTAAGCGGACCTCTATTAAGCGGTCACTTACCAAAGTCCCGGAAATCATTTCCCTTAATTACTGTGAAACTGACCTGTGTTAAGCGCACATCTTTACCGAGGTCCCAACGAGTTATTAGAGAGATTTATAAAGAGGTTAAATAGAGACCTTAAGAGTGAGGTTTTTTGGCAGTTCCCGCGAACCGCAAACGTCAAGAAGTCACGTGACTAGTGCCTTGTGGTCACGTTTGCGGTTTGAGGTTCACGTTTGTACGGCTAGACCACGCTCTAGAGGTAAGTGATTAACCGCAAGGTTTTTAGCACTCTAAAACATCACAATCCCACGTTTGAGAGAAAATACTCCTTTTTAGAACTCTTTCGCTAATTAATTAGTGAAGTATTTTTCATAGAAACGTAACTTTCAAGACGATTTCTCGGCTAAATAGAGGTGAACGAATGAATAAAAACAAACATGGCAGCATCGAGCTACCACCCGCGAATCTTAATTCCTAAATACGGGCAGACAGGAAGCGTGAAACCACTAACCGCAAACCGCGGATTGCCGTTTGCGGTAAGATGGCAAAACCCGATCTTAAACGTAATACAGAGACCTTAAGGTTTATGTCTAACGGCAAACGTGAATTTGTTTCACGTACGTAACCAAGTTTCCCCTTTCTTTCTCGTTTACTTCCATTATTTCAACACATATTTTAGTAGTTTCATAGAATTTTTTTATCCATAAGAATTGTTTTGAGCTGTTTTATCTGCTCATTTTCTGTTTTGAGAAATTCTTAACTTGAATCCGAAGTTTGCCGTTTGCCGTATACGTGATGCTTAAACTCTTATAAGAGTCACGTTTGCGCCAAACGGTAAACGTGACTTTGTACCACAACACCAAGTTTTCCCCTTAGTTGTCGTTTTCTGTTTATTACTTGTACTCAAAAATAAGTAGTTTTACGCCAGTTTTATCTATAAGAATTGTTCTGAACAGTTTTTATCTGCTTATTTTCTATTCTGCGAAATTCTCAACCTTGAATCTGACGTTTACCGTTTGTCGTAAACGTGACTTTTAATCTCTTCAGATCTATTTTTTATCGTCTTCACCTCCATTAAACCGGTGGTCACTTTGAGTAAGACATTCCCAAAGGGTGACCGCTTAACACAGGTTTGACTATATTTTTCACCCCCGAGCCTTGAGTTGATGTGTTTGTTCGGATAAATGCATGCTAGAAACATCGGTTGATATCAGTCGAAAGACATGAAGGAGTGGATTGAACAAGGGCCATGGCGCTCGTTCTTGGTAAAACGCTCAGGCGTGGGTACTGCCATATATGGGCTATATAGGTATGTGCCGCTGTGAAGGGTATGGTTTTCAAGCAGTTTACTCTAGGATAGGGTATATAAATCAGAGCGTTTGGGTCTAGAATAGGGTATCATTTTTCAGGAAACTGATCAGTTGGTTGAAGATTTTATATACACTAGTGATTGTGGTATAAGGTTTTGTTTTGGCTAGACTGTGCTAGTGACCTCAGTAGTTTCTAGAAAACAGCTACTCTAGGATAGGGGGGATTTGAGGAGTTTACTCTAGTATAGGGTAGCAAAATTCAGCTGAACTAGCTCTGGTATAGGTTAAGGGTTCCAGGGTCTCAGCGGAACATCCCCACCCAGAAATTCCTAAAGTACCTCCCCTCCGGTAGGCAGGTAATGCTAACTATAACCTAAGGCCTACCTTGAAAACTGTGTGAAAAAATCTCATCTTGTTGGGGGTCCTTTAATTGAATAAGAAACGTTTTCTTATTCATATTGAATGTTTCTACCTGAAGAATGTCCACTTCATATTCACGGCGAGCAAGTGGAACGTACGACCACCTTGATCTTGGAGGAACAGGGTCCGGACGATCTCCTCTGTACATGGTCCCTGGCAAGGCAAATTGCAAACCTGCAGTTTTCCACAGTGATCTTGTCTTTTCCTCTGAGTCACACAGCATAGATCCTGGACTGCGGCTCGTTGCAGAATCATCATGGTGTAACACCTGTCCAAGGAAACGCTTGGTTGTTTGATTGTAGTTAACCGGATGAAGCTGGTGCACGTGCCAAATAAGATCGAAATCGTAACATGGAACGACAAATACCCCTGGATTTTGTTTGTTGAACATAACATGGTGTTCATATCGCTCAATAGCCTTCTCTAGAAATTTAGCATCTCTGTAATGAGGCAAAGATACTTGATAGTAGAATTTGGACTGGCGGTAACACGCTCTTTCTAAATCGTATTGAATCTTAGAGTTGTTGCAATCCATCTGTACAATCTGTGATTGAGATAAATCGACTTCAAACGGCTCATCTGGGTATTCCCTTTTCCATAGGTACCTCGCTTTTTCTAAACCGCGTTTGCGTTCAAGGTCCCCAAGAGGAACATGGTCGACTATTTTTGAGACACAGTTGAGGCAATCTTGTTCGTAGTCGTACGGCGACAACATATGAACGTGCCACACCCATGCAATATCTAGTGGAGCGGCGAGGAATCTGCTCCCATAACCCTCTCTGGCAGCAAGAGGCAACCAAAACACTTCATATCGTCTGATAGCATTTTTTAGAGCCGACCTCTTGTAAAGCGAGGGACATTCGTCCACCTGCTGTAGAAAATCCAGTTCATTTTGAGTGGCTTGAACCAAGTCGAGGCCTAACTTCTGATAAAATCGTTCCCGAGGCATGCGAAATGGATACAAATCAGTAATCAAGGAGTCTTTTTTTTCTCTAAAAATGAAATAAGTTACATTGATTGACATTGGGCTGACATGAGGAACGAGAAAATACCTTTATTGCTACGAATTGGCATTGTAAAATAATTAACTCTTCAGTATTTTTCGACCCGGCCTAATTCGCTTTTTCTTGCAAGAAACCTTTAGAAAACAATTAAACATGGAATTTTTTATCAAACGGAAGAAAAGAATTAAACTCCTTTAATGTGATGCAAAAATGTTTGAAACAGAATACTAGCTAAGACGTCAAAGTCACTCAATTTGAACTTTGATAAATGTCCTTAGTATTCCTGACTCTTAAAGTTGTAATCTTAAAGCTTCCTTACAGAAAACAGCAGTCAGTTAATATCATATCCAAATTCAGAATAACTTACACTGGCAAATATCACAGTATTTGACGCCATCTTTAAGGTGATCTTAGTCGAGACGATTCGCACGGACGATTTTTAGCGCAACACAGCATTGCAACATCGTTGCGACATTGTTTCGAATAGTTAGAACATTGGTCCAGCATTGCTACGCTGTGTTGCTCTAAAAGTCGTCCGGCGTTGCGAATCGTCCCGTGTAACATTACCTTTAGGGATAGGCAAGCAGACATGGTACATCTAGCGGAGTTCTCGCTCGCGCGAAGAGCGCGCAGCAGAGCACCATAGGTATCAGTGCATCCAAGAAATTTTGGTTGTGACACGAGCTCGTGAGGTAGGAAAGCGTGACGAAGCCCGAAGAACGTCTTTCTTGAGAAAGACTTTCTTGGATCGAAGTTCCCACGAGGGCTTCGTTTTTTGCCTTTCAGTATATTACGAGATGGCATCCAATGCCGAATAATTTTTGCAGCCAGTTTTTTTTTGGCCATTCAGTACATTACATGGCATCCAATGTAGAACACCTTCTTAGCCAGTTTTGTGAAAAGTTCCACTGAGAAAAGTAAGGTATGAATCGCAAACTTAAGCTAGACAAATGATTTTTCTGACAAAACTTGGAGCCTCACCTGTGCTTTTATCTCTTCTTTGAATGATCTTTAATTTTGTGTACATTCGTCTCCCCTGACAGTCTCAAACAAAATTCAAACTGACTTGGGCAGGTCTACACGGCTCCATTTTTTTTTCAAATTTCAATTAATTTTCTCACTTGCAATCAGATTTTGTTTTCGTTTAGCTTATTACACCATTCTAACGGTAAAGGTAAAGCAAGGTACACTAAAGACAGTCGAGGCTTCCAAGAGCGACCAAAAGCAGGAAATGTGATAGCGCTACGTTCACTTTATATACCAGGCTGGGAAATCAACGCAGCCAGTTACAATAGATTTAGCTGTCAGAATGGAACATGACGAACTTACCTTGTTGTAATAGTGCTGTAAGAACAGTCAGTGTCCTCACAGTATTTTAAATGTCGGTTCTGACTCGATGCATTTACCACTTAAGCGAAGTCATTCACTTTGGTCCAGCTATATGGCCGGAGATATGAGGACTGTGGGGGAGGAGGCCACTGAACGTGTGGCCTACAACACGTCACGGAAGTCACGTTCTGCTAGTAACCGGAAGTGACGCGTATTGCAATGGGGAAAAAGGGAACAAAGCTCCTGTTCAAGACCTCAAATTCAGGGACGTCACCAGCGTTTAAAACAAGCGTTTCAGCGCGAGTTCGTCGAGAAAGTTTGGACAAGTGCAAAAAAGAGAAATGAAGTGTTCTCGCTCCAGCTTTTGCGCATTAACTCGATTGGAAACGCTTACTACGCAGGCTAGGACGTCACTGATAAATACCGGACCTTTCGTTAACCTTTGTTCTGTTTAACAGGAAAATCATTAATGAGGCGCAATTCTTTTCACATAAACCTTCCATAATTATGCAACAACGAGAGGATGAAAGCGACCTTGTTATCCGGGTTTCTCCAAAGTAATCAGAAACCATGGGAACCCTATGCATGAAAGTACGTTTTCGCCAGGTTTCGTTATGACGTGAACCATACGCTCTTTAAGAAAAAACCAATTTGTTTTTCTCTATGTAGTCTAACTTGAAAGAAAGGATATAATCAGGAAATGCATTTTTTTTTACCGTGCCCTAAAATTGTTACAATGTTAGTGACATATCAGACCAACTAACATCATGAAGGGGCAAAGCAACTGCAAAAAAAAAAAGTACATGTGTCAATGAGATTCAACTCAAACTTCAAGGGCTGTTGACAACTAATCTCGTCCCGCGATGGAGCTATAAATTATGGGTGGTGAATATCAAGTGACATTTGACTAAAGAGTATTTTTCGCCATTCCTTTATTAAATTTAGTGAGTCTGACTGGCTACAGGTTTACAGATAATCGATGATAAAACTTAGCTTCTGTACTTCTGGCACACGTCTGTATTCATATGTATCTGTTGGTTACCCGTATGTACGTATCCGTATGTACGCGTAAGTCAGTGGAATGTTACTAGAGTTCTCGTGTGTCAGTCTGTGCGTAACTAGCCTGTTGCAGGCGTTTAGATTGTGGGTCGGGACGGTGCGAAGAGAGGGATGAGAGAAGGGTGGGGTAGGGAGTGAAGGCAAAGGAACCTAATCTCTCTCCCTCTCCCTCCCCTCTCCCTCTCTTTCTCCTTATATTTTTCCCCAGTCTGACTTCGCGCCACACTCAACTATCTGAACGCATGGAACAGGCTAGTGTGTAACTCGTGTGTGGGATGGCGTTTCACTCATTGTCCAAGAAGACATCACCAGCTCCACCCGGAGCTATGAAGGCATTTAGGGTAACCGGAGAAACTACTACATCTCGGGGGCGTAAGGCAATATTTACTGAATCTATTCTTTTTACAACACAAATCGTGATCGTGGCAGCCTCTATGCCAGCAGCAGTTGTCGCAATACCACTTCCAACAAGTACATCCAGGACCACACATTCCACGACATTTATTCCTCGTCGGTCTTGAGCAACGCTTTTGACGGTCATTTTGGTCAGGCTCAGCTCTGAGTTCATCCGGAATCTCTACATCTGCGGCCTTGAGGAGGTTCAGACACAGGCCATGGAATGGCTCAAGGATCTTCAGGCGCGTCGTGTTGTCCGCCAACGCAGATGACACTCGCTCTAGCAGCCGCAATTCTGGCATACGGTGAAGCTCCCGAATGGCTGCTTGATAGACGCTTTCTGGAGATTCGTATTCATCGTCAACTTGTATGCCATCGGAAAGGATCGCAAAGCTTCTGGCGTACGTGGAACGTCATCTGGTACGTAAATCATCGAAGCGCCACTGCTGAAAGACACAAGTTCAAAGAAAAAAAAAAGTGAAGCAGGGTCTTGAAGGTGAGGGGAGGGGGTGGGGGAAATCCTGATCCCGTATTCCAGATTCTTTTTCTCGAATCTCCAACTTGTTCATAGGAGACACCATTGAAAAGCAAACTGATGGTGCCTAGACTAGAATGCTTCGCACAGCACGAAACGTTTCTTGGAGGCACCACATCATAAATGAGGATCTATACGGTAAACTCCCAAAAGTTTCTACGAAGATCAGAGAAAGAAGAATGAGAGTAGCTGGGCATTGTGTTAGACACAAAGAGGTGGAGGCATCGAAGTTTGTGTTGTGGCAGCCACAACACGGTCAAACTGAGAGATGAATAGGACCACTATTGGACAACTCAGAACGGCAATGCTAGACCAAAGTGACTGGCGAGAGAGAATCCATGTTGTCCGAGCGAGCGCTCTACCAAACTAACTAGCTAACTAACTAACCACTGAACGCTCACCTGTTTGACTTCGCGTTTGCCGCTAGAACATACGACTTCCTGAATTCCCAACAGAGACGTATGATACCCCGCATCCCGTGACCACATTTTGGTGAATCCTGCGTTCTGAGAAGCAGTCAAATTCCGTTTTTCGTCAAGATATTTGGCGTTTTCCCGAACCGCGCCCCGTATTTTGGTCAAATCCCAGATCCCGAAAACTCCCTTCCAAACCCGTAAAGATTATACCTGCTTAAATTAAGAATGGGATGATAACTCCTAAGAGGGTCTACTGAATTAACAATTATTCCTTGACTCCGAATGGACTCTGAGTCGCTCGCCCATGAGGCCGAAGGCCAAATGGGCTTTTGACTCAGAGGCCTTGAGGGCGAGAGGAATAATTGTGTTAGTAAAATCCAACTAGTTGGTCAAAAATATCGAGACAAAACAACTTTAGCTAGCAAAACGCGATTCAGTCGCCACTGTTTTGGTTTTCAAAGCCGGCGCTTTTCGCTACTAGTAGGCTATAACATATAGCCTAGTAGTAGCTCAACCAATCAGAACGCAGCATCGATAACAGACCACTAGTTAGATTTTACTAAATGGGTTTAACCGACTAGCGACAGACGGCGAAAAATATAACTGACTTCCGACAAACCAAGAAAAAAATTACCGACTACCGACATGGTCCAACATTGTACGGATACAAGAGAGAGAACTTGTCTGATATTTGTATTCAGAAATAAGTCGTATTATCATTCCCAGAGCGACCTTCTTTTAATACGTAATTGGTGTTTTTAACAATTTTCTACTTTTAAATCCTGACAAAACAAAACTCGTAGTCTTTGGAAGCCGATAACTACTTGCCAAACTCCCCGACTTCAAAATATCTCTTCTAGGAAAAGATCTCGCTCTTACATCTTCGGCCAAAGATCTTGGGGTTGTTTTAGATCCGCAACTAACGTTTGATGACCATGTTCTAAAAACTACGTCATCTTGTATGTCAAGCCTCGCACAAATCAGTCGGGTTAAACATGTTCTTGACCGTAACCAACTGGTGACAGTAATAAATGCCCTAGTCTTTAGCAAATTACTGTACTGTTCCACAGTGTGGTCGAACACCTCGAACAAAAATATCTGTAGACTACAGTCAGTGCAGAACTTTGCCGCGCGCATTATTACAGGTACCAGGAAATTTGATCATATAACCCCCGCACTAAGAGATCTACGTTGGTTTCCAATTAAACAA